TCCCCTTTTTTGACAGAAAGTTCTTCTAACTTTCTTTTCTTTTTGACAGAAAGTTCTTCTAACTTTCTTACCTTTGCTTTTTCAATTCGTCATAGATCATACGAGTGCAATCTTAGAATAAGAGGTACGCGTGCGGCGTTTAGAATAAGTTAAGAGTATGTGTGGGATCCTATGTATGTAATGAGTGCGTGTGTGATAAAAATTCTTTGCAATTTTGTGATAAAGAACTTGTATGTGCGAGCCTATGAGCTAAGTAGAGTCAGAACTCGTTTATCCTTCCGATAAATGAGGCAGTTGCAATTGGTGGGTGGTAGGGATTTGGAGTTAGGGTGGGTCACTGTCGTAGCAACCTCCACGTGGTGTGACCTGGTAATCGATATCGTTTTCTAAACATTTTTATGAAAATGAACTTTAGAAAACGATATCGAGCTAATAGCTGCGAATTTAATTATAATATCATTCGTTCCATATCTTCTTTTACGAAAACTAGTGGAATGCTCCGTGCTTTGCACGGGGAATTAATCAGTTAACATTGGCCCCCTGCGTAGGTCTGAACCGTAAAAGATAAATATGCACAGTAAATTTCTTACAAAGAGGCTTAAGCCAGAAAAGTCAAACTGACCACTTATAATGATCACGTAATTAGTTTTTAATTAACGTTTTCTATAATAATAAAACTAAAATTTCTATCTTTGTATCATGGAGAATACACTCAAGTGAATACGGTTCTACAGATTTTAAATTCAGAATGTTCTCAGTAATTGAAAATAAACGGATTGAAAACAAACATTTATTTTTCACATTTCCTTGTGTGCTATGCGTAACATACATATATATGTGTGTGTGTGCGCGCGCGCATATATATGTGTGTGTGTGTAATGTGTACACATTAAAATATAATCTATGCATCACTCTGTAAAAAGATATCTTTTCAAATTATCATCCTATGTAAATGCATATGTGTAATGAGTGGGGAGAAAAGTAATATCGTTTTTTCTTTATTCTTCGTTCTAATGGAATAAGCCAATGATACGTCGTTAAAATCAATCAAAAACGTATATGAAATATGAAGTCGAGGTTATATGCGTACAATAATATAAGGTTAATTTGGAGTGATCGTTATATTTAAGAAGTTTTATTAGGACATTTAAAAAAACATTAAAATGGTGTTAAACACTGTAAATTCATCCGTGTTGAAAATTATTGAACCATACAGAAGATGGATAATAGAAAATCCCCAATTATTGGCGGATGTGGAAAGTACAGTACAATGTTTATCCTACTTTACAGCTGGTTAGAAAACATTTATTTTTTTAACATGTTAGCATTTTGAATTTTGGTTTATGTCAAGCATATTTTTTTAGGTCAATTTAATAATTCCACGTTCGTATCTGAGCTTCTTTATTCCTTATCAAATTTAATTGTACTTTTCAACGATTTATTAATGTGCAGTGGAAAATGTATGTATTTGAAGTTTTCAAAATTTGAATCAAAAATTAAAATTTGGCTGTCAGTGTTAGAACATACAGAAACATTATTTGAAATCTCTGCTAAAAAATTATGGGGACAAAGTGGCAAGTGGTTCATAATCACTGTTATACAAATATTTAAGTGAGTCAGTAATAATAAAATTTTAATTAGATTCTTAATTGATAATTCACATAAATAATCTTGTTGCAGAACTGTTTTAAGGCTTTTGTTAGTACATTTGTACAAAGAACGAGTAACAAAAAGTCCTCCTATTCAACCTCTTAATAGAGGAAAATTAAATGAGTCTGATGATGTTAAAACAAAAGCAGGGTTTAAGTTGAAACGGTGTGGCACTATTGTCAGAAGTGTAAGAGATACTAATTGTGTGCCTGTACGTATGTGGGAACCTCTTTCCTCTAGTATTTATGATAATGATAACTTAAATAATTCGCCTGCATCAGAAAAGAATATATTATTTGCAGAGGTAATATTTGATGTTTCACTATTTAGTTCTACAATAGTTTCTTTTCTTTAATGTGTCACATTTTATTTTTAGAATCTCTACATTACGAAACCATTATTTCATTTAGGATGTGTATTTCTCACTGGAGAAAAACAATGGCCACCATGGTTATTGTCACTTGCTATTGATTTACTTAGGTAAATAATTCACTGTCACTATTCAAACAAACATATAACATAATAATGAGACTTTCTTTTTAGTTTAAAAATATATAGTAATGAAGCAAAAATCACGTCATTCACTAAAGAGGAAGAAAAAGAATTCTTTAGACGAAGACTTGCTTTACTTCTTTACATATTAAAGTCTCCATTTTATGACAGATACAGTTGTGTAAAAATATATGCAATTCTCACCATTTTATCAAGTAAAGTGCCTTTAGCTAAGTTTATAACGGAACGAATAAAAGCATACCTACCGCATTGGCAAAACACATACTTTTATATGTGGTCCAGCTAATTTACAAAATCAATTAAACAGTTTGTAAATTTAAAAATATCAGTACAAAGTATTGTTTCAGAGTGGAATTATAAACGATAATCGGTAATTGTGAATATAAAAAATAACTGTAATTTTCGTATAAATATAAATTTAACATTTATAAACTATTTATTTATTACAGGTGAAGGTGAAAAAGAATTCATATTTTTTAATGAAGCATTTAGGACTATATGTTTATTATGTTATTGATGTATCTTAGGTTAGATAAAAAATACAAATACTTTTTATTTCTGTAATTAAAATAACATGCGCCATTTCATTTTTGCAATTGTTTTGTTTTGCTTAAAATAATATAGAATATTTTTATTATTTCATATTTTTCACTTAAATCTATAGTAACACAGCGTTGATCATCCATTTATGCTTTTAAACATAAAAGATTTGTACACATACATGTTTTACACTATTTAATTTTTTATGAACTATAAATTTCGTACTACGTGTTTAATTATATGAATAACAAAGATGTAGAGAGGTTAAATGAATGCATATAAAATGTAAAAAATAATATTTTCTTACAAAATATATTTCCCTGTCCAATATATTTTATGAATTCTTTTACATTAAAGTTTCTAAGTGTTAAATCATGATAAAATGCATAGCAGTTAATTTGTAAATATATTACATTTTAAAGGGAACGTGTCATAGCAGAAACTATAAATATGGCCTTTGGAATTCGATAACAGCAATTTGCATAAAAAATTACTTATTCACACATTTGGAGTAATGAATTTATAGTTACGTCCTTTTTCCCTTGATTTGCATCATAAACTGATTTAATTACTTCCTTGTCGACGTTTGGGAACATTTCCGAAATCTGTAAATCGTATATTTACCGAGATTATTGTAATGTCGAAAATGATACTTGTTAAAAGAATCACATCTACTTATGTATTTAGTACCTGTTTCAATTCAACTTCAGCATTTGGCATAGAACTGGGAACAACAGGTGGCACTGCTGCTGCAGGTGGTGTAGTGTAAACATTTACTGGTGCATATTGTGTCATACCAAACATTGTTGAAGAAGGAACCATCATAATTGGAGGTGCACTCATATATGGATGGCATTTGGTCTATGAACATGTGTGCATGAATAAAAACATAATCAACACAAGATCATTTTTACTATGTAAGATTATTTACCGTGTAACTGAAGACTAAATTTATCATTCCTTCTTGATTATCTCCTTGTTTACCACTAAGCATGTACCAATCTTCATGCGTTTCCCCTTTTTGAAGGACTTGTGGTGGAATATCTATGTGACCCCATGCAATTAATTCATCCATTACAAAAGAACATTCGTCATAGACTTCTATATATATTTGTGTAACTCCTGGTGGCAAATAGCTGTAATAATGAATGATATAAATATGTAACAGATAAATAAATATATTGTATAAGAGAACAGAGAATAAATATATTGTATAAGATATTGAATAACTTTACCACTGAATAACTTTATTCCAATGAGGATTTTTTGCTCCATTCGAGCATGTATGCGTTTCATAAACTGCATGACCAACTCTTAATCTCACATAAGGATCCATTCTTGTCATTCCATAGTTTTTTACTAATTTAGCCTACAGGAAGTATCTTTTTGAAATTATGAATAACGTATTATTATAAAAAAGATATACTGCTACTTGATGAAATTAAATTGAAATTCATAAATTAGCACCAAAATCATAGAAAATTACCTGAACAATTGTTATACTAAGTCTACCAACGTGCGGTTCATGCATTGCTGGCATATTTTGCATTTGCAGCTGATGAAGGGCAAGAGCAGCTTGTTGATCTGCTGCTTCTTGTTGTTGTTGAGCATTGCGCTCCTCTAATCTAAGAAATCCTTGTGGAAGAGGACCTAAAAATGCCTGAAATAATAATGATAATTTTTATGCCTTTTATTATGATGCTGCTAATAGATTCAAATGAAATGCCGATCATAATTAATTTTTCTTAATTCAAAGGAAATTTTTTTCTAAATTCATTTGGACTAGAAATAGTATTATTTACCCGTCTTTTCCATTCTTCGTATAAATCTGATCGTCGTTCGGTTTCCATAACAAAATTATTGAAACTGTCGATGAATTTAAAACGTTTGAATTACGTTTCTCTTTGCTGCAACTGAAACCTATCAAACTACACCTATTTTTTAATACATTGGATTAATCATAACATGCATTTGACACAGTGATAGTACGCCATCTTAAGAGTCTTGCGAAGAATACGATTTACGTATGCGTTTCAAATACAAATGATGATACTTAACATTTTAATTTAAAATAAAAATCATACCATAAATATTTAAAAAGAAACAAAGATCGAAATCAGAATACTTCTTGACATTTTATTTGTATCGATTAAAAAGATCGCAGTGGCAATAAAATAAAAAATTAAATAGTGTATAATTATGTCAGTAACTAAATTGAAAAGGGGAATGAACACAACGGATCTGCATTGATAAAGATCGAAACTTATACAAATATATAGATATGAATATGCTATTAAATTTTTAAAGCTATTGTTTATTTTTATAAATACGTTTCTTTTCCTTTTTCCTAGTTCTCAGTTTTCTTTTTTTTTTTTTACATGAAACGTTTATATATAAATCACTTGACAGATCGCTCGTCAGCGTTCACTGACTTGACGTATAATCTTCTCTGTTACTAGAAATTTTTGAAAAATTTTCTTCTACGTAGGTTGTATCGGTGATTTCTCTTGATTTCGAATTCGTTCGATTTTTTTCTCGTGTTCTAGTCATTTATACACTGTGCTTGTGGTGGTAGTTCTTCAACGACTGATCTGAAGGAGAGGAACCGCTACTAAATTTCAACCATATTTTCAGTAAAGCACAATTATAACCAATTGTTTCTAAAACATGTCACATCAGACAGGAATTAAAGGTATCCATTGTCACATTATAATACTGATTCTAATTAAAAATTTTACACGCATCATCTAAATTTAATTCGATCTTTAACCTAAATTTGGTAATGACATCGGGATTACATGACAGTTATTTGTTTCAGCAAACGATGCACTTAAAAAGTTATTTGCTAAATGTCGTGATGGAAAAATACGGGTTTTGAAAGTTTCAATTGAAAATGGTAAGTTCGTTTACTAAATATTTATGATATTTCATCTTGATTGCATCTAAAAGTAATAAAATTTTCTCCATTTTGTAGAAGAACTAACGCCTGCCGCTTCTTCAAAACCAGTAAACAAGTGGCAAGACGATTACGATAAGATGATTAAGCCTTTAATCATTGAGAATCAACCTGCTTATATTCTTTATAGGCTGGATACTAAATCTCCTGATTCTGGTTATGATTGGTTATTCATTTCTTGGTCACCTGATACTGCACCTGTTAGACAAAAAATGCTGTACGCATCGACCAAAGCTACTTTGAAGCAAGAATTTGGCACAGCATCTATAAAAGAAGAATTACATGGTACAGTGCCAGAAGATATAACGTTAGAAGGTTATCATAAATATAAGAGAAATGATGCAGCTCCAGCACCATTAACTACTGCCGAGGAAGAATTGGCAGAACTTAAGAAAAATACAGTTACTACGGATTACAGCGTAGAAACAAGACATCAGACATTGAGCGGTGTTGCATTTCCTGTAACGGATGAAGCAAAACAAGCGATAACTGAGCTTGGTAAAGGAATATACGAATATGTTCAACTGAAGATCGATTTAGAGGAAGAAAAAATACATTTAGTTACAGCTTGCGATGTTTCACTGGATAAATTACCAACAAAAGTTCCATCTGATTCTGCCAGATATCATCTTTATAATTTTAAGCATACTCACGAAGGAGATTATATGGAATGTATAGGTATGTTGAAAAAGTAGCTATAATAAATATTTCCTAAATAATATATATGCGTGTATATGTTTCAGTTTTTATATATAGTATGCCAGGATATAGTTGTAGTATCAAAGAGAGAATGCTGTATTCATCATGTAAAGCACCCCTTTTAGATCTTATTCAATCGCTTGGAGTAAATATAACGAAAAAAGTAAGTAGGTACAAAGTTTACTTTAAATATAGTTCATATTTCCTTAATTGCTTATGTTGTTCTACTTGTTTGTTTTTATATCAATATTTTAATTCCATTACTTAACATTGACAAATCATGTTAGGATTTGTATACTACTTAAATAATTATACCGTATACTATTTTGTTCCAGTAATTACTCCTTTGTTACTAGTGAAAAATATATTTAAGGTAGAAGCAAAACAAAATTATTTATATATTGTATACTAATATCTGTAGTCATTTAACTTTTTTGTTTTTTCTTTTTTGGGAATCCTATAATTCTTTTTATTGATAGATTTCACTTTTTTGTATGAATGATTTTTGAAATTAAGGTATTTTTTTGTTTCTATAAAAATTGGTAAATCCTAGTTGGAAGTAAATAGTGGTGAGGAGTTGGCAGACATGTTGGAAGATCCTCCAACCATAAAAGAAACAGCTGCAATAACTCCTGCAACTCCATCAACGCCTTATGCTCCTACTCAATCTATACCTGAGAAAAAATCAAAGCAGAAGAGATCTTGTGTTTTGAGTTAACCAATTCTCCGTCTTTTGTCTGCCATTATTCTTGAATGTTTTCTACGTGTTAAAGCATTTTAAGACGTTACACAAATTAAATATCTTCTTTCATAAATTTTAAATTTGTGATAGTATGATATTGACACTGAATATGTTATTTAGTATGAAATAATGTAATGGGTTTCCAATATTTCATATTAGCATATATAGTTATACTTGTTCTAAAATAATTTAAATGAAAAAATTTAATAAGTCTTCGTAGGGATAAATTCTTATTAATTAACAATATTTATTGATATTTAGTATTAATTGGTCAAAGTGATACATATATCTATATAGTGAATCAGAGTAGACCAAACAGTATTTTTCTAAATTTTAAAAACAAAATTGTCATGTTAAGGTCTTACTGGAATAGCTTTTGATAACTGTAAGAAATCAATGACACAATTCTATAAGATGTCTTGTTGATTTATATTTTAGTGTAATGGACGATTGTTCATTCACGTGAAGAATACTATAAACGCGCAATGAGATTCTCGGTTGCTTGACATTGAAAGTGAAGCCTTCTACTAGATTTTGCATTTCTAATTATGTATATCAATGTCTAATGTGGACAGAACTTACATAAAAGTTTTGTAAAAGTAATGTTTTTGCATAATATGTAGTTCCTTTACTGATTTTATAGTTTACTTGATTCCTATATTTTTAATATTTATATGTCAGGTGTATAAAAAGTCCAGTGAGTTGAATTAGTTCCTAGTCTAATGAGAAGTGATATATACTATAAGTTTCATTTTTGTATCTTTAATTTTATTAAGTGAAACTTGAAGGCTTAACTTTCAAACTCATTCAAGCATTTGCACAGGAGTTAGTGATATTGTAGAATAGAGTGTTTCAAACAAATATCTGTGGTAACTTGCATACATTATGTGATTATTAGAGAGTTAGGGAAAATTCCATGCGCTCTAGTTAGTTGATGCCACTCATCTAACTTCTCTGCGTAAATATATAAAAATATAGCAGACAAGTGATATACGTGCAAATACCATGTTGATACATGGATATATTTTCTTTGCACATAATTATCATTTTTTAATGCAAACTAGTGTTACTACTAGTTACTTTACATACGTATTAAATTATATATCATGTTCTATATTATTGTAAATGATACAAAATATTAGATTCCACAAATATGTATATGAAGACTGATCTTGGTATGTCCCATTAGCTGTATAGTATAGAAATCTTATGGTGTTCAAATTTACGTAGATAGCATTAATTTTAAATATTTACAAAATTTTTTCCGAGTTTTGTTAATTTTATCGTAATTTTACATGTTCGAATAATCTAAAAGAAATAAAATATGATACTCACGTTCATTTTATAACAAATGGTTTGACATGAAAAAGAATAACTCAATTCAATAGTTTATATCAATTAATGAATGTTACACAATCAGTTGTGATAAGTTATTACTATCTTCCAAAGGAAAATGTATTTTTAGATTCCTTAAATACATTCCTTATATAAAGTGTATAGCAAATGGGACTATAATCTGATAGCCAGCAACAAGATATTCAAGAGCATTCTATTTTTCGTGATCTGTATTTTTTTAACTCTCGTAGCTTTTTATAAACTTTTTAAAAATTTTCGTCCACAACACAAACGAACAATTACCAGAAAGAATTTGGCCTAATTTTAATGATAATGATGATAAAGAAGTGCGCCAAATTCTTGATATTTATTTAGTTCGGCTAAACGATAAATGAATAATGATACATATTTAAATTAGTACTAAAGTTAGACTCCAAATATGTATAAGATATTCCAAGATGTTATATATGTCTCGAATCTTAATATACTCATAACTTACTAGTTCATTATTTTGTATACCTTTTCGAAGTATATGTTACTTTACTTCATCTTTTTAACATCTTACTATTGCTGTGAAAAAGAAACAGAATTTGGCACACAAACACGCGCGCGCGCGCGCACACACACACACACATATATATATATATACACTAGTTAAACAAAACAGAAAATTTTTTTGCAAAATGCTCAAAAACTGTTAAAATGTGTTCCATATTTAGAGACAACGCACATTGTTAGCCTGGGCATAGTTTATTTTACAACATTGTACCAGGCCTATTCTGTAAGTTTCTATAGTATATCTTTATTTTCAACCTGTTAGTATATAATTATAGGTTCATTATAATTGAATAAATTGTATATCTTGCCAATATTAAACTTGCTACAAATAATAAAGCATTATGCAATTTAATCTTGCAGTTTGTTGTTTTAATCTTTAATAAGATAATATGAAGCACATTTCTCTAACCATTACACATTATAAATGACTTTGTATAGAATTTAATAGGTTTCTAAGGAGCACACGGTGATTCGATCCTTGGATGGGTATGTAATTACAATTAAGACCTTCAGATATATTTAAGATATTCAGCTTACAGAATAGGCCTATCAAGTTAAAGGTTTATTTTATACTTCGAGTTGTCTTAAATTTTTCTTTAGTTCATGTACTAATATAAATTTTGAACTTTGTTTTTGGTTTTTTTTTCTTCTAGTTTTTAATGCAATATAATAATTATCCATTAAAATATGTTGATTGTATAGCTTGAAATAGATGATGGGAAAGAACTTACTGAAGAGTTTTTACAAGAGGAATTACATCCAAAAATCAGTTTACATCAGCCAAAATTTGCAAAACCTAAGGGTCCACCAGGCAGAGGCGCAAAGCGTTTAACCAAGGTTCAAGATATAGGAACTTCGGAACAACAGATATAAATAAATATTTTTTAAATTTGTTGAATTAAGCTAATAAGATGTACGTGTGCATATCACATATATTATATACTGTTCCTTCTTTATCGAATGACGTTCGTTTCGACATGTCTATTTTTTACCAAATAGTATTGTTCATTTCATAATTAGTACTATTTATTACATTACATTTTTTATATTTTGAGAAGAAGTCGGCAAAATTGGAATTTTCTTTTTAGTTTAAACATCAGGCCTATTCTGTAACTATACTTTTAAATTGGTATTGAGGTTCATTTATATCTTAATTATTTAATTTAATAACTAGAATATTATCGGAATGTAAATAAGGAATGTTTATAATGAAGATTTATATTAGGTGAAGATGTTTACTTGTATTTTTTCAAGTTAAGTATGATTTTTAAAAGTTAGTATAACTGATGGTCAAAATTAATTCTTTTAGCTATTACATATAAATATATATACATGATTGTATAATATGTTGCAATTTAATATTTACACAAATCAAGATGTATGTCGATTAAACATACTGCTCTGTCATTAAACTTTTTTCTTTAAATCTTATTTCCTTTCTTTTTCATCTCCGTATACTGTTTTTCTCATATTTTGATTCTCATCGTATACCTCTCTGAACATCTTAGCTTCCTCATTCATGAAAATCGTTTGTTCTTTTAACAAGCTACAAAGCAAAAATTGTTTAAGATGTTAATATTTAAAGCAAACAAAATACATAGTTAAAAATTTTATAGAAATAGACAAATAATTACTTTCTTCTTTTACTTATCCATGAGTTACTTGCTCCCACTAAATCATCCATTTCAGTTCCAGTTACATATAATATCAGTGCTGCTGCAATACCAGAGATACTACCCAATATAGTACCAACAAAACCACCTGCGAATGCTCCTTTTAATCCTGTATTCATTTTGTAAATAGAACCTGCTATAGCACCAGCAATGACATGCTGCGATGGATTAAATTTTCCTTGATGCGTTTGTAAGACTGTAGCTGTAGTCCTAATGGGAAATATTGTATTATTTAATTTATGTAACCATTATAAGAGATAAGATATTTCCAGCCTTACGAGAACAAGAAACAGAATGTTCCAAGTTTCATAGCGAATGGAAAACCTCCATGGAAAAGAGCAGTAGCTACTTTATATTGCAATAGTCTTTTAGCTTCGTAATGATTTTTAAACGGAGTTGCTTCATTTTCTGTGATAAATTTTTCAGCAACAAATCTTGATTTATGTATACCGCCCATAAAGAATCCAGCCACAAAGCCTACAGTTGTAGAGTTCAAGATAGATTGAAACTCTTTACTAGTTTCGCCACTATTATTAAAAAAACAATTATGTAATTAGTTCGAGTGTACATAATATTACAGAAGATGTATGTTTTTAACGAAATTAGAATTAAAATATTCGTACTTGTTATAGAAAAAATCTTTTATTTTGTCTATGGTAAGTCTTGTTGGGGTTATATCATCTAATTTTTTGTCGGATTCGATGTCGTGTGCATTTTTTAAGCCGAAAAAAGGAAATAAAGCTATTTGAACTAATCTCTTATTGATTATTAAACGTATCATATTTTATTTATTCAGTGATCAATCTTTTTACCGGATGACAATTAATAACTGGTTATATATCACGCTTAATAACGAGTTGAGACGTTATAAAAATGTACTTCATTTCATTTTAATTTTTAAAATGACTATTGTAATATATTAAAGAATGTAAACAAGATCCACTTTTAATGACACAGTTGCCCTATGCAAGTTGCACAGTGGATATAGTTAAAAAATTGATTTATTAGAATCACTTATCGATAAACCGATGGTTGATATATGGATATATCGAGATACGTGCGATCTATCGAATCGCACGAAAAGCTCGATAATCGCGCGTACAAAACTGTTGCAACTATTCTTCTCGTTTTAAGTGCGAATTAATGTTATTTACACGATAGAATACGACGTTCTGCAATATTTAATTCTTTCTTTCTATTTTACTTGCAACCGCATTGTAATTTGCTGTGTTATATCTGAAAAATGTGATAATTTTTTGAATTTTATTGAAAACATGTGTGTATGTACAAAGTGAATACAATGGTACTTGACGCTGTCATGTTACTGTAAGAGTACATTCAAGACTACACCTGTGAGTACCTGTAAAGATTATCGCTTGTTATCGACTCTTAATTAGCTAGGACTCATTTCATTCTGGATATAGCCTGCAATTTAAGCCGAAATTTTTTCCATTTACATTGATCTCAGGTTTGTATTCGTATTTTTTGTATCAAAGAATTGTTTCGATTCGAGTAGTGTGTTCAATATATAGAACTCGAGCAGGTTCGAGCGTGGCGGTAGACGCGCCTAATAAAAGGTGAGACAAGCAGGTGCATCCAAGGATTCTAAATGCGCCGGCGTACGACGTCGTCCTGACGTAACGTCGTTACGTCAGAACGTGGCCTGTGGTACGCAAGGGGGATAGTACGCGTGGGTGTGCTGGAAAGAACGACAGAGAAGGGAAGCGCAGGAAGAGCCATGGAGGGGTTGGAACGTCAATAGGAGAATCCTTTCTGTGGCAAGTGGGAGAGTTGTTTGAAGAGAGGGGCGAATGTTGCGAGGGCACGATCAAGGTGGGCAGAAAACAGGGCCGTCGCATGAATTGCTCTGTAATGTAGTAATATCAATGAAAAATATATTTTTTTCCTTTTTACATCTAGAAAATTTAGGTTACACGAGACTCCTCTTAAATTTTTCGTAAGACGAACTTGCAAATATACCCGAAGATTTTTACGGACCAAGGATGAGTCATCGAGCTACTGTTATTTATTTCTGTTATTATGTCGCAAATAATGTTGACAAAAGTAAGGAAATAATGTTGAAGATAGCATTTTATAGTGTTCTATTTATTATGGTTTCTCGTAGTTTTACCAAAATGAACTATAACGAAATAGACCGTAATGTTCTTTTGTCTTCATTTCAGAATGCAAGAACGCACAGGTCTTGTTTCGGGGGTACGATTCTCTGTTTTTTCAATGACGCTTTCAACCTCTGTTTCCTTTATGACTACAGCACTGTTCGAAACCGTCACGTTAAGGGGTGAAAGCTGAAACAGGACAGTTGTTTGCTTCGCATAGTTTTCGGAGTACTTAACTTGAAAGCTTTCGAGAAGCGAATAATTGAATGTATTTACTATAATTTTGAAATCTATTGATCGGTAATTCTACAAATATGCGCCGTAGTTGCTTCAGCATTTTGAGAGCAAATGAAAAATAGGAAAAGCAGGATGAATGAAAGATCATAGATTAGTACTCTGAAATGGTGTTCTTTCGATTATAAAACAAGAAGAAAAAAAGAACAGTATGTAAAAAGCAAAGAAAATGAATTAAGTTTAATTTATTAAGTTTAATCAGACAAATTCTGTTCTCTTGTAACATCCTTGAATTTTCAGGATGTTTCCGTTTCACGATATGATTCGAAAGGATCCTGAATGTTATCAGAAACGTTGAACGTCGTTGCGCGTTCATCTTTGGCGAGTTCAGATAGCTTTCGTGTCGCCTTGGCTCCCGATTTACTGGCTTACTAGCGAGCAACCGGATCAAAACAAGTCCTGTCCATTCAACCAGGACAGAAAGGGGCAGACACGATCTAGATAGACGTATCTAGATAGCACGTCTGCGTACACCATTGAGCCAGGGGAGCTTTCGAAGTCACGATGCGGAAGGGGCGGCTCGGTGAACGGAGAAAAACTATCCTCGTAGGGATGTCACTAGTCACGTATAATTTCTGGTTAATTTCGTTTTTAAGAATTTTAAGGAGATTTCTCCGTCGTAACCGAAAAACTCGAAGAATTTCGACAATTAGATCGGAGCAATATAAGAAATCACTGTCGAGTATTCTATTGAATTTGATTATATCGAAATTTGTAGAATATTGTTAGGAACAAGGCGCTTTATAGAAATTCTACGTCACCGCATTTTATTGGTCTAGGAAGGGGAAACGTAGCACAGCATCAGCGGCGTATCATTTGGTGGGGATATTTCGGTGGGTGCTAGCGATGGAATTGATCAATGGTGAATCGTTTGTTCGAACAAGGAAGAATTATCGGAAAATCGTTGAAGAGCAAGATCGGTGAAACGAATTTCAAGTCCATTAACATCGGATTCGCGTTTACTTATTCGTTAAACGATTGTGCGATTTTTAGGAAAGAACGTCGAAAGCAGCGTTCCAGAGCGATTCACGCCTATCGCCAGTCGCTTGAACGTCAGGGTGTATCACGAGGGGGTTGACGGTCGTAGTAGGGAGGGGTGGTTAGCTGGTATGGTGGGGTTCGCCCTAGAAGCACAGGGACGGGTTGAGCCACTGATAAAGGCGGACAAACGAGCTGAAGAGAGAAAGAAGGAGAGCAAGAGAGAGGGAGAGAGAGACCCGAGGCGAAAGAGAGTGTAACCCCACGGCGCACCGCCACCCGTGTGTGTCGCACTAAAATGTGACTCTGGCTAGCAGCACCGGGAGCCCGTGTGTGTCGTAAGAGCGAGCGAGCGAGCGCGAGAGCGAGAGAGAGTCGTGTGTGCCGGAATTTTCGTTAGTTGTTAGGAAGAGCAAGGTGCGTTTTTGCCAAAACGGTGGACGCGGTGTAAAAGCTAAGAACGGAGAGAAGAAATAAGGCTGGGACGAAGAGAATATCCGGCTGGTGAACCACTGGCGGCGAATCAAACATATCATTTTAACCTAGTTGCAGAAGAGTATCGTGTAAACGATACGCGGATAGAGAAGACAGGCTAGAATTAGAAGATAGACAGCGTGGAACGTAATTGGAGGCGGATGCCGTTGCACAGGAAGATTATCGAAGCAAAGGGATGCTACGCGAATCGTATTAAGAGCCGTACAGCTGGAGAATCTATTATCTGTACGTAGGCCAGGATTGAACGCGAGATTCGAGTGTACATGGCTTAACGGGTGTCATCGTTGATTCCATCGTTAACATTGTAGCGTTATCAGCCTCCAAGCTATAACAGGGAGTTCACTGGGAGTTACCTAGTGTACCGAAGACACGAGCAGATGAGCGTTTCGGATTAATTTTACGTAGTACTATTCTACTGTGAACTGTGATTCTTTGTGCCCTGGACGAGCTGGGCTACGGCGATCGTCGACCACGGGACAACAGAAGTAACGAGGTAAACCTTTCTCTTCCTTGATAATTATAGTCGATCGAACGAAAGTGAGTAGATACACGATATCTAGAAACACGGTTTTCTAACTTTTTTCGATCATCGCAAATTTCAAACGAAAGGTGGGGAAAACTTGATACGAAATTTGAATTTATTTCGGAGGATTATTTGTCGAAAAAATCTAGCGTACAATGGCCATTTACAGGAGCTGTCGTTCGAAAACGCATAAAACGAACGTGGCGAGGACCCAGAATTGCTTTTGTCCCCGATGTATCATCGTCCCGAGCCATTCTTTTCAGTTTTCCAATTTTCTTTTTCCCGGTATTACGTTTTTACCGACGAAAACCTGGAACGATATTGTCTCGTGTTTTCGCATAAATCTTCTCGTCAAATATCTCTTTTGTAATTTACCTTTTTCGATCATTTCAAAACATCGTTAGTATGCGCGATGTTTTTTTTTCGCGCGTTTATAATTCCAATAACGGAGCATCGTGAACGAGAAAAGAGTAAAAGGAACAAATTGAAAGAAAAGAATAAATAGAAAAACGAAACAGAAGGGACATATTGCAACAATGAATCGAATAGCAATTTTTAATGTCTTAATGGTACACGCAAATATATAGGGAATACCGACCTGATATGTTCGCAACAGAACTATCGGTGAGTTTTCATTAAATTTCATGCGCGTATTTTATATTGTCCGACAAAAATATGATACGAGTGGTCATTCAGCTTTACCGTTATGTATGCGCATCGTGGATTAAATGCGCGATGATCGTTAAATCGCATCTCCATTTTAAATTATTCTTTAACGTTCACTCGGTGTATCAATCATTTCAACATCTACTTTTATAGAACTTTTAATTTATTTCGCGCTCTTTCTTCTTGCGTTTGCTGATCAATAATTCATCGAGTCCAGAGAATCGTTATCGATGCAAAATCTATCCTTGATATCTTTAATAATAAAACTCGAAAAAGATCGGAAGAATGATCGAAATTTAATTAAATGAATTAAGATATCGTTGTTGGTTCGACTTGAAATTTTGGTATATGACCGTAATAGTGTCTTAGCGTGAACGAGTTTGTTTAGTGCAAAATCACAGATTAGAAGAAATAAGGAAAGTCGAAGTATTTATAGCTCGAATAATACTTGTTCGCGATCCGCCGTACTAGGCACGGCTTGTTTTCACTGCGCGCTAGTGGAACAAGTAAGCGTGCGGTCAGACGCATGAATTCGTACTTGACCTGCTTACGAGGCGTGCCGGTTTTCTTCTTTTTCTCCTTTTTTCAAGAACTAAAACCAAGAAACCTTGTTAACCAAGCTTGAAATTCACAGAGGGCTGGGCGTGATAGGTTGGTTTTAATCCCGTGGATTTCGAAGCTGCTTCAGAAATGTCCTCCTTACCTTGAACTCCGCGTTCTTTTCTCGTCAAAGTTGCGACAAAAAAGATCTCTTCTCTGATCCAAGGTATTTCTCATAATTCAACTATTCTGCATCCTGTTTATTATTTATTATTAATAAAGGACGTAGGACGATATCCTCGTATCTTTAGAACGAATTCTGAATTCCACGCAAGATTAAATTCTTGTCTAGACGCGTCGCTCTTCGTCTGCTTCATTATGCAAATTATTTCTAGCGAGTCGATGTTTAAGGTTCGAACGTCGAGAAACGTTTCATCTTTACCGGACCAGTGTTTACTTTGCTCCATTCTCTTCCTCTAAAGAGGATCAGCTAATTAATTGGGTCCTGAACAACTATAATTTTATTGTTAGCGTTCGTGGTTCGTGGTTTATCGAGTTAAACCGTATAATTAAACTCTGATACAAGTTTAAAAGAGGGGATATTTTTCTAAACTTTTTATTAGTTGATTAAAAATGTTCGTAGGTGCGAGACAGTTGGTCGAACGACGAATTTCTTCCGTTGTTCGGATAATTGCGTAGCTTCTGGAAGAAAGAAAGGATAATCTTCTAGTTAAAATGTTGTTAAACCTTTTACATACGTATATTTTGAAATTGGCCGTTCGATGTACAATAACCTTATAGAAAGTTTGTATAAATGCAAAGTCGAAGCAAGTTTCTCGGTGAAAATTTAATACAAAATTAATTCTTGGACGAATCACCTTCTCTTCGTATAGTTCAATAAGAAATTCTTTCCTCGAGAGTATACATACGTGACAAGTTTGTAGAAACTTTGCATCAAAATTGAATCTAACTTGCATTAAGGAATAAATCTATTTAAATGTTGCGGTGCATACTCGAGATAATACCGTGAAAGTTTGGAGACTTTGTCATACTTTGTCGACAGGGAAAGAGGCTGCTAGAACCAAGGTAATTTTATCCTCCATCGAACGAGGAACGTTCTTTAATCGCCTTTCCGTGCACTTTACTTTAAAAATTACTTTAAAATCTCGTTAATCGCTTCTGAAGTTGACTTATTTCGAATAAATTTAATTCGCAGAAAATGTTGAAATAGAGAAGATAAGCGTGGTAGGAACCGTGGAGCCAGCATTCTCGTGACGGTTCCATTCGAGCTTCTTCTTTCTTTGCTGGCTCTTTTAGAGGAGAAGACTTCGTGCACGGTGTTCCCGCTCGTTGCATTGCGGTAGATCGATGTACCAGAGTTCAGGGTTACGTTGTAAGGCCTCCTGCTGCTCGTCGACGAAATCTGCAGTCGCACGTGCGCCGAGTTAATCAAACGCGGTGCAGAACAATTTTTACGGGAAACAATCGTTTCGATCGTTTCGTCATCGTCGTCTACGTACTTTTTTACATAAAGAGTTAATCGATGGTTGACACCACGAATTTCAGGCGACTCGATAACGTAATAAATTTCTATGTCGAATTCTAAATACTTTAAATCGATTCGGGGTTATGTTAAAGCGGACAATATTTATTAAGGACAGAATTATAGAGAACGTAATAAGAAAACTTTTTTCCTCGAGCATTTGCGAAGCGAAACGTTGAACCCGAGGCTAATTTCACCTCTATTCTCCGGGGGATTAAACTTTTGCCAGAGACCGTAAGCTGATTTTCCTTTGCTTTTGTAAAATTCCCGCGATCTAGTTCTAACGCGGTTTCCGAGTTCCAGTTTGGACACGTTCCAACCAGATTATCCCTCGAAACATCTGCTTTCCTCGCTAATTTTCGCCCGATATTTTTTGCCGTTTTTCAGGAATTCGATTCAAGCGCAATTGCTTATCGATCCGATCGTGCAATTTTTCCTAATTATCCCTTCTTTCGTTCTATGTTATTCTACAGTGTCCTTTTCCTCCCGTATTTTCTACGGATCAGAAGCACGATACACCAGCGCGAAAGGAAATTTTCCGGCCGTCTTTATTTTCGATATCGATCAAAAGAGAGAAGCGTTGCGATTTTCCCCAGCGAGACATTCTTCATCGACGAAACAGGGAGATTCGTTCCATGAAATCAGATACAGCCGTGGCTGGTTGTGCGAAGCTAATGGTCTGTTTCCCCTTATCCAACGAATGGATCAGGAACACGAACACACGTTTCGCTTCGATTTTTCGTTAGGGACAGTTTTATCTTCCCGATGCACGACCTAGTTCGATGGTGTTTCGCATGTGGCTGCCCAATGAATCCTCGAAGGCCTAGCCGCCACTTATCGTTTCCAATTGCTAATTACATTACAATTCTCCTGCGATTATACGACCGTTGCCTGTCGATAATTTTCTCTCCTTCTGCCTATTGTTAGTCGGTTCTAGTTATTTTTAGTCGCGTTCGAAGGAGATTGAAATACGTTAAGCTCCTTTTAATTAAATTCTTGATAAATCCAAGACAATCGATCGATCATTGAATTTTCGAACAGGATGATCGACAGAGGGTTTCTAGCAAGAAGTAGAGAAAACGAGAAGAAAAAGGGAGAAAATGGAAAAAAGGGAGTCAAGCAGTTGGTCGACGCCTGTTGCTTTATGTATAGCGGTTTTCCTCGCTGGGCGAACCATTTTATCAGATATCGAGGATCGCTTAGGAGAGAGAGGTCGTGATATCGTCGACACTTTATCACTTACATCCTCTCCTCTATTCTCGAGGTATACCGCAACGATGCGTCCTCGCTTTATCGACATCCTTCTCTAATTACCCCGTGACGAGTCGATTTTCGACACGCCGAGATAACGATCCTGCTGTAACTTACGCGCTTACGAATCTACTTTGAATAGGAACTCGAACAGTTTCATTCGAGCGGTTACTGCTCGGAAGTAAAGCCTCGTTGGCGTCGCTAATGGTATTTTGATCACGATCGATCGTGTTCGACGATGTAATAGGAAACGCGTAATCTCGCGCGTGTCATTGCTCTATTTTTTTTCTTCTTTCTATCGAGTTAAGTAAATTAGCTCGTCGTTTATAATCGGAAAATTTAACGATACATTCCTAGTTTCGTTTACGCGTTCGCGTGTTCTGTACGAGGCATCCTATCGAATTTTTCCGGCTTTAAGGTGAACCGATTAAACGAGATGCAGCGAAACCGAGTGAAAAGAGGGACGCGTACCGGCCGAAATTAGATCGGTGCGAAAAATATTTATCCACGTTCGCCTCTGTTATCGAAGCGTTTTTCCGAATCTAATCTAATCGTTTCCAAAATTGTTATCGAAATATCGTTTCGAGTTCAGCTGGTTTTCAGAGGCGAAGGTCGAGCCAAAAGTTTGGCCAAGTGCCAAGGAAGGACGCGCGAGCCATCCTTGTCAGCGAATAAATTCACGGGCACGTTGGCGCTGCCTTCGTTTTCAGCTGTTTCCGACACAAAGACGAACGGTAGGCCGATTTCCTTTAACCGGTTTAATCGAATTCGATCCCCTTCTTCCTAAGACCTACTTTCTTAGATCGATCATCTTCCTAGTCGTTCTTCCTACTCTTGCGTCGATCGTTAGGTTCGTATTTTTCCTGTCTTTGCCAGCAGCGGATTATTAAAGTGCCGCGGTGGAAAATTGCGTTCTTCGTCATGCGACAACGAAGATACGCTTCCGGATGTAAGAGAAGCCCTAAAAATGAAGCTCTTCTTGGGATCATCGTGGATCAGAGTCGGCTCCAAGAAGGATTACCAACGTGATACTTCCTGAATTTGCCACCAGGGGAGACATTCGCGGTACCTACGCAAATATACTTTCTCGCGAGTCCTCGTAAAAAGATCCAACTCGAAGCTTAATATCGATCAAGTATTCACGTAATCGTTGTCAGGAAATTTTTCAGCCTGGAATGTCAGAGTTTTCCCGTTTCGAAACCGGCCATTCGATACGCGATAACCCAATAACTACGATTATCCGTCTTCTCGAAAGAAGAAATCACGACACGGTCGTAGTTTTTTCCTTCGTCTATTCGCGGAACAAACATGCACGAGACTCGAATGAGAAAAAACAGGTTGGACGTGCTGTAAATAAATCCATACCGGTGCAATATCGTTTCTTGCAGCAGTGACCTCGTTTAAACGCGTAGTAATGGATAACCGATAGTAGTCGGCGAGTTAAAGGTATCGGGTCAGAATCAGAATCGCGATCGTTGATCGGTTTAACGATTCACGACACGTCGAAAGTATTTCCTTCGAAATTAAAGCTCTTAACTTTACGGACGTTTAACAGAACCGAAGCTGTAGTTGTAAAAAGTATCGGCGTTGAAATTCCATTTGTTGGAGGGTGGATCCATGACGCTAGGAAAAATGTTGTGCCAGAGAGAAATGATAATTTGCTCCGTGGCAGCAGAAACGAGTCACTCGAGCGCAGAAGAAATGGAAATAGGAGTCTCGAGGAACATCCGCATTGTTCTCGGTTATGGCCGCCTCGAGGAAGATCAAATGCCACACGGGAAACTGGCAGATCCTTTGTCCTGGCAATCGAGAAACTGCATTCGGAAGCAAAGGCTGCGATCGGCTGACTGGACGAGCTTTTCCTCTTCGCAGAAAATTTCTGCGTTCTCTTCTCGTATCGCCTGGTTAATTGCCCTCGAGCAATTTTCTTTTTCCCTTTCCGAGCTACCAGTTTTCCTCTTGACACCGCTCTATTCTGTTATCTATCTCGTGTTTTCTGGTATTGTCAGGTCATTTGGTAACGCGATTGATTTTCCTCTATCGCTGCACCGGAGAATCGCTTTCGTTTCCTCGATCGAACAAGTTGAAAGAATGAAACGTACAAATAATCGAAAAACGGTACAAACGAAGAAAAACTGACACGAATTTTATTCGATCAACTTCGGAGTTAGAATCGCGTTAGATTACTTCTCTCGAATACAAGATAATTTAGTAGTTTCCACCCTCTCGGTTTATCGCTGTTTGCGGTTCCAGGGAACACCGTCTTACCCACCCATAAATAAACAAATGTATCTTGCTTCATAAATTCTCTACCAAGTACGAATCCATTATCCGCGTTCAACATAAGGGTGGTACTTCGTTTCTTCGCCCTTTGTATCTGCCCTCGTATCGAATGGAGTTGAAACTTCTTCCACGATAGACCGTACAAAGTAGCGTTTATGGTCAGTTCGAAAGTTAAAATTTATTATTAGGTAAACGATAGATAATTTATCGCAAAGATCGAATCGTTTATCGAATCCTTACGCTTCGGTAGGAGTAGTCGAGCGTTTCCGATGCACCTCCTCGAACAAACCTCCGGTATCGAGAATGTTTTAAACGGATTTCATGGAAGGAGTCGAGACTGGAATCTTCCCGGAGTATCGAGTTAACCCCTAAGAAAGTTTCGGCTCGCTGTGTTTCGTTCAGTGGAGGAGGAAGGGGTGAGATTCTCGGCTACGTTTTCAGCGACGAAAAAAATTGAAGAAGACGGGGTTGAGCGACGTATAAAATTTGCATAGCATTAAGAAGGTTCTCAGGGGGAATACTTTTTACGTGGAACCTCTTAACCGTACCACCAACAACTTTCAACCTTCTGCAAATATTTTGAAAAATTTCCCGGGACCTTTCACGAGTTCGCCTCTCTTTACTTTATCAGTGCGAATACATTAATTTTTGCTTGTCCTTTCGCGACTATTTTTTTTCGCGAAAAAATACATGGGGAATCTTCTTCGTTATGTTCCATGCCTTTTTTGGCGTATCTGTGCAACGACACGAGCCGCTGCGGGCACGCAATTAAAATTAAAATTATAATTATAATTGAACGATGACGAGTTCGCGACGCAAACTTTCTGAATTTTACAAGTGACGTTTCAAGTACACGTACGACGAGGGGAGTCGAAGTTGGTTTTTCCGGTTACGCGATAACGAGCTATAAAAAAACCTCGTCAATGTGCAACACCGCATTTCTTCCAAGTTTATCAGTTTTGCGTAGCTAAATAATTATAATTGTTTCCGTGGAAAAAATAAAACTGTTTGACCCAACAGTTTCGCTTGTTCGGACGATAATCAGGAATTCCATTAACTGAACGAAGCGCAAACGGGTGTTTTTATACGCGTCAGAGCTACTTCCCTGTCTTGAATAATTTATTCCCGCGAGACGGTGAGTGGCCGTTTTCGGATAGCATCGTTTCCCTCGCGAATGATTATCCTCGTTGTTTGCATCCTTACATAATCCTACCCTCTTCCGAAATCCATTCTTCCTTGACAATCACGATGTCCTTCTTCGTTTCTTTCCTCGAGAATAAAAGGTGCGCGAGCAACGCCAAGACGTCGTTGAACAATGAATCGATAATTCGTTCGTACGATTTTCTATTGGACTGAAAAACCGCATGGGACACCATTGAACCCTCGTTGGAAATTCCTTGTCGGCAACCACCGGAATTTGCTCCATTTTTATTCTGCCAACGTGTTTTCTTTATTCGCGCTTTCTTTCATTTTGAATAGGCAATAAGCCCTCTTACACCTTGAATATCCATCTAAGGAATGAAAAATTGTAAATCGAATCTTGTTATCTGTATATTAACGATGTAACGAAGCTATGTTAAATGAAAGAATAAATGTTGGTTCATTTTGGTTACAGCAAAAATGAAGCTGGAACTTCCGATAGATCGAGAAAAGGGCCTGGAGCTCTTTGGGAAGTTTATACGAACGAAGAATGTGGAGAGTCTTCAGGGTGACCAGAGGAAAGGTGGACCCGAACCACTGCATCCGACCGACTCCAAGCAGAAATTACAGGCAAGCATTTTCCTTGTAAACCTTTCGACGAAAACTCTCCTCGCAAACAGCTCTTCAATTTCCTTTGATCACCTATCTAGGAAACTCGTGATCATATTACCGTAATAAAATTCCGTTAGCGCTTAGATTTTTGAATAACAAGAGAAATTTGCTAAACTAATCGTCCATCGTAAATAAAAGGACTTTCTATTTTTTCTATTAATTTTTAATCTGTCCGACACGAACCCCCCTTTCTTCGATTGATCGGAAGCTATTCCTCGTAGACCGATTATATTTTTGTAACAGTTGGATATCAGTTCGCGTGGGATAACGCTTTAATAATAGAGAAATTAAAATAGAATTTTATTCGGAGCATCGGTACGGGAAGTTTAAACCACCCCCGTGATTCGAAACGGGACCAATATCGTCTCGTTGTACCTTTGAATTGGCATCTGACATTAAGATCCAATGTTCACGCCTTGCATCTGGATCTCGAAGAAAAGAAGGGTCCCGCGTATCCAGTAAATACACGATATCCAGCTGCGCTGTCTATCGATCCTGGTCTATTTTTAACAGGATTTTTCAACCCCTTACCCTCACCGCTATACGTATTGTACGAACTATACGGTTCGGATTGCCTTATTCTTCGTGTGACCCGATGCTCGATATAATCGGTTCTTCTTAACGAGAAATTAATTGCAATCGTCTATCAGAAAGTACCGAGATCGTTTTTTCGGCTGTTTTCTCGCAATTTTCTCGGCAATCGTCGAAGGAATACGACGCGTTAACTAACCTACGAGTCCTTTGCAAATTTAATTTTCCCCGAGTAATCGAAACGCGAGAAAGGAACAAAACGAAAAGGTTTCAATGGTAGTCGACAAGATCGATCGAGCACGTTTTTTACCTACGTTTTATTTGGAAAAAGGGAAAATTTAACACCGAAGAGAGATCGTTGAAAGCGCGCGATTAAACGCGAAAATTGCCGCGTGGTCGTTCGACGATAGAATATCAGTCTCGACCGTCTGGTGCACGATTCTCGCTGATCGGGAACAAAGCGTGAAAGGGTACTTGTCTCGATCCGAAGAACCGATTTCCGACCGATATTTTCACGGAATTTCGAACAAACTTTTATCCGTCGAAGAAACAATGGACGATTCGCCTAGGGGGGAGCCCAAACATCCGTGGAACTTTCCCAATAAACGAGCAGCCACGCTTGGGGATCGCGGTTGAAACACGCGTCGATGCACGACGGCTGTTTCTGAAAGTTTCGCGAGCTGTTCTTGCTCGGGGAATCGTGGAAAAACCGCAACGATCAAACGAAAACTCCCCGCTAGTTTCGACGATAACTTATGACTCTCGAACAATGCCGTTACTCCTGCACTTTCGATCGATGAGAAAATTGATCGATGAAGCGCATCGAGATATACTTTCGATACGATGCCCGTCAACGTTGTATCACGTTGTATTGGAAGATACTCGATAATAACTCGAGGTTATTCCGACTTTGCAGAGACTCGCGACTGCAAGTAGCACGGGCGAAACCTTCGGTCTAAACCTACATAACTCTGACACGAGAGGTACAAATTAAACTTGGAGTAGTCGAAAATCTAACTCCGAGTAATCCAAGCTTAACAACGGCCCGATCCAAAAGCTAAGCGCGTTTTAACGAATAGCGGCATTGGTACGAGATAATTGTGGGTGGCAAAGCGAAATAATGGGATCGCGGAGGTTATTCGATTAATTGGAAGGAAAGTTTGAACGCGTGTCCCGCTTTCGGTTTCGCAGAAGTGCCTGACGACTCTGGACCTGACGTCCTTGGGGGTTGGCTCCTGCGTTGGGACAGGGATGTACCTAGTCGCAGGGATGGTGACGCGTAACGGCGCCGGGCCAGGCGTCGTCATCTCGTTCATTATCGCGGCCATTGCTTCCATTTTTTCCGGTGAGTATGATCGCATTTCGAATTTACGATTTCTCTGGAAGAAAGTCCGATACAAGAGCTTGTCTCGTCGGTGGAGGCAACAAGATTTCTCCAAGCGTATTTACCGTGGAGTATGGGTAACCGTGTCGGATTAGATTTACGGTGTTTGTACGGCGGAAGCGTTGGACAGGCTGTCAGGAACGATTCACGGGTTACGAAGCATCGGAAGATCCAATTTCTCTTCCAGCAGCGGTAACTTTAAGCACGCGCGCGTTCATCGAGCGCGTTTTATTCTTATCCGTTTCTGCTGGAGAAACGAAACGTCGAATTTCGCTATTCGTTTCGCGCGTCATTAAATCGACAAAAACGAGTATCGGTTTTACGCGAACAAACAGGCGAGTCACAGAAGGTATCGAAGCTCGCGTGCTTCGCGAGACGACCCAGAAACACGACTGGAACCGTGTCCGACGTCGTTACCGTACGATCTCCCCGTAAATCTAATCCGACATTATTTTCTGCTTGCCCTCGAGGAGAACGACCGATCGCGAGACGTATCCGTTCGCATACGTGTCAGGAAAGAAAGACGTATGGACAAACGCGTGACCCGCTGATATTGACATTTAGAACTCTCGGCCAGATGGTAGAACCCGAGGGAACTCGAACCGATTTCGAGCGATGCCATGTCCCACGCTTGTTGCCGGAGAATTATTACGCGAATACGATGCCGTGATTAATCCTCCGAATAATGAGCTCGCGTCTAAACGTACCCTGTATGCTGGATCGTTGAATTAGGCGATATTAACGAACCGGTGGTAGCGGATAATTTGTTCGGTTACGGAAATCTAGGATACGTGTCAGGTGTTTGCGCGAGTATACTCTACTCGAGAGGTACAGCAGAGGAAACTAGATATAACCGTGAACGGATGTTAGCGTGGGGTCCTAGAATTTAGGACTCGTCTTCTATCCGTTGTGGGGCTAAATTGTTTACAGAGCTAGATAAATTCCACTAGACTAGAATATCCGAGTGATTTCGTTTAGTAGAGGGTAAGAGATACGTAAGGGGTCGATTTCGAGGTCGTAGAGAAGAGTCGGTACGAGGGTGAAGAGAAAACTGAGCGTATCGCGATCGGATTTCCTCGTGTCGGTTCCTTTGTTGTGCCACCGTTTCCTCTCTGATCCACCGCGAGGCTGGTAAATAACGCGGCTGGTTCGGCATAATCGGAAAGCCTGAATCCCCGGAACGTTTAAGAGACGATGAAAATTGCTTGTCGAGCGGTGCTTCTTTTGTACCGCGTTTCAGAATATTTCGCTAGATACATCCGACAGAGTTAATAGAAAATGTCGGGAAATATTAATAAACTTGGTATTTCGGCATCGGAAAAGTGGTTCGTTTCTTGGAGAATCTTGTTCGAGTAGCGACACTGTTAACTTTCTCGATAAATCGATTAAATTAGTCGACGAGTTGCCGCGTTCTTTACTTATTTTTCCAATTATTCTCGAACTAATAATTTACGACCGCATTGCCGGGTAATTTCGTTGAAAAAATTGAAGGGCCACCGTAATATCTCTTCTTTGATTCGCGACGTTTATCGGTCACGGTTCGAAGGAGAAAAAAATCAATCGGTAATTAAGTTAAATCATTTAGTCCGATGCTCGGTGCCAATTAACGATCTAACGCGCGAAGCTTTAATCAGTCGTTATATCAACAAACATCGCCGTACCGGACATTGTGGCACGAATCAACGAACGGATTAAAATGTCGATAATGGGTGTACGCGAGGCTGTCGCTAATTTATCATGTCATTTCGTTAATCGATGTCCGTAGTTTAATTATATCGTTGCCTCTGGCTTTTCGCCGAGTTTCGTTGCGCACTGGTTTTTAACGCAAATTAGAAACATTCCAAAAGTCCGTCGTTCCGAAAGAGACGGAAAAAGAGACAGACAGGACGAAACTTTATTCGTTCCCGACAGGACAGCAGGATGAAAACATTTTTGAAATTCCTCGAATATTTTCTACCAACGTCCAACGTTGACCTCGTTTCCGACTGAAACGCTTTTTTAATCGATAAATCACAATCTCGTTGTTTAACAAGGTTTTTAGTCGGCTAACCGGCCATCGCAATTTTCCATTTATATTCTTCCATATTGTAGCGTGTTTTGGAAATAATTATTAGAGATTAGTCTCGACTTGTACTTGGACGCATTGAAATAAACCTTCTGTCGCGGATTATAATCGTGTATTAATTAAGAGAACATTTTTGTAGGAGCATGTTACGCCGAGTTTGGAGTACGAGTGCCTCACACGACTGGCAGCGCTTACATGTACAGTTACGTGACCGTAGGCGAATTAATAGCATTCATTATTGGATGGAACATGGTGCTGGAGTACCTTATAGGTACGAGTGCGTGTGCCTGCGCCCTTAGCGCCTGCCTGGATGCCCTCGCGAATGGCGCAATTTCCGGGGCGATAGCCAACAGCGTGGGAACCATTTTCGGTGAGTCTTTACAATACTCTGGCCTCTACACGAACGAATGCGTAACGAGCTAACGAGTCAACGACGATCCTACTGATCTGATCTTCGAATCGATGACTTTCGAATGTTAAGTGCTCCTATTTCTATGAACTATACCGTTGTTTGCACACCTGTAAGTCAACTTTATTTATTATGTACGAACAACTCGAACGTTATTAAAACTTCCGTCGGATCTACCACCTAATCGTCGAGTCTATAAGCGCGATTCCCGAGAAATAAGTGTGCTTCGTTGAAAATGATCGCGCGTCTATACATAGGCCCGTATGTGACAAAGAAATTTGCATCGCTTAGTATACCAGAGAGAAAAAAAGGTTCGTTCGAAAGTCGTTTCAAGTTGGTTTTACCGTTCCTCGTAACGGTAGCTACGATCCATTACTGGAACAGTTTTCCTCGCGTCTGCTCGATAACGCGTTGGGTCCATTTCGTTCGCCGCATAATCTTACCTCGCGACGAGAAATCATTTTTACGAACGCGTGATTCCGTTTTATCGAAAATCCGACATTTTCTCGAAGGAATCGTTGCTCGTGGGGTTGGCGCGTACAATTTCACCGTGACACTCGTCGTGTTAATTTCGTCGCGAATCGGACGTACTTCCGACGTCTGACCATATTCTGTCGTCTACAGCGGAGTAAGTAGAACGTGTATTCTATTCGCAGCGTATCGATTGCGGCTAAAGTTCATTCTACTCGGGTGTCTGGCCTAGTAGTAGATTATTCTACTTGCAAGATATCGATCACGCGCCAGCGTGTATTTTACTCGATCTATCGTCTCGCCGCGACGACTAACGAGATTCTTTCACCGTTATTAGCGAGTGTGTATCTTCGACGAAAGATCAAATAGCTCTGTTCTATTTTTCTCTTTCGACGAATATTCGGAGAAATTTCAACTTGGCAAGTTGAATGATTTCGTTCTCTTTATCGTACGAAGGTTCGCTTTCGATAAAAGAACCGCGATCGAAAATTACAAAAGAGAACGGACGAGAGCGCACCGTCCACAGAATAAGAACATTGTTCCCGAAAAAGGGTTTCGCCAAGAGGGCACTTAGCCCAAGAGCAGTCGAGGAGCTACGTAAAGAAATCACCAGGCAAGATGACCGATGCCGAAACCGTCGCCTACCCGACTAAATAAAACATCGTTTCTCCGATGTTCATAGATACGTTATACGTACGAAATTCGAATTTATTTATCGGCCGAGTAATAATCGGTCTCGGAAACGGCAGAAAGAGCACCGAATCGCTCGTTCAACTAATCCCGCAGTCCCTGTAGAATTGTTCGGGCGCTGCGAGTCGCCTGATAATCAGATTTCAACGCGTTTACAACGAGAAAGATGAGAAACCGACTAAAAGGGGAGCTTTATTCGATTTTATGGAATTATTGTGGAATTAATTTAGCGGTCAACCGAGCTTTCCCAGGCTTTCGTTTCGCTCGGGGAAAGGCGAATGCTTTCCTTTTCTCTTTTTTTCTTCGCTTCCGGCGACGCTCGTCGCGAACGCGATCGCGAGTAAAAATATACGAAGAGAGGCTCGATAACGCGATTATTGAGCCCAGACTCTCGAAATTTTGCTTGACCAACAATTCCGTCCTGCATCTGCCGCCGAGAAAGCTTAACGAGCCACGAGTCACGAGAACGCGCGATTTACCGATAAAGCACGCCTCTGGACGTGCAACGAGTAGCGTTTCGATGCTCGAGGGTGCGACCGCGAGTTTCTCACCGAACTCCTATTCATCGCAAATTCTCTCCGTTATATTTAACGGTGAAGTAGCAGCGGATGTCGCATCGATCAAACCGTTGGGAACTTTGCAAACTTTGCTTAACCTAGACCCGGTGCAAACTTGACGCGAGCCTAAACCTTAATCGGAATCTCTTGTATAATTTCGAGCGACGACAAACACTATTTGCGGATGCCTACGGTGGATTTCGTCGAAATAAAGAAGTTGGTCGCGAATTACGTTTTGACGTTATCGAATTACGCTGGACAATTTCGGTCTATAGCCGAATCGGAATTAAAATTCGTATTAGATGCGCGAATAGGAGAGAACGAAAGGGAAAAGGGAAGCGACGGAACACCGTGTATCCTGGATGAAATAGGGTGGGTGATAGTCGGAGGCTAGGAAATAAGGAGAACGGGGCTGAAAAAACCGACGAAGGGCGTAGAGGTAGGATTCTGGGGATAACAAAAGGCTGAAGAGGGTGCGAGAAGGGCGCTTGCGCGGATCAAGTCTAGCACCTGTGGACCTCATCGATCCGAAACGGTTTGCGAAGCCGCACACTTCGATGCTTTTTAACCTGCCCACGTGAACCCCGGTTCTCTCGTCTTCTTTTTCTTCTCCCTTCCGGCGATTCATCCTGTCCTTTTATCGAACGACTCTTTGATCGTTCGGTTTGTTTCTTTCTTTTCTTTCACCACCGCGAAACCTCTCTCCGATTGTTGAGCGGTAACGTTTTAATCGTTGACCAAACATTTCGACAAACTCTCCTCTATTATATCTCAGAGTTTGCGATGCTAAGTTTTTCATCGGTGCTTCGCTTTCACGTTTCGCGACTGAATTTTATAGGGCTGGAACGGTCAAAGAATGAATTTCATTTTGGTCCGAATTTCGGTGAAATTTTCATTCTTATAGAAACCTCCGGACAAAAGACCGTCCGAGACGTTACGAAGAAATTGATGCCCCTTGTTTCACGGAATAGAACAGCGAAATGCGTCGGTAACGAGTTCAGAGAACGCTCTTTTCCCAAGAGAAGGCGACGCGCGTCCACCTCGGAAAAGATTTCTTTGTAGATGTTCCGTTTTTAGTCTCTTTCCATATTCTCCCAGGTCATTTGTTCCATTTTTATCGCACAGCTAAGGCTCTTGAAACGAAATTGTATTCCTTGAATAAATTAGATAACGAAACTCCGAATTTTGTTTCGTTAAAAAAACGTTATAGAAAAGCAACGATATTCAGGGAACAAGAAAATGATTGTAAAGGCTACGACAAAGATATTTCATTCTCGGGAAAGGAAGGAACGAGCGCGAAATGGAAATCCGTGAAACCCATATCCGGAGAATAGACGCGAAATCCTCCAAGAGGGATGACACGAATAAAATATCCTGACGAAGACGGTGAATCGCCAAGGGTTGCGTCGAAATTGATTTCGGTCGTGTACGACCAATCAATAGCGTCGAGAATCTTTGAAAAGCGCGATACTAATTAATAAAACCGAATTTTTGCTGTCGAATCGGCTAAAGAGACCGGAATCAGCTAACTTTGATTAAAGCCCTTTCAACATTTAACCTATATAAATGTAACGTTTTCAAACTTTTCCGAGTCTTCGTCGAGTATTAAACAATTAGTATAATTAGACAGATAAGTAATTCATACATGTGCCGTTTGCGTGGGTTGAATAGGAGTACGACACGAGCATGTGGGTAGTATCGGATACGCTGGTATAGTCGCAATTAGGAATGAAATATATATCGCTGTGTTTCATCGTAGCGAACTCTTTTGCAAAGATGCGATTCGTTTCGAGAACGCGGACGGTATTAAAGACCTTAAAAGAAATATTTTTGGTAACGTTACAGGTCGACCGCCTGACTTCGTCGCGTTCGTCATCACCATACTGATGATGCTGCTGATGGCTGCAGGCGTGAAGAAATCCTTGGTGTTCAATAACGTGTTAAATGCCATCAATCTCGCCGTTTGGGTGTTCGTTATGACAGCGGGTATGTTCTACGTGGACAGCGCCAACTGGAGCGAGCACAACGGCTTCCTTCCTTACGGCTGGAACGGTGTAAGTACGCTTAAACTAAGGACAATTTCAATTTTCCTCGACAAAACCAACGAAATATTAACGACGTCCCTCTCGATTAATTTTCTCTGAAATAAAATTATCGATCAAAGTTCGAAACCTTGATAAGAAACGATAGAACGTTACGAAAGAGATAAGAGCGTAGACGTTAAGGGAAGGAAATGGGAAAGAAAGGGATGAAAGAAGGTCCAAAGTCGGTCAGAGCAACGCCTCTTGCGCGAGGTTTCCTTCGTTCCCCTGTTTCGGTACAGAACATCGCTTTTCGCTCGCGGTTCGCCGAGATTCGTGGAACAATGGCAAACTTGTTGCATCGGATGGATTTGAACGTTGAAACCGTGTGCATCAGGTGGACAACGGCAGAGAAAGGGAATTCGAATTCACGCTCCGGAGGAATTCGCGTTCTCCGGGAAAATGTGTGAATCGCGCGCATTCGCGTCACAGCTGGAATCGGAACGAATCGACCAAAGAAGCACCAGAATTATTTAGGATTCGACCTAAACGTGCTTAATGTGGAGCACTTTTTTATAGACTGATCAACAAGAAATTTTATAAAGCTTTCTTCCGATTCGCGCGTCCTTGTACTTTGAGGTAATTCGGTTCTTTCAAAGATACACATAGATATATGTATATGTATGTAGAGAGGGTGACTAAGAGGATCGGAGAAGTCATCGACGAAGCACGATCGCGTTTGCAGAGGAAATGCAACGAAGAGGAAAGTAAGAAAATTGAAGTGGACTTGGCCAACAAAGACAGTCGTCGATCTTCGGAATATTAAATGTTCCGTTTCGAGTTGAATTTCGTTGAAAGAACGACGAAGAACGTTTATTTAACGGAACTAGTAGGACGAGGCGAATAAACAGTGGAATATTCATGTTTCATCGGGGAAAAGTAAACGGAATAAAATCGACTGGTAACCGTGTTTCGGTCTCGTAATTCGAAAGAGAAGTTTATCAATCCGTAAAACGTTAAAAACTCGCTCTTAACCGCCTGAGAATTCGAAGAATCGCGTGGTCTGTTCGATCGTAAATAACGAGAAGTATGCATTTTTCAACGGAAAATATTTTTCCGTCGTTTCTGCACGCGATAGTTTCCTTCGAGTTTCTGACTTCGAGCTTCGTCGTGCGTTTATCCTGGATGCCCGATGAATATTTCCGGCCAAAGAAACCGCGAACGTTCTTGAAACCTGAATTTTTAATCTCCACGTTTTCGCCTCCGCTTTCGCCTCCGCCTCGCTTTTTCGTCGCGTATGCTCGAAATACCGTTTCCTCTTCCGGTGGAAACTTTTCTCGCGAGAACGAGATTCTAGTTGACCTGCTTCGATAATTTCTTACGTCATTTTCAAAAGTGTTCGGTTCTTTTAATATATCTCTTGTCGATGGATTAACGATGTTCAAGTATTTTACTACTCTCTCTCTCTCTCTCTCTCTCTCTGTCGCAACAACGATTAACTCCTTTTCAATTCTCGTTAACGCGTGTACTTTGCGCGACCTTATGGACGGGCGTGGGTTTTCCAAGAGTGGCTTTTCGATCTTTAGTGACCTTATCTCCCTCGCCTTTCCAACACACACCCGTGTTTCAAATCCTGTCACATCGAAGAGGTCAAAGTTCACCGACAACAAGCTAGTTACGTTAATATCGTGCTTAATATTAATGCACGATGCGGTTACATCGCCTACGTCGACCCTTTCGCTACGCAAATAGCTCCATTTTCAAAAGTAATTTTATTACTTCGAACGAATAAAATATCTGCTACTCTTCAAAATTTTACTTGGTAGCTACCCTTTGTTCTCTCTTCTCGAATTAAAGTTTCTAGAAAATGATTAATGTCTATTTAAATTAGAAGAGAAGTTTGTTGATCCTTAACGAAGCGGATTAACGTTCCATTTAATCTTAGTTCGCCAGCCGCGTAATTTTCGCTAGAATGAAAATTCTACTGTCCGGTAGCAGTGGTAGTAGTCTCGTCCGAGATCCCGTTAACTTTCGAGTCCCATCGAAGCTGAAGACATCAAGAATGCATAACAGCGTTAAGGGCCGTTGAAGAATTAAATGAACTCGGTTCATTCGTGAGCGACTTTGCCTGGAAAACTCGTCAGCAGTCGACGTACCTTCGTTAAACGGAAATTTCATTTCACGCGAGTGCCGTCGTGCAAGTATGTTTCGAATAGGTTTTTAACCATAGAGAGTCATCTTGTTCTATGATATTTTATCGCGCAAGACGAAAAAAGCCGAACATCGGTTTAATCGTGAATCTTGTTTGTTTCAGGTGTTCACCGGTGCAGCGACGTGTTTTTACGCGTTCATCGGCTTCGATATAATAGCTACCACCGGCGAAGAGGCAACGAACCCAAAGAGGAGCATTCCCCTCGCGATAGTCTCGTCACTGATCATAATTCTCGTCGCTTATGTCACCAGCAGCATGGTGCTGACGCTGATTGGTGAGCAGCTCGTTCAGTTCTCTCCGAAGTTGAGCAGCTCTCCACTACGAATAAAATGGAACGCGAATCCTGATGAAACGTTCAACTTTTTAACTTGTTTTTTTTTTAACCTGTCATTCTTGACGTAAATAGAGCATGTTCCGTATACGTTCGGATAAAAGAAAAAATCCAGGAAAACGTTAACGCTTCGTCGAACGTGTCGTAGAGGTCGAATTGAAAGGTTCGTTTAAAATTTCGCTGAAAATTACGAGACCTTTGCGTCGAAGTAGGAGAAAACATAGTTTCTTTCAATCTTGTTCTCCGTTGATTAATTATTCTTCGATGTTGGTAATTATTAACAGGTGATCGGTGACATATACATAGGCTGATTATTCGCTTGAATTCTGTTGTCTGTCGATTAAAAAGCCCTTGGCCATCCTTGACCTCTCTTCATGCATCCCTGCTTACCCTTCCAACGTCATCGTGATCCTCCAAGTACCCTCGTCACAGACATTGTACGGTTCGTTATGCTTTTAAATAAACGGAGAAGGGGGCTGCACACTTCTAAATACCCAAGGTGTTCTTTCTTCGAAAATAAACGGCGCCTTCTGCTTTTTCGTATCGCGGCTTTGTTTTTTTACTAAACCGTATCCTTCTTGCTCAGTTCCTTACGACGAAGTGGATCAGGATTCAGCGTTGGTGGAGATGTTCGGCCAAGTTGGTGCTTACAAGTGCAAATATATCGTCGCTGTCGGTGCACTGGCCGGACTGACGGTATCCATGTTCGGTAGTATGTTCCCTATGCCTAGAATAGTCTACGCCATGGCTCAGGACGGTCTTATATTCAGGTAAGGGCTTTGGTTCGACGTATCTTTGTTGACACGCGTTTAATAACTAATCGTGTTCTCCAGGAGTTTGAGCCAAGTGTGGCCAGCAACGGGCACTCCGGCTCTAGCAACGCTGACTTCCGGTATGTGCGCAGCTTTAGCTGCACTTTTGATCCAATTAGAGGTCCTGGTAGAAATGATGTCTATAGGTGAGAGTCTTCTAATCGGTAATAACCTTCCTAACGTTGCTTATTGAACAAGTTTTATCGTAACCCTATATTCAGGTACTTTGCTGGCCTACACTCTGGTATCTACTTGCGTATTAATTTTGCGCTACCAACCACATTCCACGAACCTCGTGGAACTGCTACCGCAAAGCTTGAGGACACCCTGTCGATCGCCGACGAAAGAAAATCAGGGAAACGGTCAAGTAACTTACGGCAAAGAACTGCGACCGGATCAGTTAACTACCGCTCTTAATTCCGTTCAAGCTGCGCAATCGGAACTAACAGCGGCGAACAGCGGTCAACGCATCATGGTGAGATATTTATGGGTGTTGCTGGTAAGGTAGCGAGTGGAATTTTCATAATTTCATCGTTAATTCTTTATCTCCGGTTCAGGTGAGACGAGTGAGAAGATGCAACAGTTCGTCGCCAGATTCGGACGACACCTACGGAGCCGAAGAAGACGAAGTAGGTCTGGGAAAAGATGACCAGTATCTAGTTAGCGATAGAACCGAGAATAAGTTTTATGGCAGTGTGCATGCAGCCGCGGCAGCATCCAGTTGTGGTAGTGCGCATCAATATCCAGGAAACACACCGATAATTGGCCAACCATTGAGTTACCTTCAGCGTCGATTACAGGTAACGTTGTATCGTTTTTAAAGCGTACAACTCGAGAATCGCTTCGTTACCAATTGTAATCGGTCCTTCGATCGTTATAGGCAGCACAATACCTTTGCCCTGCTATATTTCCTTGGGTAGATAGAGGTCCAGCAACGGAAGCGTCCGGACGCTACGTCATGAAACTAGTCGGGGTGCTCTATTTGCTGATCGTCATCTTCGATTTGATTGTCGTTTGCGGCATGGGTGAGCCAAAGAAAAACAGATATATATTTTACTTTTCACTGATAATGTTCACGGATCGATATGAACGTTGCTGATTTCAGGTAACATGGGAACCTTCACCACGGAAATAATGTTCGTTTTCCTTTTCGCTATAATTGGAGTGTTACTTGCCATCAGTAGAAAACCACAGAACAGGTACGGACCATTTGTTGGGTCTTCTCCGAGAACGCATCTTTTAATTCGGCAACTTTTTTAGGAATAGCATGATGTTCATGACTCCGGGACTGCCGTTCGTTCCTGCGATTGCCGTCACCGTTAATATATACCTCATCTTCAAGTTGAGCATCTTGACCCTAGTCAGATTTACCATCTGGATGATACTCGGTAAATCGAATGGATTTTTTATCCGATATAAATTAAAAACTTAATGTAGCCTAAACTAATCCAGATCATTCTGATTACAGGTTTCATTATGTACTTCTACTATGGCATAAAACATAGTAGCCTGGAGGAAGCGAGCAAATCCGAGAACTTAGAAGAGAACACAGCCGGCGGGAACATCGAGCTGACGGTGACGGATCCGCAGAGACAGCCGCAGACACAGCCGACGCCTTACGTAACGACTGATCGTAGCATTTACGAGGGTCAACAGTTGGACGCGTTCGGTCAACCGGTGTTTGGCAGCACGAATTTCGGTGGGACACCAAGCCAGAGGCAAGAAACCGCTGGTCCAACGCTTTTCGTCGCTCAGGAAAACTTCCCCACCTGGGACGACTGAGTGGCGAACAAAGCCGATATAAATATATATATTTGAAGATGTAAGATGAATTATTATGCGAGCCTGACCGGCGTCGAATGTTCACCGGCATAAAAAAAAAATCGACCTTTTCGGAGCTCGCCACAGATCCTGGCCTTTGAACGACGATCAAATAATGGAGCACCATGAATTGCCTCCTTTAGAAACTTTTTTGTTTACCGAGACTGAGCTATAGTTTATTAGTCGATAATACTGATTTAATTAGTCGTTTGACGAGAACGAGAACGAGAACGAGAAAGCTAAAAGCGTAAATAACCTTTCTCTAAAGAAGTTCCTTCAATTTTTAGTTTAACTTTTCTTTCGTTATTTACTCGAAAATAGAATCTTCTTTTCTAACGAGCCGTTAGAATAGAAATTCTTAACTTCACCTCAAAAATGTATATCGTTAGAGGAAAGAGTGCACCGATGGAGCATCGATGATCGAACAGAAGGTGCTGCTTCGAAATTTTGAGCTTCCCTTAATAATTTCACTTCTCCATACTGAAATATGTCAATTTCCAATCCATTCTGATCGACCGTCGACCCCCGGATGTACCTCGAGAATTATTTTCTTTAATGAAAACGAACTAACGAAACCGACGAAGGGAAAAAATACGAATGGCAAATCTGCGATTGTCCGAGGGACAAACTTGTTGACTACTGATTGGGACGAATGTAGCAAATAATTTTCGCGGCAATATTTATTATTCTAGTTGTATAAAAGCAAACAAGAGAGAACGAAAGAATGAGAGAAAGGGAGAGAGCGAAAGAGAGAGAGAATGAGAGAGAGAGAGCGAGCGAGCGAGAGAGAGAACGTGAAGGAATACAATGTAGGCGAAGAAAAAAAAGAGGAAGGTGGGACGAGAAATACGAAATGAAAGAGACCATTATCATTCTTAGGCGTAAGGCGAAATTTGTGTTTTCCAAGAGAGCATTTTAACTGCTATACGAGATATGTAAGTTTAAACGTATCGCTAGACACGGAAGGGAGAAAAGAAAATATGCGAGAATGAGAACGAAAGAAAGAAAATTTGTTCCTGAGTCGAGAAACGCGAATAAAAGAAGAGAAACGATCGTCAGGGAATAAGAACAGGATTTTGCCTAAAATCTAATAGTCTATCCCATCTCGGATGAAGCTTAGCATTAACTCGTTGTAATCCTAAGAGAAAAAAAATAAGGAACAAATCTATGCTTAACTTCTTCTACGCTCTTCTCAAATTATAACAAGAGAAAGACGTTTTCATTGATCATCTTTGTCCGTTCTTTCTACAAATCGCTTTAAAAACGTAAGCCCCCTGCTTGCGTACGATTAAAAAGTTTCTTCTACTTATCCAAGTGTTGCAGGGGGCGGTGTATCGAATAGACAGAAATTCGGTGTTCCATACGATCACATTCCTGTGTATGTAACTCGATTATTTCATTTTATTTTATTCGAAGGGAAGGTTGTAAAAAATATTCGAAGAAGAATAGATTGTTCGCAAACTATTTTAAAAATAATCATTGGAGAACGGAGATTTTACAAAGTTCTTAAAAAACACATATCTATTATTTAACTGTAAATGTTGTTGAACGTCCAGTTTCCGTAACAATGACAAGTTCCTACAATTGTTGAACGCTCGTTGTCATTTTATTAGAGATTTTTATGATTCTTCGATAAATATTTTCAATGTACTTCGGACGCGACTATCGATTTCAGTTTTTCAGAAGACTTGTCGAATTCTTCCTATCTTTCTGAGATAGTGTTAAAAAAGGAAGAAAAATGTTACTGAAAATTAAAAGACAGTTATAACGGATAGAAACGAAAAGTCCTCTTTCCGAAGAAAAGACACGAAGATTACGAAGCTTACAGGGGGCAGCTGTATAAACTTACATTTCAAGGTTTATTATTCTATTCTGAAAACTACATATCGATCAGTGATCTTTTCACATATCAGCCTGCAACTTTTGCAGGGAAAACATCCGCGATATTCTGAGAGAAAAAGAAAGAAAGTATGCCAGAGGGAGAGAATGAAGGAGAACATGAGCGAGATTGATCGAAATATTTATCTTTAAGTATTAAAGCGTCTGTCAAAAATTTTCTATATCGACGATTGATCAAGCTGGATGAAGAAACGGTGTTAGAAATTCTCAGTTCCGAATTTTAAGTCCCACGTGCAATATTTGCCACCAAAAGGGTGCTAAGGATGAAGAACAATCAATTCAAAATTTCAGTTGCAAGTTGTTTACGATATTCCTTTTACGTAACGAATGTAACTAAATCTGAAGCATGACTAGAGAATAACTAAATAAATGATTATTATCTAACACATTGCTCGCGATAGAGGCAAATAACCGAGTACCGAAAGCGGATGAAAATTTTGCGTATCGCTAAAATTATACTATCGATTAGATGCGTTGCAAACCACTAATTCTACTATACCGGTCAATGTGCTAAACAAATAAGTTGACCAGAAAAATCGATCAAATCTTTATCCATTGCACTCTTTGATTAGCGATGTAACTTCGAAGAGAAGAACGAAAAGGGGTTCTATTCTGTGAGAGAAGAGTGCCTGTACAATATCCACTTACAAAATCCTTGGAACTTTAGACAACACTTAGAGATGATTTTCTTGAACCTGAACCTGAACCTTGAAGCATCGAAACGATCGAAAGAGTCTCTCCGAAAACTTTTTTTTAAATGTAGGAGCTTGATCATCGAGGACATTAGCAATTTAGAAAATAAGGAAATCGTGGAGAGTCTCCTTCGAGAGGAAACATCGAAATAAAGTCGGTGGCAAAAGCAGCATCTCGATTAATTCTGATTTTTGCTTTTTTCTTTAATATTAGTCTTTCAAATTTTCTTTATCCACGCAAAGAAATGGCCTATTGTTACGTGCGAAAACTAGCCATCTTCGTGCAATATTTCAAGCCTCTTTTTTATTTATTTATTAACACGGGTATACCTGCGAAGAAGGACAATTAAGGATTGCTTCAACTATTTTTTATGATATTCTTCTGTCGACATACAAGAGAGAGATAATGTTCAAAAATTCGTGAAAACGTCGAATCAGATGGAACGCTTAAAAAAAATCGAGGGGAAAGAGAATAAGGGGGCGAGAATGGACGAGAGAAACAGGGAGAATGAGTGATCGGTGTATAATTCTGTATTTTTATTATCTTTAATTTCCTTTTTCTTCTCTCGGGGAAAATCGAAGTATCTTGGGAAGATATATGCGCACCAGGAGGACAGAATTTTCCATGTAATATACATATAAATATATATACCCTTACGTAACTACGTTGTTTAATATTGATAAGGATCAAAAATAAAAGTGATTATTCAGAAAGTAAGCTATTTGTAAATTATTCGTGAATCATTAATTACAAACTTTTCCTGACTTGTCAATTTTTATCCTTGCAAATTATTTTCTTTCCTCTTAGTTTTTAACCATTGCTTCTTCGACCAATTCTTCTTTGAATAATATAAACTTTTTGTACAAATTTAAACTTACTGAGCGAGCGCGCCGAAGGCGAGGGTGAACTAAACGTAAAAAATGAGGGTCCGAACACGCATATAAGGAAAATAAAAAAATGAATATTTTCGCACTTTGACGACGTAGTATGGTTCCTGAGGCATATAGAAACAAATTTCTATTAGGGTTTGATGCGTTTTGATGCCTAATAAAGGCAGAAAATGAATTTTTGTCGAATTCGGTCGAAAACGGTACAGGTGGCGCCATCTAGCGGCGAGTGGCGGAACTACGAAAAACTAAAATCTCGATTCTCTCGAAAACTAGGGACTTTTTCGAAATTCTGAGACATACAAATTGTTCCTTATCGCCTACGGAATTGAACGAATGTAATTATAGCCCGCTAGGACAATTATTAAGGAAAATAGAAAAATAGCCCATTTCATGGACTAAAATATTGGCGTCCATCTAGCGGTGAAAGTTGGAACTACAAAAATAGAAAATCACGATTTTCTCGAAAACTAGGGACTTTTCCGAAATTCTGAGATATACGAATTGTTCCTTGTCGCCTACGGAATCGAACGAATGTAATTATAGCCCGCTAGGACAACTATTAAGAAAAATAGAAAAAAAGCCCATTTCATGGACTAAAAAATTGGCGTCCATCTAGCGGCGAAAGTTGGAACTACAAAAATATAAAAATGCGATTTTCTCGAAAATTAGGGAACTCTGAGTACTTCTGAAGCTCAGAAAGTGTCATGTGATCGCATTAGAAGCAAAATAAAGCAATAAAAGTTTCCTGAGAGCTTTAATAAAGAAACTAAAAAATATGTCATTTCATGGAGAAAATTACAGATTTTCTACTTCTACTAATTCCCGCTTCTTTACATCAGCGATACGATCAATTGAGAAATAAATAAATGCGACGCGATCACCTTTTCGAGCTGAATTTCGACTCCTGGTATCAGGATTAGAGATTCTTAAAGGAGGTTGGTGATCAAGAGAGTATAAAACCAAAGTAAGTAACAGGCAAAGGAAATTTTCTCTTTACCGTTGCTAGATGACGCCGCTTACACCGTAGTATAATATTTCATTGACCTCTTCTGACATTCTGCCATCCTAATAATAAAAACTGAAATCGAGTCAGAATTATTACAACGATGTTATGAAATGATTTGAAACACCGATTTATAACACGAACAACAATGGCATAAACACAAATTTAGTTTTAGGATCTTTCAGAATCTTTATTGACCGATATTTATTACATTTAGCTGGATATTACATTTGTAGTACAATCTAACGTACAGTGGATTACTGAATTAACAAATTCTGATTATTTCAAACAGTATAGTTCAATTTACATTCATTTTAATAACTACCAACTATGACTGAAAGATAAATTCCGTAGCTGTTTCAGAATTTATTATTGCTCAATATAACAATATTCAACACATTAATATTTCTACAGGGTTTCCAATGGTAATAGAGAAATCGCGTAACACGTATATGAATCAAAGCAGAGTTTCAGAGAATTCGTTGCAGATATTATGTAGTTCAACTCGATTCTCTAATGGCTCGTGTTATGTAATGGTTTAATTATGTAAAAATAAGATAAAATAACTTAAATGTAATAAGTACCTACGTCAATGTAACTGTACTTCGTCAAAAACATTTCTTTCACTTAAAACATTTATACGAGCGTTAAGGTTCAGTCGTGCTTACTGTCTGTATCGTAGGTCTATCAAGATGTCATATGTCATATTTACAATTATTTAAATAAATATATAAAACTATATATAATAATAGATTTTACATTATTTATACTACATGCTGACACGGGATGTACTATGAATGGAAGATACACAAACCCAGTACATTGATCTATAGAGTAGAATAAAATTCTGATGGTTTAAGACGTTAAAGTGGTATGGGAACTTGTACGTTGGAATGCTGTTAACTAAACTGGAAAGAAAAGCCATCAGGAAAATCGGATGCATGGAACTGATAGCTATCGCTCTGGTTGAAGAACGTTTGGAACGCTGCAGTTGGATCGATATCTACAAATATATTTTCGATATTAGATGTTTGTTAAGAAGAACCCCGAAAAAATGAAGTAAATCGAAAAAGTATTTAAACCTTGAAATCCTCCATCACCGTCTTCGATGTCATATATGTCGTGTCCACTATCGTAACGTGACCGTTTCTTAGGATCAGATAGAATCCCATATGCTTCGCCTACTTCTTTAAATTTCTTTTCTTGTTCTCTCTTTTCCCCTTCAGTTGCATTGGGGTGTCGATCTGAACGATTGACAACGAAAACAGAAATTAGTAAATTTAAATAATTGAACAAATATATATTTTCGAACTTACCAGGATGATGAACCATTGCTCGTTTTCTATACGCTTTTTTGATATCATCGGTTGATGCATTCTTATCGATACCTAAAATCTTATAATAATCTTTCCTCTTTGATTTCTTCAGTGCTACTTTTGCTTCCATTAATAACCGTCTGTTATCTACAAAGTAACATTAATCATTGATTATAAAATGAAATGATCGATTATAAAGAAACGAATTATTTCGTTTACCGCGACTTTTATCTATTTTGCATGCTTTTTCAAGATCATAAACAGCTTTTTCATAATCTTCGAGCTCCATATACGAAGCCGCTCTTCTTAAAAGAGCTTTCAAATAATTTTCATCTAATTTTAATGCTTCTGTACATTCTATTACTGATTCATTTAGCCGGCCTAACTGCAAAGTAGTAAACAAAGTTTTTAACCTTTTTCAGAAAATGTATCCTAAACGAAAATAAAAATATAATACCTTTGCTGCAACTATTGCTTTATTAAAATGAAGTTTTGCATTTGTTACTATGTTTTGAGGATCTATGGCCAAAGCTTCGCTATATAATTTGTATGCTTCCTGATACTGTTCCTTTTTATAAGCTGCATTTCCTTCTTCTTTTTTCTTCTTCAGGCTTTTAGCTTTCTACAAAGTTATAGTATAACATTATAGGGGTTTCAAAAAGATTCGATTGAACCATTTGTTACCTTATATATCTCTAATGTCTTTGCATGATCTGGTGCTAATCTGAGTATTTGTTGAAAATATGCAAATGCTTTGTCTATATTATCTTGGAAATACAAACATACTGCTCGAATACACATAGCATCCACATTTTGCTTATCAAAATGTAAAATATCACTGAAATATAAATGAAAACGGAATAAAATAGGATCTAGTGGTCTAATGTGATTTATAAACTTTGGGAACAGTACAGACAAACATACTTTACAATATTTTGTGCATCTTGATATCTTCCCAAAAATGCTAAGCACTCTGCTTTAGTCAACTTGAATCTTGTACACGAAGTGCTTATGTCGCAACAACGATCCATACAATACACAACCTAAATATATTACAAAAGATTGATAATTATTAATTGCATATACATTTTATGTTATCCAAATTGGACACCAAACCTTACGATAATCCTTAGCAGCATATGCAGCTTCTGCATCTTTTATAAATTGCTGTACAATTTTCAAAGACCATTTTGCTCCAGATATTGCTTCATTTTCAGGATCGAGTTCTATTAACTTTGATAATGTAGTTTCAGCCTCCATAATTTCCCCCAAAATTAAACAACATTTTATGACCCTCACATATGCCTAAACATAAATAGATTAAAATCAAATACTACTTAATTGTTTCATATGGTTTTATACATAGTTCAAAATTTACTTTAAACGATTTAGGATCCAACTGCATGCTTTTCCTTGCATTTACTAAAGCATCACGATATTTTCCAAGCATTATATAACATGCTGCTCTGTTTGCATAATATAATGCATTATCTGGCCACAGTTCTAAAAAAATATTCATCTTGTCTATTTGCCTGTCATAGGACTATATTTAAATGATATACTTTACCAATAAGTTCGCTATAAAGTATCAATGCTTTATCATATTTGTTTAGAAAATGAAGTTCCTTAGCAGCTTGATTCTTCTTATTTGCCAATCTAAAACATGATAAATGATTCAACATTTATAACTTTATAACAAGTCACCAAGCTTACATAAAATTGATAACAAAATAAGAATTATTCTGCAGACTTTGCATATTGCATGAAATTTTATAATTTATAATTTACAGAATTAAATATATTTTATTCAAAGACTATGTAATGTGTATAAATTACTTACAATTACATTATATTAAATTTTTTAAATAGATTACATTGTAATCAAGAAGGTGATCAACCAATTTGAGGGATATGCTATTTTTGCTTGATTAAAAGTGGATAATTATGATAAAGTGTAACAATTGATATTACATTTCCATGTTATATACTTACTCTTCAATGGATTTTTCAGGATCCATATCAGTGGTCGTAGTACTTGCCATTATTACTGCAGCCTTTACGATAATGAAGTAGGAATATTCCCGCAAGACAAAATGACATTCAACGAAATGTTACGTCTTATACATAGACTATTCGATACTTTCTATCAAACTAATAATCTCGTTATATCGAAATATACACACTCTACCCAAAATTTCCTTATTTTCTTTGTGTAAAAGCTTTACTTCCTCTAATACTACCAACAGAAGGGACGCATTTGTAATGATCTCAAGATGGGAGTACCTACGTGTTCAAAAATGCATTCAAAATAATTCATTAAAATTTCAATACTCTATTATTTAACGCTAATTATTATCCATATACAAAACGAACAATGTTATCGATTAATTATTATTTATATAAATTTATTCGAAAAAATTATTTGAAAATTATTCTGTACGTATTAAATATTATTTTAGAGATTTTGTAAATTTTAACATTTATAGATTTACATTTCTATAACATAAAAAATTTTTTAAAAAGTTGTTGGGAAACAATAGTTATTATATTACAAATATAATGAACTATTATGATTTAGTTTTGGAACACTTCTTTATGGCGTATAGCATGTAGAACAATATATGCTAGCATGTATAGTATTTCTTCAGCCCTTGGCAGTCTAACCTGCAGTGTGCGTGCGTTTTAGAGGAGAAAAAACGATTACTTTGATAATCTGTAAGACTTGTAATATATATGTAAATTTGTATTTTTCGAATCATTTTTCGTTGGTAACATTTAATATATAATATAAAATCTTATTAATTAATATATTGTGCCATCTGTTCGAAACTCAAAACATATATCTTTACATTTGCATACATGATCACTTTCATTATAGTATTTTGTTGCAGTACCATTTGAAAAATGAGTCGGTTTTTTGCTACTGGATCAGACTCTGAGTCTGATACTGCCTCAGAAGAAGAACAGATTCAAAAAGCACCAACTGCAGCTTTCACGGTAAATATAAGATTCAACGTACTTCATATTTTTGTTATTTCATACAGTAAATGCACCAATGTGATGCAACAATTTTCTTTATGTAGTTCAGCGATGAAGAAGAAGAAACAAAAAGAGTTGTACGCTCTACAAAAGAAAAACGATATGAAGAAATTGCTAATCTGATCAAACTTATAAGGAACTATAAAAAGATTAAAGATATGAGTAGCATGCTTTCCAGTAAGTAACTGTAATATTTAATGATGTTAGTTGAAAAAAATGCCATACTTTATTAATAATAATCTTTGGCTTGCTGCTATAGGTTTTGAAGACTTGATGCGTGCTTATCAGAAGGCATTGCCTGTAATAGCAAAAGAAGAAGGTGGTCAGACACCTCGTTTTTATATCAGATGTTTAGTAGAAATGGAGGATTTCATCAATGAAGTATGGGAAGATCGTGAAGGACGTAAAAATATGTCAAAAAATAATTCAAAATCATTGACTTCTTTGCGTCAAAAACTTCGTAAATATAATAAAGACTTTGAGGAAGATATAGCCAAATTTAGAGAAAATCCAGATCAGGATGATGATGAAGAGGAAGAAAAACGTAAATGTCACTTAGAAACATTAAATATATAATTGTATGTAAATGTTAATAAATATCTTAAAATTTTAGCTGAAGAAATTGTACAATCTGAAGATGAGGATGATAGTGCAGTAGCTTTTAAGAAAGCTGGATCTGAAGCAAGTGAACCAGATATATCTAAATTTAAGGTTTGTATCATGTAATTCACTGTTATGTATATTATAAATTACATCTTTGTGCGCATATTTTACAGAAAAGTGTAGTTGACGGCGAAGATGGCAGCGAAAGCGAGTCCGATTGGGGCAGTTCTTCGGATAGCGAAAGCACTAGCAGCGAGGATGAAGGCCAATATCAAAATATACGTGAACGATTTATTAAAAGGTATGTATAATCATAAGTGATATAAACTGAGTAGAGACATTAACGGTAATTTGTATGTGTTAATGCGAAAAATCAATTTCTGAACAGAGCCGCGGATAAAGAAGACGAAGAAGATAAAGTAAAACGAAAGGAACAACGAAAGGAACGTAAAGAAAAAGAGAGGAAAAAGAAGAAAGACGAGGATGATGGAGAAGGCGAATGGGAAACGGTTAAAGGCGGAGTAGCTATTCCATCCGAGAAACCGAAAATGTTTGCAAAGGATGCTGAAATTAATGTAGCTGCTGTACTAAAAAAACTTTCGGAAATTATCGCAGCTCGCGGTAAAAAACGTACAGATAGACGGGAACAAATCGAATTATTGCATGAATTACAATCCATAGCCGACGCGCACAATCTTGGACCAGCTGTAGCAGTAAAGATTAAATTTTCCATTGTATCTTCTATTTTCGATTACAATCCTAAAGTATCAGACGCGATGAAGCCCGAGTATTGGTCAAAGTTCGTATACATTTAAAATTTTTCAAATATAAACTTCGTTCCTAGTTTACAAATAAATAAATTAATTACACGATGCAGGATATTAGAACGTATAATGGAAATGCTTTATATGCTTTTGAGCACTAAAGATATGATAATTGCTGAAGTCATTTCCGAGGAAACTGAGGAATATGAAACTCCCCCGTATAAAATACACGGATGTGTGTTAACTTTAGTAGAACGATTGGATGAAGAATTTACGAAGTTACTAAAAGAATGTGATCCACACAGTAATGAATATGTTGAAAGGTACATTTAAAAATATATAAGTAATGAATATATGATTAAAATATTATTTATAACTGCTTTTTAGATTGAAAGATGAGAAACAAGTATCTGCTATAATAGACAAAGTTCAAGAGTATTTAGAAGGGCAAGGAACTGTTTCAGAACTTTGCCGCGTATACCTGCGTAAAATTGAACATTTATATTATAAATTTGATCCTAACGTTCTTAAACAGAAAGAGGTAAGAAGCATATTATTATTAAAATCTTCTGTAAGCATGAAAATATAAAAATAAGTAACTTATTCCTTTTTATTTTTAGGGAGAGCTTCCGCCAGATGTTGTAACGTCTGTACAGGTTATGGAAAAACTGTGTAAATACGTTTATGCGCACGATGGGACAGATAGACTTCGAACTCGTGCGATTCTTTCCCACATTTATCATCATGCTCTTCACGATAATTGGTTTCAAGCGCGTGATTTAATTTTAATGTCTCATTTACAGGAGACTATTCAGCATTCCGATCCAGCTACGCAAGTGTGTACTTCTCTGATACAAATAATGCATTTGTTTCATTTGCCTATATTTTTCTAAATATTTCCTCTTACAGATTTTGTATAACAGAACTATTGCTCACTTGGGCTTATGTGCATTCCGTCACGCAAATATTAAAGACGCGCACAATTGTTTGGTTGATTTAATGGTAACCGGCAAAGTAAAAGAACTTTTGGCACAGGGGCTTCTTCCGCAAAGACAGCACGAACGTAGCAAAGAACAAGAAAAAATTGAGAAACAACGACAAATGCCATTTCACATGCACATAAACTTGGAACTTCTTGAATGTGTTTATTTAGTTTCTGCAATGCTCATTGAAATTCCATATATGGCTGCACACGAGTTCGACGCAAGAAGAAGAATGATTTCAAAAACTTTTTATCAACAGTTAAGATCCAGCGAGCGTCAATCGCTAGTTGGTCCCCCGGAATCTATGCGTGAACACGTTGTGGCAGCGGCAAAAGCAATGCGTAATGGAAATTGGTTAGCTTGCAATAACTTTATTATCAACGAAAAGATGAACGCCAAAGTTTGGGACCTCTTTTACCAAGCGGATAAAGTTCGTGATATGCTTACGAGATTAATTAAAGAAGAAGCACTAAGAACATATCTGTTTACGTATTCGCACGTCTACGATTCAATTTCAATGCCAAAATTAGCAGAAATGTTTCAACTGAAACGACCGGTTGTTCATTCCATTATCAGTAAAATGATTATCAATGAGGAGTTAATGGCATCTTTAGACGATCCAACAGAAACTGTTGTAATGCATCGTAGTGAACCAAGCCGCTTGCAATCCTTAGCGTTACAGCTTACCGACAAAGTTAACAACTTTGTCGATTCCAACGAACGTATTTTCGAAATGAAACAAGGTAATTGATATGAATCTTAAATAATGTTTGTATAAATTTCCATGTTACTAATATTATGTTTTATGATGTAGGAAATTTCTTTTCAAGAGGAAATCAAGGAAACTTCCGAGATAGACAAAATTATAATCGACAAGGACAAGATTGGGGTCGTCAAAGACGCGATCGTGACAGAGATCGTAATCGGGAAGAGAATCGAAATTATTAAATTAGAATCAAATATTAAATGTTATTTATTTGGGTGTTTAACATTGGATTATTATTGCGCCGTGTATGCACTCGTGTAAATAACATTGAGAATAACAGTATAAAAAAGTAACTGTATATTGTTTCAGTGTATTGTTGAAACAACCATACTTCCACAGTTGTGGTTTTTTACATATAAAATATTCTATTTATCATACAAGGTTTTTAAAACATTTAAATTTCTTGTACCTTTTCAAGCATTTTATTACCGGTTATTATACTATCAGACGCAAGAACAAGTCGAATACCAGTTGACTTTTCTATGAATCTACACGCTGTTATTTCAGCGTAAGTAATACCGCCTATGATGCATATTACCACCATTTTTGGTAACAATGAACCACGTTGACCGTTTATAACACAATTCGATAAATTTGCTAATTCTTCAAGATTCTTTGGATCCTTTTCTTGATTTACAATTGCATTTAATACTTGAGCCTGTAAAAATACAGTTCTCGTCGTTAAATACAGTCTCGTTAAAATATTACTGAATCAAAAGAACTAAAGACGATACTAACAATTAAAGGTATATAAGCGTTATTGAATACATAACTAGGGCACGATCGACTTTGCTGTTCTGCCTGTTTTGAAGTACTTGGAAAAAGCTTTAGTTTCTGTGCGTTGTTGTTCCATTCACTGGTCCAATTTGGTAATTTGTGGAAAATATTTTCTGCTCTGTACCTTAGTAAACCTATACTTTGTAATTTATAAAATAACGGCGTATGCCTGTAACCATGCGCGTGAAGATGAACTTTTTGAATAGAGTGTAATTCATTCTGTGTAATACCGTCACTCACGATAGACAGTAAACATAATAAACGTAAAGTTCTCAATGGATGATCGTCTGAAAAATAAATCGACTTAAAAATGAATCTTGACATAACAAAATAGTAATTCATACCTATATATCTTTCGATGTAATTGAAACATTCTTTTCTTTCTCTACATTCAAGTATACATTTTTCTATTTTCTGTAGTGTTTGAAAATCAGAACCTAACGTATCCGCGATAAGTTGGCAAGCAGAAATATGAAAAGCAAGATGACGCGTTAAATCTCTAGTTTTCTGTAATTTTGTCGATACGTATTTTTCCATTTCAGACAACTTCATCGTTTGTATCGCGTCTTGTTCAGCTAATATATAACATCAAAAATATTAGAGATTTATTATAATCGTATTAATAAAAAAAATTATATGTAAATAAGTATACATTTTAAAGATTTGGCTTTTCCATGTAAAATTGGAAAAACATCACTGCATGGTGTGTCTCTTACTTCTCTATAAATCTGATCTTTATCTGGGTCTAATTTGGTTTGAGATTTTCCCAGGATACCTACTCCAACATTTATGTCTATCACTTCGTGTAATAATCCAACGTATGTTACTGGAGTTAAAAGTGACGTAGCAAAATCATAATTTCTATCCATTAAAATTAAAGTTCCTATTTCATTTTCTATGTTTGATGAACCCAAACATTGTTTCATAGATTCCATAATTTTGAGTAATTGTTGACTGTATTTCCCAATTGAAACTGTGAGCTTAGGTGCACCAACTATAAGTTGCAGTGACCACAAACAACGCGCTAATGCTGGTAGTAAAGTAGTATCTTTGTGATAATAAAGATCAATGAACATAGCATTTTCTAGAGATAAGATGTTTCCATCTAATCTTATGAATTCCCAGCACAATGTTTGCAATGTAACTAATCCAGACAAGCCTAAAACAATTTTGCTGTATTACAGATTATAACAATTACTATTGTTGCATTTAATAATAAAAATAAAATAATCACCCTCTTCTTCAATTATTGAACCAAGAACGGTCGGTACAAATGGTGTGACTAGGATATGATGATTTGGCTGTAATCGTGGTCTCATATTTAGTGAAATTTCTGATTGTATTTGATCTAATACTCTCTTACAAGCAATTAGATCACTTGAAACTAGAAATATATGTTGAGAATTTGTAAGTTTTAAGCCTTGTTCCATTTTATAAATTTTTTCAACTCCATAGCGTCTAAATAAAGAATAATAATTAATGTTTATTTCAAAATATTATTTTTTAAACAATAGTTAAAAGACAATTACTTAAGAATAGAAACTCCTATAAAACTATCCAAGATTTTCATAAGTTTCTGTTCTATCACCAGATCTTTTGTTCCAGGAATTGCATCCAATATCTCAACGAATTTTCGTTGGCTAATTTGTTGCAATACGTTTAATCTATCATCCAACGTGATATCCATCTTTTTAGCGTTTAGAGCTTTAAAAATCAACTAAATATTTGATAACTGATTATCTATTTTTAAAAGTTAATATGTAATATTTACAAATAAATATCGAAGTTTTGTAATATTTAAATATATATTTTTTATTAACTGACATAAGTTTTACGAGAAGGTAAATACCGTGTATGTATATAATTTCGGCGTTTCATTTATCCATCCATATTTATTTAGATTGTAGGTTTTCCCTTGCAAACCTCTTATGAGATTGTAAGTACGAGTTAACTGATACACCCATATGACAAAGTTTCATAAATCAGAGTGGATCGCGTTTGAGTTTGAGTTTGAGTTTGCTCATTCAATGCTCACGCGTATCTTTCCGTAGGGTTATTTAAAAATGGCGGACGCATCGTCTTCCGATACTACCTCAGATTGTTGCAATGAATGGTTCTCTGATATTACTTCTGAAAAATCGGAGTACATTATAGTGGGCCAGAAACCGTGCCTCTCTCATCGTCGGAGTAAAAAACATTTCTTACAGAAGCTATTTTTAAGAGAGGTAGGCTTGCTTAACCTTCAACCTACCGAAGTATTAATAAAATTGACGGATCGTAAATACCTGTCAAAATTGATATTTAATTCGAGAAAACAACTTAGTATATTTACAAAAAGAAATTGAATTGTTACTTACTGACGTATATTCATTATTATAACATCTATCACATTAAACTTCTATTGATTGCAAGAAAAAATGTGCTTTTGTTCTTGCTCATGAAGTTTATTTTATTATTTTCTTCTTTTTGTTACAGTTTAATTTGTTAATAGTAGTTGCATGATGTCTAGGAGCTTGAAATGAAATTATACAATATCAAAGCATGATGGAAAAATTAGAACTTGTACATTAAAAATAAAGAAAAATAGTAACATTGCAAAAAAAATTAATTTTTATAGATCAGAGGTTGTTTACAAGCGCACAATTATGCTTCAGAAGAAAGACTGTTTGCTACTGTACCTTCGTGGCGACATTTACCACTTCTACACGTAATCCCAAAGTCAGCATTAGAAGCAGGGTATGTTTAAAATTTATGTATATATATATATATTTCAAAGCAACTAAAGACAAACATTAAAAATTATTTGTGAAATGCATATTATACTAACAGTAATAATTGTTTTTGAAGACACATTGTAATGGGATTGACACAGTGTGGTCAGTTTTTACTTACATATACATACACTATGGATGTGAGTGGCAATACTTCCTTATATAAATATTTGTTACATTGGTGGGCTTTTACTCCGAACCATGTTGCACGTAAGGTTGCAGAAGTCACTCTTTTTGGCAACTACACTATCTACAGAGAACTGAGTATAGTTATATCTCAATGGCCAATGGAACGAAGTAAATTAGTAATACATGGTCTTTGGTAAGTTTTAATTAGATTATTTTGCTTATAAAATACTTTACAATTAATCAATGATAAATAAACAATTTTTAGTACAAACTGGTTACACCTTCAACCTACAGATAGAGCATATTTAACAATAACTACAGTACCTTCTCTTGAAAATTGTAAAGATTGCTTGAAGGTTGCAGCATCTTACGAAGAAGAGGGTGAAGGTAACATAATATTATAAGTATAAAGTGTGCAATAAAACCATACAACAACAAAAAATATATTTGTTCTATGTTTTTATAGAATTAGCAGCAAATTGGGACGGTTGTGTACGGTGTAACTGTCTTCAACATGGGCTTACTGTTCATACTACTTATGAAGTAATTTCCCCATATCCTAGGTTTCGAGCTACTGTCTGTTTGAATTATTGGAATCATGTAGTAGTTAACACAGGAAACTTTTTACATGTACTCAGGGTAGACTTGGACATTCCAAAATCCAAAAACCAGAAGACTTGTGATAAACAGGACACTGTCATTGCTGATACAGTGCCATTAGACATGAGTGATGTAGAAGAATTGGATTATACAAAGGGGGTAGAACGTTACGAAAGTTCCGATGAAAAAGTAGGTACACCCGAGTGCGCGGTCGACCAATCCCCGAAATGTGAATCAAGTATCGAACATGAGTATCTAGAAGAACCAATTAAATTATATGATAAGTTAAATCGTGATTCATTAAATACCTCAATCATTAATCAAAGCGATTGTGTCTGTGATATAAATAAGTCTGCCGATGCTATAAGTGTTAAATCATGCGAGTGTTTGGATGCTAGTGAATGTAAATGTCGAAATGCGAGTCCGGTTTCTCGAACCGAACAGCAAGCAATATCGGTTAGGGATAAAATTTTACAAGATTTTTGCGAGGACATGTCTCAAGAACTCAATATAGGTAGTGACCTAATTACTTTAGTGAAACATCCGTCGTGTTCACCACGGTCTACGCCGCAAAGACTTCCTTCTGATCTCAAAGCGATAACGTGGTCTTCGCCAATTCTTACACCACCTTCGGATATTTTGAAAACCCGAAATTCAGAGTCTAGTCATAAAAGTATCCGCACCCAGCGTTCGAGTTCTCCGCAACCTGGTGTTTCAGAAGATAATAACATAACTTCTGTCAACTCTCCTCTTCATTCGGTCTCCATGAGTCCTTCGTCTTCGTGTTCATCGCGTTTGATGTCACCGCCTGTATCACGTTCTTTTCGACATCCGAGTCCTCGAAAACGATCAAATTTACATTCTCCTCCGCCTATCGTGAATTCAACGCAATCAAGAACAAGACCTACGCATAAACTTATCCTCGAAGCGGAAAAAGCATACGAATTTACTGACGAAGCACAGGAAACATGCGAAAAGCTTAGTTCATTTAGGAAACGAAGACTTGCCGACAAAAAGTACGAGTTTTGCGATGAAACCGAAGATGCGGAAAACATAGTTCCTTTCAAACATATACGGGATCAGTTTAAACATCGCGGCTGTTCAATACATCAGATACCATCGTCTCCGACGATGTCGCCTGCGCTACCAAATGGCAAAAAACATTGGGTGGATTCCGATCAAAGCGAAACCGATGATTTCAATATCAATCAAGACATTAGTGGACCCAATGATTTAACCGTCGATTCAGGTATATTTATTACGAATATAAAAGATACATTGAGTCCTTGAATTTAATTGATGATGTTATTTTAATTTTTTATAGCTGAAAAAAATGTGTTACGCCCATTAAATCAAAATCAACTACCTAATGGCGGCATTAGCAGAGAACGTTCTAATAAACACTCTTTCAATTCGTCCCCGTTAGTTCCGAAAATAAACTTACAATATCCTACTATCAAATGTACTGCACATTTTAAAAGAAGTTACATAGAACTTGACGATGAAATGATATCGGTTATTACGGACGTTGAAGGTATACTTTGATTAAATATGCTATTCTAATTAAAATAATTCAAACAAAAGGCGTAAATATACATACATTTTACAGACGAAGAAACAGGGGGGTATGTAAGTTATCAGTGTGTGCTTCCTATGCATGTTCATGGATCTGGATATGTCCAAATGCAAATGATCAGCAACAGTAAAGCTGAAAAATTGGTAATACGTTTATAATCTGCAAATTTTTAGGATTAAACAATTTATTCATCGAACAAATTTTGATAACAATCATCGTATAACAATTTTTCAGATAGTACCTTGCGTATCAATAAATCAATTAAGTTTCGATATAGAAACGTTTTCTCATCATATTGCCGATTGGATATGCATGAGATTTAAAAAAAGGTATTGGCATTGCAGTGACTACGACATCGAAATAATAGATGTATGTGCACTGAGCGGTGATATTATTTGTTTATTAATTATGAAGATTCAAGCTAGTGAAATTAATAGTCAAACTCAATGGTTCGTATAATGATTTATATTAAAAAATCTTTTATTATATTTTGGACGATTATTTTAATGCATAATATATATATATATAGTTCACAAGAAAGGAAGCAGTACGAAGTAGGATGTAAATTTACGTGGAATATAGATACCAGCCAGTATAGAATAACGGACGTATTACCAATGGAGGAAGTGAAACCAGAATCATGGAAACCAAACTGTATGAACGTTCCAAACTTTCGTAGTCCTTTATGGAACCCAACTCGACGTTTAGCGCCCAAATTAAGAGAAAAAATACAACAACCTTATGCGCATACAGTACGATTTTTACATAATGAAATGACTCTAGCAGGTGAGCATTTTAAGCAAAACATTATTAACATTAATGATGGTAACATACAATAAATGTTTCAGGCGAATCTATAACTAGACTGTACGATTTGGATAATTTAGTAGAATTTTACATAACACCAATGCCAAATTACCCTTCGATCGAATGAAATAATTGTCGGATTAGTGATATGCCGAAAACAATAATTTATTTATTGTTACAAATCTAAGAATTTCATAAAGATAGCGCGTATAATGTAATAAATGTATTGGAAACATACCCCATACATAGTCCGCGGTAACTATTTCGAAAATTGTTAGGTTCAAACGTAAACAACAGCAAATGTAACGCGTTGCGTAAGTTTTAGTTGTGCTTTTTTCGTAAGACTACCCTATAAGTCGACAGTTAAGTACTGCTGTGTGAATTGTCCGAAACTTAACGATATAGATTAAGGGTACTGAATAACAATACAACGAATATTACAAGCATTTGCTTGAATTTGTAAATTATATTCTAGAACTATACACTGACTATCTATATTATAAGTAACTTTGGTAATAACCACATATAGGTAACTAAGAACTGATTGTCAGTGAATGTATTATATGTGGTAAAAAGTAAGGCAAAAGAAGAATAGTGAAATTTAGTATTTGGTCCCAAAATAACTAGCGATTCAAAAGAAAATATATTTAAAAATCTTAATTAAAGTTTTGTGGGTTTCACGGCCCGTTTGCAGTTAATACTGTTTGAGGTTTACATGTATGAGTCGTGTACAGTAGAAAGTACCTTTTAGCAAGCATCTAGCTTTATCAGGAATCGACTAACGCGCCGATATTAACGTGTGCCGAAAAATGCAGTTTACTTAAAGCAATATTTTCCTACTGAACATAATTTATAAAAAGCCTCAAACAGTATTAACGTAAAATTTTAATTATAAATTCTCTATGCCGAAAATTTTCCTAGCTATATTTATAAGATTGAACATGTTAATTTAAGTTTTCGTGTTACTTCATGACCTTATTGTATTATAAAGCCATTTTATCATAAAATTTTTATATCTGAAAACTATAAATACATATACATATAAATGTATAACATGTACGACTAACAAATGCATCTGTAATTTATGTAAGTATCAAGAGAATTTTCAAGAATAAGCATTTAAGGCTTGAGAGATAATGTTATTTAATTGCTGAAGCGGTGACGATGAAGCTGGTAAGATCAATTTCTTAATTACAATAAAATCTTTGTTATTACCGGCAAACGACTTTGTTTTTATCTTTGTAAATGCATAAGATACTTATTTTTTTAGTACGTTTAAGTAACAAAACGGGAGTTCTTACGATTCAAATTGGTATCTTGATCGATGATCCTACATTAACATCGGATCCTATTCCATCTAACTTTAAACCGGCCAAAGTTTCTTCCCATGCATTCATACATTGCTGGTAATGTCGGATTTGTCGATCTGCCATCAAGATTAACATATTTTTCAAATCCATTTGTTTCTCTACGTTCCATCTTTGTAAATCGCTGCGCAAATTTTCATTGGCACATTCTACGCGATCTTGTAATAATTCCGCTTGCTTTGCTAATCGTGGAATTGCTTGTCCCAATCTTTCTAATTTTTCATCGCGGGATTCTGCTTTCCATAGCGATCCGCCCCAATTCTGCGTTGAAATATTTCCACTTACAATACCCATTAGCTGCACAAACATTTAATATTATAAATTAATGTATATACCGATACTACCGAAATTTAAAGAATAAAGTATATGTATACCTGATCTTTTTCTAATTTTTTTTTCGCGAGATCTTCAATTGTCATTTCGTACTCGATTTGCATCGAATCGCGTCGAGATAGAGCACCTTTAACTGCGTCTATGTACGAAATATATTCGCGTTCTTCGTTTGGAACATTTTCTAGAAGTTTTTGATGAGCCACCGCATTACATTCTATTGCTTTGGCAATTGCTAATAAGATTGGAGCTAATTCTGGTTCAGAAGTTGCCCATAAAGTGAATATCGGATGTAACTGATGTAATTCAACTAAATAATCTAATAGAGTATACATGATATTTAATTAGTTTATCATAGTTTTGAATAACACAAAATTAAAAAATTCATTATTTATTGTACCTTGCCTATCTTTTTGTATACGATGATTTATTTTATCTATGGTTGCTAATTTTTCGCTAAGAGCTATACAATATTCCCGAATTTGCTCAAACTCAAAGTGACGTTGTTTCATAGTATAAGTGCTTGCGATATTTTGTAATGAATCTGTCATTTTTACAAGGACATTTCCACGATTTTTACGATGTATAAGAAATTCCTATAAAGAAGAAAAACATAGAAATAAAACATCTAAAAATATACAAAATAGAGATATAATAAGCTATGTTTACCGCAGGTTTAGAAGTCAAAAAAATGTGTAAATTTTTGTCACAGCTGAGAATGGGATGATTAACAACTCTGTTTAGAAATATATGTAATAATTTCATGCGTGCTACAATAAATTCTTTGGAATAACGATCTAACTGTGCAAGTAGTGTATGTTTTCCAGGCATTGGCTGTAACAAAAGAATTAATATATAAAATATCGTTTTAAAGTTTATAAACAGTAATATTATTAACAAGATTTTGAAACATGTAAAGGCTCACTGGTATGATATGTGTTGGATACGAATCTACTAATTTTTGTCGTAGCCATATAAAGTCATTATATCTCCTCCTAACAATATATTCTCCTTCTTCAAATTCTGGTCGTGTAGACTAAAATGATATGAAATTATTATTGTTAATTAAATGCTGATGTTTATGTATAAATAAAATTGCACTTACTTTTGTTGTTATACGAAAAGTAATATAAGTTTCAAGAGTCTCAAGATGCTTCTGAGGATTATCTACTTTCACTTGTAGGTCTCGGGAATCTGCCTGAAAATCTGATATCTCTTGTTCTGGTAGAGTAGAGAAACTACCAACAGAAGGAGATGCTATCTAAAAATTTAACCGCATATTCAATAGAATATACTCGGTATAAAATATATTTCAACGCGTTAATAATTGTCCATTTAGAAAATGATTAAAACTTTGTTTAATTCTAATCTCTATATTGTAGCTAAGACGGCTGTCAAAAATGTCTCAGGTTATATACTTACCACGGAACCTTCGACAGACGTACTACAGTTTGACAGAAAATCCGTATCACGGCTTTCTTGTTTTATAACACCGCCAACTGCCATTGTGCTTACTTCTAAAATTGCCGAATCTTCCGTATTGCTTTCACCTAATTTTTCTACCTCGGTTTCTGACGAAGTCATCATCTTTAAGCCGCTTTAAACTGTCAAGCAACAGAGCTTCAGCGACACTGCGTCACAGTCAGTCACGATGCGCAGCATTACTAAAAGAACGATACGCACATTGATCATGTTTAAAAAAATGATCATAATTTTTTACGGACTGTATTTAATTATATTTTAAGTATTTCTAATGCTATTTTTAATCATAAGTGAACATTATAATTTGCCCGCCTTTCCTCATTAGAACTTTTCAATAAAAATCGGTACGTTATTCTTTATAATTGAAACGCTCTAATTCGATTTTCGTTTGTCTTGAAACATAGTGACAAAAGTTTATGACATCTCGGAGTAAAAAGCAAATATTTTTCGCCCGTAGAAACCGTATCTCCGGGATACATTCGATACTTTTTTCCCGCGATCAAAAATTCGAAACTTTTGCATCGATTTCTTAAAAAAATGGACTGGCCAGAAGACGACGAATACGTTTCTGTTTTTTCCAAAAGATACCCTATAATGATGGCCGAAGACTCTTCAATGCCTATTATTTATTATCGTCCACAAAATTCATTATTCAGTAAGTTCATCTTTTTTTTTTTATAAATGATTAATTAATTTATAATTTCTCGATAATTTTGAATAACGCGCCAAATCCACTGATTTCAATAAATTGGCGATACGTTAGGATGAATTAGAAATTTTTACTCGTCGAGCATTTAAATTATGTACATTAGGTGAAAATCAACAAGTGAGCAAAACAATTATTTATTAGTATATATAAATGTCATAATGCAGTGGACCGGCACTATGTTTAATCTGCGCATTAATACGTGATTGCGCATGCATGGTAAAATAGTACCATATAGCGTATTGTATATTTGTCACTTATAAAATACTAATTGTTTTTAAAAGGAGAAATTCAGAATTAAAACTTATCTAAATAAATGTTGAAAATTCCAGTGAAATTGTTTAGAATAAATCGAATGACACGCGCGAGTGCAATCAAAGGCATATTAATATTTTAATAATTTTAGCGCTAAATTAATTGATATTTATTATAAAGGAGGATAAAAAAACAAGGATGAAATTGTGTGCATTACAATTTTTATGTAAATACTAATTCTGATTTTTTTTTTCGAAGTACGATCTCGAATATATGTATATAGATCTCGTATTAAGAACAGAAAAAAATTTCGCCAAATAATAGAGAAAATTAAACATGGTGATTATGTGGTAATAATTGATATTTTCAAGAAGTACGAATTAAATTATACAGAGTGTTTATATGTTATACGGTTATGGTACCCTTGTAAATGAAAATTAGATACGCTACTGATCCGTGACGCGGGCAGTAGTGATGCCGTAGTCAAGGAGACCGTAGTAGCAGACAACCAACACTCCGACCTGCCGTCGACAACAAAATATACAGGTTTGTCGGAGTGTACTGCTCCGCTTTTCCGCTTCTACGGTGCCTTGGTCATCCGCGTGGTTTCCTGGGTGACAAGGACGGGTGTTTCTTGATCGAGAAAAGGCCGGTTGAAATCTGTGGGGGGATACGTTCGGTCGCGTAAGTGCGCCCGGGCGTCGCGTTGAAAGCACACGCCATTCATGAAGACAGGTGAGTAAAAATGAAACGTACAAACCGCGCTTTCCTCCCATTATAATTACGATCATTATAATTCGTGCTTTCATGATTTCATAAACGCAGCCGCAGACGTAACAACTAAATTCAACATCTTGACGCCTTATCAATTTAGCGATATTAATTTTATCGTTCGCAATATGTATTTGTTCAGTGACAGTTGGCATAGTACAATTATTGATAGTTATAAACTGAACAATTCAAGGAATTCCAAGTATACATATTAAAAAAGTTTATAGCCAAGTTAAAGGATATCATACTTGTTCATGCGGTAGCATAAGCTTCAGAATACAAAAGCTATTTTAAAAATTATACTATACTCTTAGTTAATTGTTAGTTTACTCATATAGAAAGGCAATATTTTCTTATTACTAAATCAATATTTGATATTAATATTTCAAATTGTTTCCCATAATATTCTATATTTTTTAGTATGCCAATTTGTCTTTCGGCATTCCTATTGTTATCAAACAATAATTTCTTTCCTTATTACTTCGATGGAAGGAAACCATAGCAGATTTCTTGCTTTATATGTTCCCCTGTTGCATCATGCTTTGGTGATTTTATTGTGTACTTCAATCTGGGGGGCATCTAATATTCTAAGGCCCCTATAGATTTTAATTAAGTCAGACTTATCAATTCCATCAATGTATTTCTTGAAGCATGAAAGAAGAAGTACAGCTGTACGACAATCGGTTTTTAATTATTTAATAATGGTTAGTAATATATTACATTATTTATTATTTTTATTTTATTATAAATTTCATGCTACAATAAATTGTTAACTGTATACAAATTTTATCTTTGTCGTTTCTTTACAATTTTATGCTTTTGATATATACTTTATTTTTTTACATCTGTTTCATAAAAATTAATATTATAGAAGTCCAGCAAAGTATGTGCCGCAAAGGTTTAAAAATAGATGGTAAAAGGATGGAGGGCAAGCATTGTAAAATAACAGATAAGGTGTGCAGAACAGTTTCAAGCATCAGTCATGCATAACAGTGGCCAGGTGTTCATTTGGTATCCTTCTTAGTATAATAATCTTTTATAGAATAATATTTTGTCCAGAAAAAGAGGATATTTGTATGAAATATTTTCAAATTTTGAGTACCTTGTAGTTGAGTACCTTATTCCTCAATTTATGACTCTATAATAAATTAAAATGTGTTAACCAATTGTAATATGAGAACAGTATTTCCAGAAAAAATTATAGTGCATTTCTTGTTAACAAACTTGATGCATTTTATGAATCTTTCAATGAATTATAAAATTTATTTCTATTAGTAGAAGAGGAAATTTAATTCTCTCTAATTGCACTTATGATCTGACCATTTCTACTGATACTTTCAATCCCCTTGACAAGAGCTTTGTGTCCAGTCACGCGTACATTGCATTTTAGCCACCACCCCTCTCCCTTTCGTTTTCTTCCCTTTGAAACATTGTTTGGTACCTGCTACCCCACAGGTACAGGGTGTACCAACACATCATGCTGTATGTTCGTTAAAACGACAATGACGTGTTTCATTCGTATTGGAAAGCTCTTCGGGGCTTCACTTTGATCTGTAGATTATTGAATGCTGCACACCTGCGAGAAATTACGTAGACGATCCTTCTTATATGTAGGTTAGGGTGTTTGTTAATATGTTGGTGCGTCCAATAGCCAAGTGGCGGGCGTCGACGTTCAAACATGTTTCTTTTCATTTACGAATTTGCGTGACACGTACTATTACATTGAATATGGTAAAAATGATTTATTATATATTTATTAAAACGATTGCGCACTTAGATTTATTATTACAACATGTAACATGTTCCTACAGACTATGCACATAAGATTTTTTGTTTATTTAATTGTTTTTGTTTTATTTGTGACTTTTTATAATGATTTCTGATGATTATATTTCATAGTATATTTAAGTGTACAAAAAGAATTAACAGGGGTCATTTGTGCGTCGAGCCTGTTGGAAAACATTATTGATATTTGTTTCATTTGTATTGGTATACGTCTACAGATTCTTCCCTTCACAAACGGGGAGGCAGCAGTGGCGGTAATACAGTAGGAGTAGAGAGAGGTGAAGGAGTGATTGCCATGACTACGACAGGAGCTCAGTATGCCCTCGCAGCATCCACCAGAGCTAATAACAGTGGGGGTAGCTCTACATCAGTGGGGGTGGAACCAAAGCCAAGCGTCGTTGTAGTGACTACTTCTAGCTCCAGTGGTAGTGGCAGTGGCGGCGCAGCACAGAGTCAATCAACAAGGGGGCAACAGCTTATCACTGTTGTTACTAGTCCTGATCCTTCTAGTCCAACTAATTTACAGCCTCTACAGGTTTGTTTATTTGTATATCATGGCAATTAATTTTTTATCTGTAACAGGATTTTTTCCTTCTAAAGATTATATATTGATTTTGTAGTATTCAAGAGTATTATATTTTTATATTCCATGATACATCTATATTAAAGATATCATTGCATACATTAATTAAATGTGATAGCTTGTTAGATACAATTGTTTTTATTTGTATTATTTAGAAAGTTGCAGTTGATCATGAGAACACGCATACTATAAATAATAATGTAGTTATTCGTTCAGGATCCACTTGAAACAGCTGCAGATTCTTCCAACGGCTCAACAGGTACTGCAGCGCATGTTACAGCACAAGTAGTAGTAAATACTACTCATTCAGGACAGCACACCCTCGTCGATTCTGACGCCGCGTCTACATCGGCTGGCACTATCGTCACCGGTTCACCACATTTTATAACAGTAACAGGTGTGTATTAGATAAGTTAGCTTCATTTTTACTTTTTTCATCCGTCTTGAAATCGTCGGTTACAATTTTGCAAACGTTTAACAAACATTTGAGAAATCAGTTTTACGCGTATAGAGAAAATTACGATAATAAGTCGTTATAAGACTTTTTATGAGTCGCTAATGTTAGGGGTGAGTATCAGGATCAGTTTGAAAAATTATAGTGTTTGAGTAGAGATTTGGCCCTTTCCATGCTGCTGAAAAACATGCACCTCTGTTCTGCTACTCTGACTACACTAGGCACCAGTGATTCACCATCCTACGCGTCCCTCACAACGGCAGTAGGTGAGGGCAGAACATGATCAGCATGCATTATTCTTTTTTATTATTTACATGCAGACTACCTGCAGAAGTGCAAATATATTATTTGATATTCTATAGTGATTGATTTCGCATGTATCAATATATTTTGTTATTTATACAAATAAAGATATAAATATTAATGTAGATTTTATTTTAAAAACGCAAATGTTTATTTAAATATACCTTTTTCTTTCTAGCAATTATTTGACAAGACATATTCTGCAATATGTAAATGTTGTGTGCATTTTGTGAAGCTTTAATCATGTAAAATCATTCGTGATAAACGAGTTAAAATGCATTATTTGTTTCAGTGGCAGGAGAACCAGAGGCAGTGGGGTCAGAATCAGTATCTCATCCTACCTATGTTCAGTATGTTGAAGGGGATGGCTCCACGTATATACCGACAAATGGACAGATGTAAGGAAAGAATTACTATGATTAGTTGCAATAGAGAATTAAACAACTTGCATATTTCATAGGACATATCCTGTATACGCCGTTGGAGAAGCAGGTGCAATGTATACTCCTGCTTCGAGCCAGTACTATACTCCAGCAACTACACCAGTAACGTATGCACAGGTAATTTACACTAAATTTTATTTCGTTTCAGCGAACGCTTACTGTGTATAATATTACTATCAATAATCGTGTGTATATTTAGGTTACTGGTCAAGGTTCAAATTCTACTACTGGGCAATTATTATCTCAGGGCAATGGCACGTATTTAATTCAACAAAGCGTCGTAGATGGAGATCCCACTACACATGCATTAATATCTGCAGCTGCTGCACGTGCCAGTCCACAAACAGAAAATGCGGTAAGATGGAAATGCATGTGTAGACATTAATTGCTTTTATTTTTCTTTTTGTTTTGAAGTGAATCATTAGAAATTATTGTATAAATATGGATTGTTGTTTCTTCAGGCATGGAAATTCTGCATGGTTGTAAAAGGGTGAAAGTTTTTAATATGATAATATCGATTTGATATATTCTTTTAAAAGTAGCTTAAATAACGTTTATTACTTAACATATAAAAAGGTATAAGAAATAATGTACTGTATTGTAAATTGGGATTTAATATACTATTGGTACCTTGGATTGTTTGATAGGAAACTGTGGTTAGCGGGGGTGGAGGGGCATACTTGATCAGCGGTAATTCAGGGGGTACTACTGTCACCGTGGAAGATGCTGCAGCAGCAGCAGCAAACATGACGCATGCCACTAGAGTTTCACAAGCCACAGTAAGCTGATATATAATCCTTATTTGTAGGTTTTGTCAGGTACTAATTTGTTACAGCATGTTCGACTAATTATTGCTTTTTATGAATGCTTTGTACAAGTTTAAAAATATTCTATTCAGTAATATAACATAAAACAGATTTTTCTTAATATAAATGTTGCGAATGTTGCAAGTAATTAGCCTTTTATTGTAAAAATATTCAGTACTGTATTTAATATTTTATTTACAAAGTTGATGATAATTTTCATTGTATAATTAGGTTCATTGGTTGCTCGAAAATTACGAAACAGCAGATGGTGTTTCTCTTCCAAGATCGACTCTTTACAATCACTATTTACGTCATTGTTCTGAAAATAAATTGGATCCTGTAAACGCTGCAAGTTTTGGAAAATTAATACGTTCTGTGTTTTTGGGTTTAAGAACTAGACGATTAGGCACGAGGTAAATGTGTTTCTTTAATCGTTTAACACATTTTGTATTGTTCTTCAACTGATCGAAGTTACATGACTTGTTGTAGAGGAAATTCCAAGTATCATTACTATGGAATTCGAGTAAAGCCTAGTTCTCCTTTGGTGATGTTGAATGAGGATGGAACACCTCGTCAACAACAAAATGCAAATTCACAAACAAAACGATTCAAATTTGTGAATCAAAAACAGGATGCTACATATGAAAATAATACACATTCGAACACAAATATTTCTTCGAACACATCACCGCCGCAGTATCATCAGTATCTTGGAGAAGCGAGTGGTACTATCCCAGAGTTTCCCGAAATAATAGTCGGGCATGGTTCGTCACTTCCAGAGGATTGTACGTTAGAAGACATCGACACTTTTCGTAGTATATACAGGGAACACTGCGAAGCCTTTTTAGATGCTGTACTCAACTTTGAATTTGCTACTGTAGAAAGCCTTTGGAGAGAATTTTGGCGTAGTCAAGACAATAATAATGGCGACGAATGCGAGGAAGAAAAGTACTTATCAAAGTAAGATTTTTATGTCAAATTTTATTATATATTTTATTTATATTATAACGTGGACAACACGATTTCAATAATAATTTTGTTATATAATTAGGACTAAACTATATCAAATATGTAAATGTTCGGAAGTTCAAGATTTCATTAGAAAAGTTGATTATACATTTTATCAAAATCTGGTTGAGGTATTAATGCCTAACGTGCTACGACCTATTCCAAGTAAGTTACTTTTTATTTCCTACGGAATTCCAATGTTGTTGTACTAATTAATTTCTTGGCATGTTAGGTTCATTAACGCAGTCAATTAGAAATTTTGCAAAAGGATTAGAATCATGGTTGACATCGGCTATGGCCGATTGTCCAGAGGAAATGACTCAGATAAAGGTGATCATTCAAACATTGTGAATTTCACTTTTCCAAGATATTTTTAACAATAAAATGTTATTTTTAGTTGACTGCGGTATCTGCATTTGCTCAGACATTAAGGCGTTATACATCATTGAATCACCTTGCTCAAGCTGCACGCGCAGTGCTTCAAAATTCTAGTCAAATAAATCAAATGTTAGCAGATTTAAACCGTGTTGATTTTCATAATGTACAAGAACAGGTATTGTATTAATAAAGTGATATTTTTTATGTAATCCCAACCTTAATTGTATATAAACTATATGTACATATTTTTTACAGGCTTCGTGGGTATGTCAATGCGATTATGCAATGGTTCAACGTTTGGAAGCAGATTTTAAAGTGACCCTGCAACAACAAAACTCGTTAGAAGATTGGGCAATCTGGTTAAAGAGCGTCGTAACGCAAGTTCTTAAACCTTTCGAAGAGAAACCAACATTTGCTAAAGCTGCACGTCAATTTTTGCTCAAATGGTCATTTTACAGGTAATTATAGTTAACGTATAAAAGCTATGATTAGTTCAGTATTATTTTTTTTTTACATCTTTTATTCGACAGTTCCATGGTCATTCGCGATTTGACTTTAAGAAGCGCAGCTAGTTTCGGATCTTTTCATCTTATTCGATTATTATACGACGAATACATGTTTTATTTGATCGAGCATCAAGTAGCAGTTGCTACAGGAACGACTCCAATAGCTGTAATGGGAGACGTGCGTATTTTTATTAGATACTACAAAATAATAAAGTTCGTTATGATTCAGTGTTTTCACTGCTGTTTGCATTGTTTTCTTTTTCAGAAAAGTCAAAATTGTTCTTTAGTTAGTGCGTTTGGTGCAACTTCTAACGGAGGTGAGTTGTATATTTTTATTCGTTTTCAGCAATTGTTATCGATTCACGTGAAATTTACAGTTTTGAAATTACCGTTTTTTTCAGACACATCTAATACATGTCAACCAAAGCGTATGAAATTAAGCTAACTGCGTGCCTACATCTTTTAGTTTGGAAGAAAGCCAGTAGCACCTGATAACGAAACGTTAGCACAAGAGCATGCAGGCCTATTGACACACTAGTCCCATAAATTATAATTTTATATAAGATGAAATCTTATTGTACTATGACTTAACAAAGAAGATTTTTGCATAACACCCAGGATGTATACAATCTATAATCTAAGTAAGTTTGTGTGATATAATATGTAGGAACATGTACTGCAATCTTGATTCGTACGAACATATGATTCAAGTATAAGGTATCGCTGGCACGATGTTTAGTACGTTAATGTATTGTCTAGTCGAAACATCTTTGAAATATGTATGGGACCATGAATTTGTCATGCCCTTATAGTATTCAGTATTAAAAGTTTGCTCGACTGAATTTCTTCTGGTTTCTAAATTTCATGGATATAGCATTTCACATACTTTCAAATACTTTTCTTAAATAAAAAGCAATGAATTAAAAAATTTGTTAACAAATTCTTTATGCTATGAAATAGCTAGATATGGATCAATTTTAGTAGCAGATTAACAAGAATATAGTCGAGCGAGCTTGAAATAGTAAATATTAATTTGTGCAAAAGAAAATAGTCTGAGATCGAACATTTTTGATAAGGGGAAATTATTATTCCCGCATTTGTATCGACGAATTCTATTTTGCACAAATACTCGAATAACATTTTACCAAATCCGCCCGTCGACGGTATTGTCAAAAAAAAAGTAACTATTCCTACTGGAGCAGATGCAAATTAGATTACTATAATTATATAATCTTACGAGTTTTAAATATTTCCAACATTCATATTTTTTAACACGATTTATTAAGTGTACATCGAGCTATGTAAAAGTTTTGTTGTAAACCATCTGTTACACTTTACATATATTCTTTCAGTATTTTTAAACGAATAGTACAAAACAGCGGTGAAAAAACTATGAACGAAATGATATAATAATGTAGTCGTTTTAATTTACTGATAGAATATACGTCATGGTTCTTACATTGAATGTATGTACATAATGCAAATGGTGTGACAGATAAAAATGCACAGTTGTTGAAGTTTAAAGAAAAAAGAAATGAAAAAAATTGCGAACTATAACAATAGAAGTTACGAGTGTCTTCAAACATGTATTGCATTTAATTTTAATACATTTAGTATAAAAAGTAGTATTAGTAACATGGTTCATAACTGCAGACACTCAAGTAATTCTTCTGTATATAGTACTAAATCTAAGTGTGCATTGTGAATATCACGTTATACATATATACATATATATATTTTTTGTTATGTACATATTAATTTGCAAAGGTATGTATGTCCAGAACGTTTACGCTGTTTCACACATTGAGAACATACGTAATTTTTGTCGTTTGTGTACTTGTGTTTAAATTTTATTGTGTTCACAAAGTATTTAGTAATCTATTATTATTATTATTATTAAATTTAGTTAAATGTTTTGTAGTCATTTCTTGAAAGTCAAAACATTGCACTGGATGTTGAATGGTGAATTAATGCAATCGGTAGACAAATATAACAATTATTTATAATGTAATACCAAAAGACTTATATTACGCTAATATAATGTTTGTTTTTTTTTTCTATAAATATTTGAATGTATGTTTTGAAAAAGTGAATATGATCTGTTGTATAGTATAGGTTTATTAAAATTTTACGTTGTCTCTACACGATGATACAACATTATGTTTTGTTTCAAGTAAACATTTTATGTTTCTAAATTTTCCATATTTTTACAGTCATAGCTTTTATACTTACATCGTATTTACACATTTGATTCAAGTGCTTGATAACACGAATGAACATACACATCATATCCTTCTAAACAAGTACAAAATTTCAATGAAATTGACATGTACTATTTGAAATATTTTTCCAGTAATTCGCTTATTATGATTATTATTTAATAAACAATATGCTTTTTCATTTCTTACAGAGGGATCGTTAAAAAGCCTGCATTTAAGAAAAGTTACATTAACGTGATATTTTATGTTTTCAAAAATGCAATGTACACGCGTATGTACAGTTAGTGCTGATATTAACGATAATTGCGATTAAATATTTTATGAAACGAAAATATCAAAACATTCTGATCCAGAATTTTTAAATATTGCCTGCGAGTTCATTCAAGTACAGAATTAATGTCGCCAGTGTATTTTTGATTGTAAAGCACCGCTGTGTAATCCATCTATTAAGCTTTGCGAATGCACACTACGTAATTTAGGAGAAATTGAAGTTTAATACGTAAGAATATAGAAATTATCCGATCATACGAGAAAATTTCAAGCCTGAATGTATCTCGCGATGCAAAAAATGAGTAAATGTCTCAACCCATTGTAAAATGCTGCTCCTATTCAACATTGAATTGGATGACGCAAATTCCTATGAACAAACTAAATGTTTGGTAAAACTTGGTGCCTTTTATTTCATACAAGAAAGAAACGAACATTTTTTTACTGTACCTTGATTATACAAAGAATCGAGGCCAAACGACCAAAATGAATTAAACAAATAGTTATACTCTTCCTTTAGGGCTTCTTCGTAAAACTATTTTAATTTTGATAACTTTTTACTTTAAGAAGCTAGTAAGTTTTCTTAAAGTCGAAACAGACGAATATCAAATGGAAGTTTGATATAATATGTACGTGCTATACTTTGTAAAAATATTACATTGAGATCATATTGCTTCTTTTCTATGTATGCAAGTGATTCTGTACATGAAAATTTCTTCCAAATTCACATTGCTAATGATCATACTAAAGGGTACTAAATGCTGGTCAAATTTATTACATTGCGATATTCGCAAGTAGTTTTAACAAAAGATAGGATATACGTTTATTTATTATATAAAACTATAATATACTAGTCAAATTTCATAGATTTAAGTCGAGAAACAGGGATTGAGTATCACACAGTACGTTGATTAGTGGTTGCGCATGTATTATTTGTGCATGTGAACAGGATAGACTATTTCTATAACTATAATGAGCTTATACGTGTAAAAACTATTGATACCTATGTGTACTTAGTGTAAGAATGGCTTTTTAAGAACTTTCATTTTTTTTTTTTCTTGCAAATGAGATCTCGTGCAACGTTGGCAAGTATAATTGAATATAGAAATGCATACTAATGTAACGTATTATCAGAACAAAATATTTAAAAATCAAAATAAAAAAGAGGTGTCCTATTATTATAACAATGAAGTAATTTGATTAAGTGTTTGTATGCAATTCTATATTCATTGATGCTTGTTTTTACTTTGTACTCTTAGGTAGGATCGCTGTTTGTAAGTTTCACGTAATTATTACAAGGTGCAAGAAATTGTAGTCTTGTTGTTGATGATAAAAAGATCAAACTTACCATGGTTTCCTATGTTGCGATAGAAGACGGCCTTAAAATATTTCCAATTGTAAGACAGAAAAAAAGATTTACTATGTTGTTAAAGATGGACACTGATAACGAACGAAACAAAAAAATTAAGAGATACTCTTGAAAGAGGAAAAGTAAAAGTATCATCGTTTCCCTTGTATCTTAAAGAAAATATTTTGATACCTCCAGATTTGCACAAATCGAGTGTCATTCATTACTGCTTAAATAAGATTATTTTTACTGAATGCAGCTCAAAACGAAAACAACTTATATAAATTATGTGAGGCATAAAAAGCTCTAAAAACTGTGTGAATGTGCGAATTACGAAAAAATAATAAATATATGTTTAAAACTTGTGAAGTTGTGTTTCTTTATTTAACCGACGTAACATTTTTATTGCCAAAATTGATACTTTAAATTTCGTCCGAGTATTTTATCTTCGTTCAAATTTCGCGCTACGTGATTGTGTAGACCCCGTAGCTTGGGGTGGCGTCACTGTTCCTCAGTAAGGTAACGCGCGCGATCGGTATTTGACACGGACAATTCCAAAGAAGAAAATTTCATAATTTTTTGTACAAATTTTGTAAAATAATGCTTCATTATCACAATTCTGTTTGTAATTTATTTCGGTAAATGTGTGTGAATGTGGATAACTGTAATTCTTAGTGAAAAGTGTAAAAAGTGCAATGTGAAGACAACGACAGCATGTACGCAGCAATAAGAATAGCTACAGTAAGTATTGTCTCTGTTTTATAGTCAATACATTAAATTATATAAAAACACTGAAGTTGTATTGCACTGTAGATAGAAAAATTGCGATCGTAATAACAGTAGAAGTAATTCGTAATTGTCACTGCTTACAAATTTTTTGATTTGAACTTGTTGAAATCCGGAAAGAGATGGTGCCCTCTGTTAATCTTGTGTTTCTTCTGCTCATATCCCATAGTTTAAATTCTAACATTTTATAATCATTCTATTTGAATTATAAATTAATTGTCATATTATTTATGTTATAGTACTTTATGAGAGAAAAATGGAACTACAATCTGCTTCACCCCTACATCTGAACCGACCGAACCTTCAACAGATTGGTAAGTGATATTTTATTTTGTTGAAATAAATTTATATAAATTTAAATAGTAACATAAAAAATTATGTGTAATTTTAAAAATAATAATTGAAGTACAATTTACTTTATTGATAAAATAATTCTGAGCCAAGAATAATTCGTAACTAATAATTCAAGCAAAAAAAAAAAATTGGAAACTGTTTTCAATTTTTATGTTCGAAATTTAATATATCGTATCTTAGAATGAAGTTAATGCAATTAATAAATACAATACAATTATTTCTCGTTCGGGTGCATTTAATTACAAATTGATAACAATCGATAGTCGGTACATTTATGTGGCGAGTAAATGGTACAGATGGTGTGTTCAGGTTCAGGTGTGCTGCTGTCTGTGACTATATGTATAAGTAGTTGACGAATAAGAAAAAATTAAAGTTATGTAGGCGAAATTGGATTTCCTTTTTATGCATTTATTAAATTTATTGCTGTCATAAGTGGAAGACGATCGATTGTTTTTCATATATTTTTGTTGTGAATAGTTTTTGTATAACACAGGTAATAATGAGAGGATACAAGTGTCGTTGTCAGTAATTTTCTTCTACATTTGTTATTTATGAGCTGGGAAATGTTATATCATGATTGTTGTCCTTAGATGAAACTTTCTAATATATCTGAACAAATATTGGTTTAATTAAGTTGTTAAAATAATGCAATTATCGAGACCATATTGTTACTTTGTAAGGTTAGGGGAACATTGCGTCATTTATTTATTAAAAAATAAGTGCAGATGTTTGTAAAATTCTTAATATCGAAGAAAATATTTGTTGTTCTTTAATAATGGAAGTTCTTATGTTTATGCACTAAACATATTTTATTAATAGTTTAGAGAAAATAAATCATCTATCTTAAAAAAATTTTGACACGATAAAACAGAGTCTGAAACTTCTCATATGTTGCAATAATTACCAAAATTAGTATGAATAAGAATTTAATGCGAAGCGTGTTTTTAATTGTTAGGTTAAAATGACATCGAAGGATACAAATTCTGCTGAAATTATAAATGCTGAAAGTAATAAACATTACTGTGTAATTCATAAAAAAGATGTTAACGATACAAAGTATTCAGAAGCACAAAAACAGAGTGAAAAGTTAATTTTTAACGAGTTGCAAATAGATGTAGACCAGATGTGTAATTTAAAAAGTGAATGTCATAATAAGACATCTGCAATGGAAAAACAGGAAGAACAATCTACAGGTGATAACATGAAATTGAAAAGTTTTTGAATATGAATTATTATTATAGTATATATGAAAAATTATATTATACTGTAATATAGTGGATTTTTATTTTTGATTGGAAAAATGTTAGGTGTAGTTAGAAATTTGGGCTATAGTTGAAAGGAGCATTGAAACAATTAATGTTTTAAGGCTTCTATAGGGGAACATAGAAAGAGTCAGAGTATTTTGTGTCTCTTACTATCTCTCTAATATGATAATAAAATCAATGTAAAGCCATTGACTGAATTATAGGGTAAGCTTAATACAGTAGTATTTTGATGCTTTTAAAATGTCAGCACAACACAGAAATAGAAGAAAAGTTTATAAAAATCAAGGTATATTACTGTCATTTATAGAGTAACTTTAATATTTATTCAGAGAAGTTTTTGTTTTTGCAGATATATTAAGATAGATATTCATAAATATGTTTAGCACTAGGTTATACATTTAAATGAAAATTTTTCCTACTTTAGAAGTTGTTGGCTATCAATTGAAATTTGATAATCATGATCAGGCCAATAAAAATAGTGAAAACGATATACAGAATCAAAATGAATATGACGAAACTATAGATGAAAGGCTACCAGAAACTGTAACATTGCTTACTACGCCGAATGGAGGAAAATTATATTTAGTAGGGACAGCACATTTTAGTGTTCAAAGTCAAAACGACGTGGCAATGGTAAATAAAATATTTCATTAATTTTTTCCCTAAGTTAACTATTGGGAAGTTTTACTTTTAAGAAATGAACACTATCTTTTTTAAATTAAAGATAATTCGGGCTGTACAGCCTCATATAGTGGCAGTTGAATTATGTAAAGCCAGAATCGATTTTTTAAATATTGCCGAGGAGGTTTTATATCGTAATGCCACGGATTTAAGTTTAAGTAAGTGTGTTCGATTAGGTATTTAAAAATATCTACTGACATGGAATTCACATGTTTTGTTTCATAGAAAGTTTAACTGACATGTTGAAGGAATATGGACTTTATGGTTTTCTACATTTCATATTACACCGAATGGTAACCCATGTTGTAAAAGAACTTGGAATGCCACCCGGTGGTGAATTTCGTACCGCATTTGAAGAGGTAAACTAAGCTACATAGATTAATTAGCATTTAAATAGTAATTTGTGACAATTACATGTTACACGGTATTTCCTTAGGCAAAAAAGGTACCAAATTGTATTATTCAGTTGGCTGATAGGTCAATTAGTATAACAGTTCAGCGTGCTGTAAGAGCATTATCTTGGTGGGAAATTATAAAACTTTTGTGGCTAGTAAGGCATTTAGATACGCATATCAACGAGCAAGACGTAGAACGTTATAAACGAAAGCATGTAATAGAAGAGATGATTACTACTATGAAAGAGGAATATCCAGCAATAGAACGGACGTTCGTTAAAGAGAGAGACGTGTATCTAACATATCATTTACAAGCAGCTACTATGGTCAAACATTCCCCGGGATTAAAACCACCAAGGATCGTAGGAGTCGTTGGAATAGGGCACGTTAATGGAATAGTAGAGAATTGGGGAAAAGTGCGATCTTCCGACATATGGCCTATCATGCGGTATTTACAGTTAATATAAGTTTATCACGAACGAAAGTTTACGGATACCAAAGTATTTTCCATTTTTTTTTTTAGAGTGCCTCCTCAATCGTTATCAAGCAGAATATTGAAATTTACTTTTAAAGCTTCCTTACTTGGCGTCGCAGTTTACGTGGGGTATAAAATTATCCCGTTACCGTACGGTAGTGCGCTACAATCTATCAGATCGTCGATTGAGGGATTGTTTCAGGTCAGTGACAGAACGTAGAATAGCTGTAATTTTATTTCTAGAACTTTTTACTAATAATAACGAAAGTTTTTTCGAGAAAAAAAAGGAGAAAACAATAAAATTTGTTCCTTTATTGTTGATTGCTTTCCTTGAAAGATTCTGTCGAATTTCTTTTTGAATTTTTCGTCGATATAAAGTTGCGGTAAGCATGGAAGCAAGTGCTTGTCCCGACGAGTACGAGCATACGATACCTGGTGTCATGTATATAGTAAATAATATACCAGGTTCTGGAATAGATATAGAAGATTTCGAATCCGTGTACTCGGTAGGTTGTTCGTGTACGAGCCACTGTACCGATTGTTCATGTACACGTGGCTCTCCTAATTATATCAACGGTGTATTAGCGGAAAAACTATCAGGGCCAATAGTCGAATGCAACTGTTACTGCAGTTGCAAAAAAGATTGCGGTAACCGAGTAGTACAGAATGGTCCATTGAATAGCTTAAAAGTATCGAAAATCGGTGAGAAAGGTTTTGGTCTTTTCACCAGCAAGTTGATCAGGAAAGGTCAATTTATTTGTGAATATGCCGGTGAAGTGATAGGTATCGAAGAAGCTCGACACAGAGTCGAAGCGAATAAAAATAGTATGAATTATGTTCTCGTGGTCTCTGAGCATATCGGAGATCAGACTATCGTAACATGCATAGATCCTAAGTATTTCGGAAACATTGGACGTTACGCTAATCACAGTTGCGAACCGAATGCTAATCTCGTACCTATAAGAGTAGAAGGAACGACACCTCGGTTATGTTTATTCGCGTCTAGAGATATACAAGTTGGCGAGGAAATAACTTTTAGCTATGCTGACGGAATTGCCGATTCCGCCCGTACTTTTAGTAAAACGCGCTGCCTTTGCGGTTCCAGCAACTGTGTTGGCTACCTGCCTCACAACACTATTTAAAAATATTAAGATTCGGTACGTTTCGTGTTCCATTAAGTTAAGCACGTTCAATGGAGTAACTGGGTAAAGATCGGGGTGAGCTTGCCCTCTTAAAAATGTTAATTAAAAATTCTCGAATGAGGACATTTCTGAAAGTCATCTGGTCACACGTTTGGACGAGACGTTGACAATATCTGTAAAGCTTACCCCAAACGAAAGACCTAGCTACACCAATGAGTACATTACAAAGTGTTCCTGAAATTCTGATCAATTGACCCAGAACTTATTTACCTTTGAAATAATTTGTAAACGCGAATATTGTACTTGTTTAAGAAGGGTGGTACTCGAAGTAAACGAATTGTTAGGTCGTAGAGAAATACGAATCTTCTGTACTATTGTAATGAATGCAGGGTAAAATTATCGAAATCGGAAAAATATATCAAATACTCTGTAACCGATGTAATTCCATAATAACACAATATTATTATCGAAATCTCGATTTAATACCTAACGTTATATACATATTAAACATTTTTGTAACAGTCGACAATGCGTTAATTACATACTGTATAATAATGCAATATATACATATTTATACGGGATATACGTATTCGGCCATAACTTAACAGATAATTATTAAACGTAGAATATTGTATCATGTATTTACTGTCATTTAAGATGTTCAAACTTTTAAATAGCGATTGGAAAATATATTTGTTTTTAACATAAATTATTTTGGAAATTTTTTATGTTTCGACCTTTGAATTTCAGGCAGTATTCTCGCGTTTCAACGTATCGTTGTTACGCGAGAAGCGAGCTTTGGTTCGTTATAATTTCTTTGTACTTTCAGAACACAGTTTCGTTCGACGTACACAGCGTTTTTAAAGAAATTTTAAACGAATGAACGGATTTTAGCGCTGTCGATAAAGCGATAAATGATAGATAAGAAACGAGTTTTTAAATTATACCTGTAAAAAGAAAAGAAAATTTTCAAAATTTTTCGTTTATTCACATCCTCGTTTGTTTAATAAGCGACTTTGATTCTATAATTAGAATAGTAAACGCGCAACTTACAAAACGAGCATGTGATTGCGAAACTCGGTTCTATTTAATCTTTTCTAATCTTCTTTTTCATTCGGCTTTCGACGCACACTCTGATTCCTGTGACTCGTTACAGTATTTCCAACGCATCCATGCCACCCGCATGCGATCCCAAATATTTTCTAAAGAATCCATAGCTGGTCTAACATCTAATAAAGCGAACGTATACTTTTCGTCCACTTGTCCACCGTCGTAATAATCTATTATATATCGCACATTTTTACCGCATCTGTCTACGATCCAATCATGTCGATCGAATGGCAATTCGTATCTAAAATTATACAGATTACACAGGTTATTTATCAGGAATGAAATATTTGGCTACTTTGAAATAAAACTACAATTCACCCCATCCAATATCGAATCCGTGCACGCGGCGAATATTTCGTGGCTTTACCACCGAAGCTACGCAGTTTCGGACTATCGCATTCCCTTGCATGGAGCGCTTCCCATTTCAGAACTTCTTTCCAAGCTTGTTCGTTGTTGGCATTGTGAATTTTTATTATATCATCCATGTCTTTAGGAGATATATCGTCATTTTTCCAACGCCATCCTTTTCTAAGCATGGCATTCCAAAACATTTGCTGAGACGGATATACCCAAAATTCACCTTCCTCCGTTGCTTTTGGTATGGAAGAAACTTGTCTCTCAGTAGGTAATGGGAACGGTTGATCTGGTGCAGGTTGTTGATTAGCTGCTGGCATCTGTGGTAATAGGATTAAGTTTCAAATACCTATTCTGTTACACGATTACTTAAAGCAGAGAAAGATTGTAATATACCATGTTAAGGGGATTAATTTCATCTTTGGACATGTCATTGACTGGACATTCGCTAGCAGATTTAGTAGGTTCTTTTGTCGACGACTTATGCATAGGGCATTCCGGAGGAGGCTCTCCTTCTGGTTTGTGTTTTTCATGATGCTGAACTTTTTGAATTTGCGGTTGCTTCGGTATAATTTCATCGGCTGCCGACACAGCAAAATTCATAACATTACCCATTTTTCTTCTCCTTAAAGTTTCTGCAATACACGTTTATTTAAAATTTCTTTCACTTTTCATTAAATAACATCGAAGAGATAACCTATAAATGGGTTATGCAATAACCTAAATTTGACATAATGTTACCGTTTCAATGTCATTAACAAACATACGACTGCTACGAATGCTAAAAATATATTTTTATATAATATAAAACACGATGCTTCGGTAAAAACAAGTATATACTCACATGTAATTAAAGTATTTATAAGTTTGTATAATCCTATTTGAACGAGCCTAATTCTTTGTCACTATGATATTAACGTTTTAAAGAAACATTTTTATTTATCGTAATAAATATTCATATATTATTTAAGAAATAAAGGAAATTATATATCGCGAAGAATTGGAACATCTCAATTCCGAACTCTTCGAGTCGCTCCGCGAGAAATCGCGCAGCTTTAAAAGTATTGCCACGGACAACGAGGTATAGAATAGATTCATCGTCGCGCGGAACTTTGTATTCCACGTACTGAGATACCGATTGTGCAAAACGGAGGATTTATTATGCCCTCTACGATTTAGGGCGGTAAATTTACATCGTGCATAATATAGTGTCGATTGTTAGGCGAGTAGATAAAGTTTTTATTCGCGAATAAATATTAACTAATTAATATTACAAACGAGTTCCACTGAGCGCGCAACCTCCGTAATCGGTGATTGTGGATCGCAAGTCTGTAACTCGTACCGGTAACTCGAAGCGTCTAGTATTCTTGACTTTATTTGTAGAGAGAGTATTAGTAGAATCGCTAATCTTGATCGCGTCAAAGTCAAAGTCAACAGACCACGGACTAACGAAGCGACGCGGCACAGCGTTTACGCTTCGCTGACAACGTTGTCGGCAATCGTTCTATTGGAAATTTCACTAAAATTCACATAAAATTTCGTTTTCCGTTAAATTCGTGTAAAGTTGGGAAGATACGGTAAATAAACGCTACATTTCATGAAAATTTATTACTTTATTGCACTTTATGGCAATTACATTAAGCAGATTTAAAAGGAACGAAATAAAAAGATGGTAAACGTTACTACCGAATACTTTATTTACATGTATATGAAACAATAATTTGTAAGAGCGAAGCGTAAAAATACTTTTTCAAGTTGCCATGCGAAATATGTCGCATTCAAATATTATCCATTATCGAACAATAAGAGTGGTCACTAAACTTTCCAAATAATTTACGAGTAGTTTGAAATAAATTTTTCTTATCTTTCGACGGTAAAGTAGTAGCGAATTTCTTACGAACAAATCATTCATCGAAAGCAGTTTTCTTTTTAATAAGGCATTATAGTGCCATCTTTATTATAAAATTTGTCTAATGCTAATACTTTAACGATACACGCAACATTAACTTATGCAAACACAGTTCTTTATCCTACAATACTGTAAAGGAAGAAGAGATAGATCAGAGAGATATATGTAGATCCATTGAAATATTCGTTAGGTTAAATTCATAAAAAAATAGGATCTCTGTGTGTCTATTGTTTAGAACAAAATCGATTTTCAATGTTTCCCTCTCTTTTTCTCTGTATTATCGAAAACCGATTTTGACGATACACTGGCCACAATAATCCATCATCGATTCCCAAAGTTTTTTAAAACTAACGACGATCCGCGTGGCAAGGATGGATTCTCCTAATTAATCGATTTTCCTCGCGATCAATTCCTCGCGATTTTCGTCGATTCCTTGGTCCCGGTTACGTGTTCCAAGTCCAAACTATCGTACTCGAGACCAGCGGTATTGTCGTAGTAGGCGTAATCGTAATCGTTCTTCTTGCCAGATTTTGGTCGAGGCGTCGTGGTGTTGGGTAATCTGGACGTCGACGAGAAGGGTCTAGCTGACCCGCTGACGTACGTGCTCGCTCGAGGAGTCGTTCGCGGTTGCGCTGGTTTTTGCGTGTTCGAATCGTAGCTGTTCGGGTTGTAAGTGGTCACGGTGGAAACTCTCCTGTGCAAAGAATTTCAAATAAAATTAATTAGTATCGTTTCGAAAAGTACAGGCGATTCTCGTTACATCTAATAATTGTTTCGCGTCACTAAGAAAGTCCATTCGAAGATGGTAATAGAACGAGAGTCGACTGTACACGTAAAAGCTCGCGCGGCGATGGGTTACCTTGGCACTGGAGTGGTGGATCGCGGTGTTTCGGCCAAGTGATTGATACTCGCAGGGCTGAATCCGATTCCGATGGATGATCTCGCGAACTCGTAATTGCTCGTGCTGCTTTCGGTGTAATATTTCCCGTTGTTATCGTAATTGTACTGCGTTGCCTTTTTCGGAGTTTTCGTGCTGTCGTAATATTGAGACGAACTCTTAATCGACTGGCTAGATTTCTCGTAGTATTGCCCGTTCTCCGTATTCCTGGTTACGGTTTGAGCTTGACTGTTATCGATATATTTCTTGGTTGCTGGACTGTAGGTCGTCGGCGCGTAACTGCTGCTCGCGAAACTTGGGAAATATTTAGTGGTCTGAGCAACCTCTTGCCTGGTTGATGTAGCTGGTCTATATTGTCCGTTATTGTTATTGTTGCTGTAAGTATTATCGTAAACGGGTGCAGCGGTGGTAGATTGGTAAGGTACGTTATTGCCGTTTCCGCGTTGAATATTATTGTAATTTCGCTGATAATTCGTGTAATCGTTTACTTGGAAATTGGTGCTGGGTTGCAAAGTGGTCGATGGTACGAACTGGCCAGCGTTGTTGTAACTCTGATAATTCTTGTTGTAATTGTTCGGTTTCGCCGTCGTGCTCTGAGTGTAGGTACCGGTATTTTGTTGATTGTAATTGGAGTTGTAAGCGTTGTAAATAGTCGTCTTGGACGTCGTGCTAGGGGACTGGAAATTGTAATTGTTCTGATAGTTGGTGGACGGTTTATAAGTGGAGGACGGTGAATTGTATCCTTGAACGTTTTGATTTCTGTTATAATCTTGAGGCTTGGTGCTGGTCGAGGAGGCGAAACCGTTACCTCGTTGATTGTAATTATTCCCACTGTAAAAACCCGTGTAGGTGTTCTGATTGCCGACGACGGCAGGCGCAGGTGTGCTCGATGAAACGTAATTGTTGCCGTTGCCGTTGCCGTTGCCGTTGTCGTTGAACTGTTGCTTTCTGCTAACCTTCCTGACTCCCGTCTTCTTCTTCGTTTCTTGATTAACCTCGTCCTTGTAGGATTTGTCGTTCTCGTAATCGTCGTCCTTGCCGTTTCGGTTGTTGTAATAATTGCCCGTGTTGCTGCCGCGTAGATCTCTGTTGCCGTTCGAGTTGTAATTGTTGGAGGATATTCTATTGAGATTGTTGGCGGACGAGCGGACAGGGTCGCTGGTCTCGCTACGTTGAAGATGATCCTGAGGTTCCGCGTCGCTACGAATACTGTCGTAATGAAGCGATTCTAGGCCAGATCCGATTCGGTAGAGGTCGAAATTGTCACTCGCGTAATAGAGAGTGGCGGCTTCGCAGTCTACGTCGTACCAATCGGCGCACGTTTGACTCTCTTGATCGAAAGCCGTGTCGTTAGGACATAAGAACCTTGAAAAACAGAGAAATACACCTTTCCATTATCTTCGGACGAGATTCGGGAAATATTTGAACGCGTAATTTGGGAAAATGGAATGACGAGACTCTGAAGGTATAGTTTACTTGTAATCCTGAACAGTGCCAGAGACCGACACGCAAACGTGGAACACTTGGCAGTCGGTCTCAGGGTCCGCGTAATAGCTTCCTACGATCTTGTTGCGACAAGTGAAGGAAGTTTCCGGCATGTACTGTTGGGAGTATCTGGGCGGTGGTCGTTGAAGAGCCAAGGCACAGGTCCAGAAAACAGCCACTGTAACAAAGTTAACGTATTCGAAGTTGAGATAGTTGGTTTCACCACGGATTCGATTGTCCGTAAAAGATTTATATACGCGGTATCTTAGATCGATGCGCAACAAAGTGCAATGAAAGAATACGTTTCTAAAGAAAAATCACTTTCGTTGGCTCGAGAAAACGCGTTTCGAAAGTATCGACTTCGAACACGAACGCATTTATGGATTTTCACGGTCCGTCACGGTCTCCGAGGACGAGAGCCATAGTCTTTTTACCATCTCGAAGAAAAAACGCCACGCAAATATTATAGCGAACTCGCGATTTCGCTCGAGAACACGCGATAGCGACAGCGAATCGGCGGATGGTTTTCCCTTTCGAAAACTCGCGAAGCTTATCTACGATTCCTCCGTAGAGGAAAAACGTACCCCATGCAAGGAACAAGAGACGTCGTAGGTGTTCCATAGTGTTCAATGAACGATAATCGTGTACGGTCGCGTTCGTTAGGAAAAAAGATGACGAGATATCCCGCGTTACCTTCGCGAGAGGATCGTTCGAGGCGACTGCGACTTCGAGGAGAACGCTTCGACCGAGAAGAGGATACCCAGCGGGGAAACGCTTTCTGGGAGGATGGCTCTGGGCCTCGGGAACAAGGTAGGGGTTCCTTCCAAGAAAAGGTACGCGCGTGTGTACGTGTCCGATGGAGCTAGAGGACGTAACCCGCTTCGTTACGTCACTCTCCGCTCGATCACCGGACAGATGCTATTCCGCTCTTCTTTGATCATCCTCGCGAATATTCGCGACCCTCTTCGCTCGATTGCGACCCACGCTTCTTACGGACAAGGGTCAGAACCTTTCAAGGTTGACCTTCGAGATCCCCCGATTAAACGCGTAAGCTTGAAAAATGTTGCCTTTTGTTAAAAGTTTCGTTGTTACGGCTTCTCATTCGAGTTCATCATCCATGGGGGTCAACGAGTTAAGCGTATTCTTGTTCTCGCACTCGGTAATATTCTAAACACGTTTCGAGTAGAACGATCATCGATCATTGGACGTAACACTATCGGCGGAGTTAACGTTCCTACTCACACCGAAAGAACGCGACTCGTAGGTGCAAATATCGTGCCATCTACGAACGAGTCGAAGACAACTTTCGCCCTCCAAGGCTGAGAAGATTCCTCGTTGCGAGCTCATCGCGCGTAATAGAGGCGAACGGTCATTGAAAAACGTCGTGCCACTCGACGCGATTAAACCCTCGGCGAGGAAATCGTAAATCGAAATGTAGTTGTCGAGTAATTTCGTTTTACGTAACGCGCTAATCTCGTTTCCAACCTTCCGAGTTCGAAGGGGGTATATCGGGACGTACGTGCCGAAAACTTTTTCCTGCCTTCTTTCGCGGTGTTACGCAAAGTAAACATCGTGCAGCAGGATACGAGACGGTTTCGATTGCGAAATTTCGATTGTCGAGGTACGACCTCGATCTTCGCGGAACACCAAACCCACGTGACTGCCTTGCGTTTCCTTTCTGTATTTTACCTTCGACGATACCGATCAATTCATTTACATCGACCAACGAAATATTTCCTCGAATCGAGTCTTCTTTACTCTCGCACGCCTTCTAGCCGATTTTCTGTATAGAGTGGCTGGAACATTAATTTCCCAGCAGTTTCTAGTATGAATTCTGCATTCTGTACAGTCAAATCCAGTGGAATGTAACGGAGCACTCCTTGGATGCACCTTTTGAGCTGCAGAGATCCCCGATCACCGTAGCAAAGGGCACGAAGACGACAAAGGTCGTTCAGCGTGTCGCTGAAACGTGATTCGAGCACCGACCTAGTCTAATCGTACGGTCGAACGATTCTTCGCCATATACTCTCGCGAAAAAACACGTTTTTCACATCGTCGACGTCGCTAAAACCGATGCGAAGGAATTAGATGATACGTATAACGGTGCCATCCACCGAGGTTTGCTCCGAGTTCCACGGTAATTTCGATTTCGCAATTGGCCAATACGGTTGCCTCCGTTGCTCGGTTAATTCTTATTTAAAAGTACATGTAAGGAGACTCGGTTGCGAATCGCTTTAGGGCATCCAATCGCGATTCCACCGTGTCCAGGCAATCGAAGCTGCGTTGCTAAACAAGTACTTCCAATTAAGCATTTTAATTCTGTCTCGCGGTGATTAATCGAACTTGATATAAGTCTTGTTTTTACGCGTCGGTGGTGGTGAAAATACGCGGTAAGTTTGAAATTGATTTAAATAGAACTAGAATTTATCGCGACTAGAGTTCCGTGGTTCGTTAATTTAGCGGTCTTGTCAACGCGTACGCCTTCGCGATCGGTTATTTGCGTGAAAATCTCGAAGAGCATGTCATTCGCATGGCGACCATAATACCGGTAGAGAAAGCAAGGAAGGTCGAAGGTGCGGTCAAACCATTTTTCCAAGATGGGATCTTGTTTCGTAGCCTCGAGGAGAAGACGGTAACCGTAGCAGCTTCGATAATCAATTATTCGAACGTTAATTGACGAGGGTAGGGTCGAGTGAAGGGCAATTAGCGAGCATCTTGTGGAAGATGTCAACGAAACGATATTGGATCACGGGGCTCCTCCATCGATCGAATAACACTTAAAACTCAAGAAACGGTGGTAAAAGTCGATGGAGTAAAGTAAGCGCGTAGTTGGCCCGTTGTAGGGAACAATGCGATGAAAATTTGCATAACGATTTAAAACTCGGCATTCCGAGAGATTGTTGGCCGTTTCTCGAACGAGCCACATCCGCGGAATGTTTCTTCTTACTCTCGAGCGGATACAAAAAGGTGTTAAGCGTATGCGGGAACACTCGACTTCCGTCAGATACATCCGTGCATAGGCCGATGCGTATGTACCTCGAGATTCGATCCACCGATCGACGAATAAGTTGAAGGAATCCACGTACGCGGCTGATTCCTCGCGCGAGAACATCGTTTTCTCCTAGACATTAGAAGAGTTTGCTTGTATCGCCACTTTCGCGCGCGTTACCGATGTTCCCTGTCATCGTAGGACGCGTACAGTATCCGCCGAAAGTACCGCGATGTAAACGCTCCCTTTGCCCTGTTACCCTTCGTTCCTACGATTTCTCGAATAGCGCTAGTGAAAGCGTTCGCCGCGTACGTATGCACGTTCGGTTCGTGGAGTCTTCCTCACGAATTCGCGATTTATTGCTTCGTGAATCCGCAGGGAAAGCAATAGGAACTGGAGCGGTATCGACATCGTTTTGGCTATCGATATTTGACGCGAACACGTCGATTGGTTCTCGGTTAGGAAATTTAGCTGTCTGTAAAGTAAGCATCTTCGATTTATCTTCTTCTTTCGCAGAAAACGTAGGTGCATTTGGACTTACGTAATTACGAGATTCCAAAGATTTCCATCGAGCGACTGTTGCGTTCGAAAGCTTTTAATTTCCCGTAAAGGTCGTTAATGCGCGAAGAGAAAGCGCGATAAATTCGTACTTCCAACAATACAATTTTATAATGTTTACGTAAGCGAAGTTATTCGTAATCGAATAAGCAACGACAGAGTTTATATTTATAGGATAAAAATGTACGGGAAAGTGGTAATACATCGTTGACCCGTGACCCTTCGCTGCGCCGAGCAAGTGCGTCTATGTGGCCATTCCACGCACTAGAGGAAACTCGTGGCATTTGTTGAACGTTTTTTCTCTCTCGTTGCGGCATATTCCCTCACCGTCATTGAGAAATTTCACCGAACGTCGTCATTGATTGTTTCCCGGTGTGTGCGCGGTGCAACAACCAACGATAATTTTATTCGCGCGACAAAGGAACTTTTTTTTTTTTATACGGATCGAACGTCGAGAAAGCGAAAGCCTTTAATTTTGCTCCTAAGCGAGCGAAGAGAATGAAATTGTAATATATGTATTCGTATCGCTTTCTAATTATAACGTCTAGTTTCTATTTCGACGATTTTCTTCTTTTCTTCTTTTCTTGTTTTCTCGAGGAACTCGTGATTTTGGAGAATTTCGGCCGCAGGTAAACAGCAGTGTTTTTAAAGACGATGCTCCTTTCTCGAGCGTTTAGCTTTTATATCCTGAAAGGTTGTTCTCTCTTTGAATATTCTCCTCGCGTGCAGTAGTTCGAGCGCATTATCTTCCACCTGCATCGTGGAGTCGATTACATTGTCGCAATTACGTTTCCCGCGAAAAAAGAAGCAACGTTTTGTCGATTCTTTTATCAACCTTTTTTCCGCTCTTTCGTTCGCGTCCAATGACGTTTCTAGCGTGTCCTACGATCTTACTGTTTTTGCTCAGCAACGAAAACGAAGTCAGATCTCTTCGAAGACGACGTTGATAATTCGAGCCGAGTAACGCACTCGATCGACATAATATTTGTAAAGAAACGCGTAGAAGCGAACGAACAAGGAAGAATCGGGAGAATTTTCGGGATGATCGCCTAGTCGGAGGAGGACGTTGTAAAGAGGATGCCTCCTCGATTCCTCGCCAGACCGCTCGCCTTTTGCTTTCACTTTCTCACGTGACGGAGACGAGAGAAGACCCTCGACGATCCCCTTCCTCCTCCCTACCAGATCATACCGAACTCCTCGCGAGGAGGATCCTCTTCTTCCTTGGCCACGAGCGAGGATTTATCGAGACCGTTCGCCGCTTCGTTGGATCGCGTGCAAATCGGAGTATTACATGCTCGAACAAATATTTTCTTCGCGTCCGAACGAAACTCGATGAAACCGTTGGCACAGGTGTGAAAGTTAATTAGGGTAAATGCCTCCGGCGATCGGCAGACTCTCGATATATATTATTTGTCGATTGACGCTACTCGATCGGAGTCTGAATGAACGCGTTCGTAAACTTTATCCGAACGTGTTCGAGTTTGGAATAAAAAGCGAGATTAATCGGCGTAGCGAGCGTAAGGCTGTCTCGGCGAACCACTCGCTCGAGGTCTTAATTGCACGAGCGAGGAAGGCAAGCTCGTTATTGTGACATAGCGTGCACAAGGGAGTCGGTGCAATTCCGTGCGAAAAAGGGAATAATTATACGCTCATCGCGGCTCGGAGCTGACACGCGCCTGTCTCTTACGCAATCTGCTCGGCTACTTCCCTAACCGCCGAATTTCTTCCGTTTCGTTCACGATGCGCGACGATTAATTAATTTTCTATAGAAGCGAGATCTTTCCCAGGGATCGTGGAATGCAAGGGCCCTTCTTCGAGTTCGCTTTTCCAACGGGAAATCTATGGGAAGTCGAACGTTCCTGATACGAGATACCGCTCTTTAAAACGTTGCTCCACTTTTTATCGAGCACACACGCGTAACAATCGCGTTTCAAACGTTTCCCAATATTGTTCGCCGCTGAAACAATCGATACTTCCCAGCGTCAGGCCTGATGAGCATTCCACCTGCGCGTTATCCCCTAGCCGAAGTATCTTAACGAATAAACTCTTCGATTTCCGAAACAACGAGCAGAGAAGTCTTGCAATTTTCAGGGAACTAGCGGTTAGGTGTTTTCAGGATCAGATTTATGAGCTGTCCGTTTTCGATAGATAAATTCGATTTGCGTTTCGCGCAATGGAGGAAGATATTAGCGATTTTTCGCAGTTTCCGATGCAACGGCGTCGATTTAACGACGAATGGACCATTACGAGGCAACAGTTGGCATAACTTTCACTCACGGTGTCGCTGTCCTCGTCGTTGAACCGTACACGTGCACGTGCACGCGTACGCGCGCGTATGAATCTTCGGAAAGCAAAGTTGCATAAACGCGTGCCGGAACGTGGAAGAGACTTCGTTATACAAGCAAGCCGGTTCCTCGTCTCTTCTCGTCGCCGATTTTCTACGCGACTCGCTTTCTGTCGGATTCCTTAAATTTCAAGAGGTGTCGTCCAATGTTACAGTCGCATGGCCTACTAGTTGACACTGTTCGAAAAACAGACGATCAACGAGCGTTTAGACGTTCATGTTCTAATATTGTCTTGTTCGGAGAAATTTAGCTTCGCGTATCGCTCCACTTTTCTCTTTTAAATTATTTATACGTATTGCGATCGCTTCGATTCTTTCAGACAAAGATCTCGAGCAATGAACTCCCGTAATTCGAGATCTTACAGGTTAGTGCTAATTCGATGTTTCTGGAGTTCGCCGGTGATGGACATCGCGAAATTATTCGAATTTTTCTTTCTTTTCTTTGCAAGTAGAGTTTACAGCGAGTCTATTAATACTTCGAAACGTCGAGTATCATGGACGTTCGATCGCGTAAAGCCGATCGATCAACGTGGACAGTTTTACATTGGCAGTCAGCGATTACCCTTCGAGCTTGAGCAATCGTCTTCGTTGTCCTTTGCGTTTCCAACATTTCTCGAACGTGCTCGACAGAATCGATCGCGAATTAAAGGATCATTTCCACCTGGATGTTGTTCGCGCCTCCTCGTCGTTGCGACTTGTTACGTAAATGTGGGTTACGCGTTACCAACCGGTTATTCGGGGCGAAATTGTGCGAGAATCGACGACGAAGAAGAAGAAAAAGAAGGGAAGGGAAAGGAAGGGAAGGGGTCTGGTAACGTATGCGCAACTCTCGTGAGAGATTTTCAGAGAGAGGACCACGAACGAGCGAGAGGCTCTTCGTTGCTAATTAGTCGCCAGTCTAACGGACTAACAATGCCAGGAAAATAGAATTTATACGGGATCGTACGAATCCACCTGGCAATCTCTAACCGCTTCAGAAGGAAACGATCTTCCAACGAGAAATTTCTTGCTGTTCCTGATTTAACGCGTTCACCGGTGATCGATTCGGAAGTAACTTGTTCCCTCCTTCTTCACATCTGATATTTTAACATACAATTAATAGTCCAACGTCAACGGTTGGAATCTTTTCTTCGTGCTCGTTACGTAATTATCGAATAAGACGACGTAGGACTCGTAAAATATCCGAGATCAAGTTGGGAAGATATTGATATCGAGAAATTGGTGGAAAGTGTTGCGTGATCGGTAGACGAGTTTCGTTGGATCAAACCTAATTGGAGGGAAGCGCGTATTCGTTACCGGAGAAACGGTGCAAGTTTGCTCCAATTTAATGACTCGTCTCCGGACGAATCTCACGGATACGGTTCTGCGTTTAGTTACGGTGGTAAAATTATTCTTAAACTAATTACTTGGAAGTTATTTGATGCCCGAATACGTCTCTAGCTTATGTAAATTCTTCGAACAATTTCTTCGTTCATCCCGCGAGCCTGAGTCGATCCATTATTCAACCAGTATGTTTTTCCAAGCAATTTCATCGTTCGACGAAATTTACCAACAAGAGAGAGAGTTTCCTGACAAAACGGCGCATCTTCTCGACAGGAACAAAGTATATGTACCTACGTAGACGAAGAATGTCGCAATCACGAAATCGCGAGATCGGTTTCGTGCTACCGATGTGTCGTTGTCGATTCGAATGTGGCACAAGGATGCGTTGGTCGCTCGGTCGAATCCTGTCGTTTCGTTTTCTCTCCACGATCGTTAACGTTACCAAGACCTTTACAATCTTTTAATTAACCCTTTGTAATCAGGATATTTGCCTGGGATGTCTAATAACGTCCACGTTCGGCATTGGCAATACCTTCGCTTTAGATTTGCAACGCGGTTAGAAAAAACTGGTCCATTCGTAAGATTCTCGTCTTTTAATATTCTACTCGTTCTCTATACGTTTTTAGTTCTCGGAATAAAATTTCCATAGGATCTCTATGGTTTGACTTTCTCCGATGCCTTATCGATCTCAACCATCTTGAAATATTATTCGTGTTTCGCGCGATGATCAACTTGCTTGTTTTCGATCCGTTTCTCGGACTTTTGTCGGAGAATATTAGTTTTATTCCCCGGGAAAAACCTTCGTGGGAGGTTGTCTGAAATCTCACGGTAGGTAACAACGGCGACAATTATTTTATTGTACTTGCAGATACTATAATTGTTGGCAAAATAACTCGGTCGACAAACATACGTGATCGCGTAACGTTCGTTATTGTCAGAGAGGTAGATTATTTATCTTGGTAGCATCTTCCTGCGTGCACGATTCGAGAGCAGGAAGTGGTCTGGTTGTGCAATGGGAAGCGGATATGATGGGATCTAGAGACAAATATGGAAGCGATTATTTAGCGTCTAATTGTTCGTTTAGGATCTTTGCTCCATCGACGTGAACCTAAAACGCGTCGACGACGCGGATGACTAGCGAAACGAGTCTTCTTTCTCTCGTTGAACTTGCGGTGGCATCGATTATTTTTTTCTTTCCTAAAGAAGATGGGAAAATGGCGAACTCGCGACCGGTGCTCCTAATAATAAGAAATATTCGAGTGTCGAACAGTGTTTGATAGAGTTTGTCAGAGCCCTTTTTCAGTTAACGGATTAACGATGCTCGTTAAATAATCGATCTAGTAAGGTAAAACCCTGATTATCGATGTAATACCGCTATTTCGTCTCACTCGCTTTGTCCCCTGTAATCACTATAATCCTTGAATGCATAACCTTTTGACGAAGTGGAAGCGAGTATCCTCCGAGTTTCTTCTAAATGCCAGAGGAGTAACATCACGACGCGTTTGTTGATCCACGATAGCGTTTGAGCATGACTTAACGTAGAAATATTTTATTTATAAAAAATGCATCGTTTACCAAGGATATCTCGTTTTTTACAGCGACCTCATAATCGCAGGATCATTGAGAAGTTGCTTCACGGGGGGTCGTTCCTTTCAACGATACGTTATTTCGAGATTTATTAGCGAGAAATAAAGCTTGCTTAAGTCTGAACGGTTTATTATCGAGTCATTTTTTTACAATTAGCTTTTAAAACAAGAATGTAGGAGATAGAGGATCCAGAAGAAAAAAATTGTATTCGATGCAATAAATAAAAATATGTTTCTTTATAAGTAATATTTACAGAGGAAATACATTGCACGTAGAAAAATACAGTACTATCTCATGAATGCTTCGTTCGGTACAGCGGAAGATTTGTAATCTTTCATAAAATTTGAAATCGCTTTCCTTATGTTCCACTTGGCTTCTTCCAAGTACGTTTGACACCATTCGTTGTTCAAGGTGGTCACCTCCACAAATTTATTGAACAACTCCTTCTTCTCCGTGACACTGAAGCACAATGGCGCTACTTCTTCGTACGAAATTTTCGCTTCTATACTACCGGGTGAAATTTCTTCCGGAGCCGAATCGACGTGATACTGATCGTTCAGAATATTGTACTCGTTATCGGGACCAGCTAATATCACGAACGTTCTATTGAACGATAAAACTTGAGAAGAATTGTTCAATGTTTTAAACAAACCACTGACAGAGATCGCTAAACATTTACCGTCGTCGTGCATCAGATCGCACGCGAACGAATTTCGATCGTGATAAGATCGTGGTAATCTCTTCAAACCGCCTAGAATATTGTCCTGTCCGTAATAGAGGTGTTGCCGTTTTTTGTTAGGGTCAGCGTTTCTCAGTAAGTTTCTACTTGCCGTAAATTGACCAAGATTTCTTTTGTGAGCCGCAGCGGACGAGATACCAAAGCTCATGGAATAAAATGCGTTTTTGTAATACAGTCCTCTCAGAACAGTTCTATCGCTTTGATCGTACAGATGAAAGAAATGATTGACGAATTTAATGACCAGTTCCTCCCTCGCCTCGCATTTGAAATAGTTGGCGCAAGACAGCGGCAAGTTGCTAGATTTCACGTAAACTCCGTCCAACTGAACCAAATTAGGACAATACTTTTTCGCGGACTCTATGTATTGTTTCGAGTTTGAATAATTTTCGCACAAAGGATTTCCATCCAACCATAGTTTTACTATACGTAGTTCTTTCAAAGGGGCAAGCAATTCCATAGAGATTAAATTGTTGTACCTTAGATCAAGGTACTTGACGGTGGTCAAATTAGAATTTTCTATGGCCAACAGATTAGTCAGTTCGTTCTTCTGTAAATTTAGGTGTTCTACAGCAGCAATCGCCGTCTTGATTAATTTCATAACATGGTTGAAGGTTCTCTGTTGGGTTAGCGGACAGTAGATCGTTTTAGATACCTCTGGATCTCTGTGAAATTCTTCCAAATCTAGAGCTTTCCTGTTAGGATCGTATCTCTTACTCATAGCTGCTAGCAGCAAAGGTTGAAGATTTAGTTTGAGATCGTGAATGGACGCGTATCCCAAAGTTACTATTAGTATCAGAGGATCTCCTTCAGGATTCTTGATTATCAAGTTAGTTTTGCAAAGTTTGTCAAGAGCATGAGCACAGTTCCGTGCTAGGAAAAAAGTGTCTTCTCCGCTAGCTTGATACTTGACAGGAATTAACTCTGCCGGTTCAATGGCGTTCAAAATAGCTTTCAGCACTGTCTCCTTGTTATATTGTGTTCCTTTAACGATTTTAATTTTGTGCCATACATCGGAACGACCCATTAACGTTCTTTCTTGAAACATAGATCCACCCATGCTTATCTTTATCGCGATCGACGAGTCCAGTTGCATGGGTACAACGGGTAAATTTGTTCTCTGCATCGTCGAATCGTTCGTTAACGACTTTCAATCTTGAGCGTACGTTCTTATGTTGCGGGAAGAAACGACATGCTGCTGAAAGAACGATTTGCATTGTTTACATCGATAGGTTAGGTTTCTTATCGCAATAAAATCGAGTACTGTGTAATATAAAAGTAAAATAATCGGGTTACCTCCTTCTGAACGTAATGGTTATAAAAGAAGCAATAGCTTCCTTCGACTGTTCTTAATTGTAAACAACAATTAAAACTGGTCACATTTATCGACAAACGACGAACGCGCACCGACGTTTTAACAATGAATCTTCCATTTAGTCCGTAGCTTCGATATATTTCGTTTCGAGTAAATCTTCTAATTTAGAACAAAATAGTAGAACATTTACGCCAATACTTTGCGTTTATAGAAAATTTCAAAAATTTGTTTACACGAGCCAGACATCGCGCAACATGATACTTTAATCGAGTAGCGGTAGACGGCGTTGGTGGTATCGTCCGTGGAGAGGAATCGGCAAAAAAGTAGTTGGTTTCGGATCGGTTAGTTTGAACGATCGTTGGTAGATGGCGGTAGCGGCACCGTTTATCGAGACGCGCATTATTTCAAAGTTAAGAAAACGAAAAACAAATAAGATTTCCACGATGGGGTCACGACTTGTTCGATTAATCGTTTAAATTTAAGCTGTTACCGGTCCACGATGCAATTAGAGGATATTTATTGGTCGGAATGAAGCAATCGGAAATTGCCGCGTTTACGAAGGGGCGGTGTTCGAAAAAAGTTGTTAAGAACACGTTAGGCGAAGACGCGTTAAACGTTAGATCCTGCGGCTCGTCCGTGTCGAAAGTACGCATTACCAACAACGTGTAACGTTATCGGGACAGAATTACCCGCTCTAGAAATCGGTTCTCGTCCCTCTGTTCCCTTAAATGTGTTATTTCGAAATACGAAAGCAACAATGAATCGCGCGGTGAAATGGAGGGATAGAAGGTGACGAGACCGGTGATTTTGTCCCTCGTTGTGTGCGTATCGTACCCTGTTGTCCGCCTTGGGCATCTTCTTCCGCGTTTCACGTGCTCGGAAACGGAAAAATCCTGTTGCGTCGAACGATCTGCTAGTTATATACCAGCCGGATAGATTTTTCTCGGTAAAACACACTCGACCAGCTGCACCACCGGCGGTAATGGCCAGCTCCATATGCGGTTACCCCGTGCAAAAGTCCGGAGATAGTGGTGCCATCTAAATCGAACGATTTAAAGCAAGCCCGGGAAAAAATGATAATGGAGCCACCGTGACGTTCGCTTTTCGGTTATCGAGCCACTTTGCCGGAGTATCGTTTCCTCTGGTTCGTTGTCAGATCGTTGTCCATTGAAAGGGCAGAACTCACGACGAACAAGGAAACGTACGTACGGGTTTTAATGGAGAGAAATTTTCGCGCGATCTCTTATTGGCAGGGTCGAAGATTTTGCCAGGTATCCTTTTTTCCACGACGTGTACGTGTACGAGAACGTATCGACGCGGGTCCGTATTATAGCAATTCAATAATAAATTGTAGAACGCTCGGTCGTCGCATTATGCGCCGGTAATCACAGTAATAAGCAGTTCTAAAAGTAACGTAAGTACGTTGTAGGTAGTAACGAGTGAGCTGTAATCTCGGGGATGCCCCCTATTTTCGTACTCGGATACATCGACGGGGATTAGGGTAAGGGAGCGAGAGAGAGAGGGTCGTTCGAACGACGAAGGAGGATAGGGCGACAGAGCGGCAGAGGGCGTTGGAGCGAGGCAACGGAGAAGAGCGATCGGGAAGAGAAAAGGACGCTCGAAGAGGAGCCCATGGGCGTCATCCATGGTGCGATCCGGAATCGGTATAATTTACAACTCCCGCAGGAAATTGAACCGCGACGACTCGACGTAAAAGTGAACGGCTACGCACCAGTCGCGATCATAGGTTCCTACCTTTCCTTCCGGCACTAGATCAGTCTCGATCGATGAACGTTTGCCCCGTGGATGGAACAGGATTAACGATTTCTCGCGCTAGTTCCCCGCGTTCTTACGACTGGTTCTCGACGATCCTGCTCGTATCGCTAAATAACGAGTCGTCGGACGGGGGACACAGAAATTCAGAAACCGAGTAGCCTGTTAGGTGATACTCCCGCAAAGAAGGGCATCGTATGTACGCCTATGAGGCAGGCACGAGAAGACCGTGTCCGTACGTACCCGTTAAGCCAACATCTAATTCGATAACTGGCGAAAATAATAACGTAGCGATCTGTTGCGTTCGCGAGGCGCAATCATCCGTTTCGTACCGGGTGTCCACAGAATACTATCGGTCGATCCTCGCTAGGATATTCTCGATCGTCGATCGATACTGGTCAGGTGTAGCTCGTTCGAACGATGTTTTCCTTTTTCCGAATCACGTTCGCGTTCCGATGAAATTGTTTGCAATAGTAACGCGAACGATTAGTCGGTGGGCAGCTTTCGATTTTACTGGACTATCGGGATCGGGGTTAAGCACGGAGGAAGGAGATAGTAGTCTTATTTTTCAAGTTTTCTGTTAGTTTAGTTGGGCGATGGTCGGCAAAGATGGAGACGTTAGAGACGTTTGCTTCCGAACTGACAAGGCGTATCACCGATTCGAATGAAATTTCTATAGGCGATACACGACTCGAACAAATATTCGACGAGGCAAAAACACGATTAATAAAAGGTTTGGCGTTATCGCGAGGCCAGTCGGTAGCCAGGGGAACGAACGAGAGCGCAGCTCGGAGACGGTTCCAGGGAATCAGATAATTTTTCTGACGCGTTTGAAAAGAGCGCGGACCGTCTCGCACGGTAGCAATTTATAACGAGCCGGTCGAGCTACCACGGTAGCAGATGACATTTATTAAAAGTTTCTGACCGAGCCACGTCGAGCATCGATCTTCCTTCTCCGCTTACCCTTCGTTTTTAAAGGCTCGTGTCGTTCCTCGCCGTTGAATCGTGCCCGCCTTGTTATCCGGCTCCACGACGAATACCGAACAGTTTAATAAGCAAGTGGTAGCCACGATAACGCGATACAAGATACACCGCGATGGTGTATCATCCATCACGATGAACTCGCCACTCGTCGTTTATGCGCTACGAACAGATCTCTCTTTTTTCATCGTACGTTTGGACGTTGGTGCAGCCTTGAATCGTCTCGAGGATTCCGTGCCACTCGTGCAACGTCGTCCTTAACCTCTCGCGCCTGGACTACCGGTCCAGGTGTCCGAGCTTTTCGATACTCGTCGGTTTTATTTCGGAAACGCGAATATCCTGTTTCCGATCGCGAACAAAAGTCGACTCGAGATACCCTTGGCGAGATTCGAAACGATCCTTCATCCTTTTCGCGTGAAAGTTGGATTAAAAAGAGCGGTATAAAACGACGGAGGTCCTAGGCGGTGGGCAACGATAAAAGCTCGATAAAAGGCGGCGTGGATCGACCCGTCATCCGGGCGGTCGCGTGCAAAAAATACGTTAATTCCGCGGAACTTGCATGACCGTGCAAATAAATAAAACGGCAAACACATACACGCGTGGATCGACCCCATGGCAGCGTATTTTATATTTTATCCGGTTCGAATGATTGATTGCGGCTCCGCTTGGCTCGGCCGATAGCATCTCGCGGAATGCACGGCTGTACTTGTCGTTTCACGCATTGTTTATTATTGTCCGATGCTTTTATCGTGATCGTCTGCTCGAACGGACCGCGACAATTTTCAGAGGGATGTACATATACATATATATGTATATGTATAATATACATATACACGGAGAGAAAGAAAGAGGAAGAGAGAAGAAAAAAATGATTATCCGCTGCTAAGAAGCCGAGCTTCGAGCAATTTTTCTGGGCGGGAAACTGGGCGGTTCGGTAAAAAAATTTGCGACGTCGGTCGATTAGATTGACACGAGACGAGTTTCGCGAGTAACTCGACGGGAAGTGGTCGTTTTTGGCCACGAACCGGAGTAAAGAGGCGAACAACGATGCTGTATACGCGGAGGAAGGATAGTAATTACAGAAGCGGGACTGAAAACGCGGGGTTCCATCAGACCCTGCGAGGCACGATCCTCGATAAGTATAGTTGTTTCAGGATCGCGTCGATGCCTCCTTCTACTCCCGCTATCTCATTTTATTGGTACAGGTAACGCGAAAAATTTATTGGCTTCGACGCAGCACGATCGTTCGAGCATACTCGCCAGGATTAGAGAAACCACGACTTTCCTACACGCTGCAATTTTACCCCTTAACCGAACACTCTATTTATGTAACGTAGATGGACACGCCGGTGCAATATTACGTTTTTTCAAGTATTACGAAATTTAGTTATCGAGATACGCGCTCTCAGCTATTGGGCTCGATCGGCTTCGCTTTCCGATTATTTCAATTTTTTCCAGAATCTTTTCCAGAATTTTTTCGACAAAGGCTAGACGACGCGACGCGACGCGACGCGCGACTACGCGTCGATAGAGAGGCAATTTTAAAATTCCTTTTTTAAAACGTATCGTCGAGTTTGGCCTATAATGGTCGGCGCGTTAGTTGCTTCGTGTTATTCCTGTTCTCCGGTGAATGGACTCGATCACCGGTACTCGGCAACCCCCTCATTATCTTCCGATATAGTTTTGCCTGATTTTTTCCTTCGATCGCTCTCTCTTTTTCTGCGTATCCCTTCTTCGTTTCGCAGCCGAGCGACGTACAATTTCGTACTCGCGTTTCCCGTTCGAGAGACACTTAATTAAGAAATCGAAAGAAGCGCGCTCGACGATCGCGCAAATTGCATCGGCGCGTAAACTCGCGTAACCGTAACCGACGACTCTTTGATTTTGTTTATTGGACCGAGTCAAAGGCGGAAGAATATCCTCCTTTTAACTTTACGACGTATTCTCGAGTATCTCGCGAAATTATTTTCCCCTCGTATCTGCGGTTATGCGGCGCGGCGTCGAGAGGCCGATGCAGATCCTCCCGGTCGATCGTCACGCTCGATTTCCTTTCCGTTGCATAGCGCGGAGCACAGAGCTCCGAGTATAATGTAGCCAATTAATGCCCGCGGGACAATCACCGCAACTTTCTTACCAACTGTCCCGCAAATTGCCGCGATAAACGGCCACTGGCAATCTTGGCCAAGCAGTATCGAGACGGAAATGTTCCATGCTACCGAAACACCCTTCCACCCCCGTCTTCCGTTCTCTATTTATTTGCCGCGCATCGATTTTATATATTTTCCGCGACAATTTCATTTCGAACAATACCTCGAGGGGTTTCGCTAACTTCTCGAGCGATCGATGCGCGGGACAAAAATTTCTCTTTCGCGAAACCATTATCAGGGACTAATATAGCTCGGTTCACGGCTGGCGGAGTGGAAGTATCGATGTCCTGGCAAACGCTTCGGCCACTTCCTAACGAGTGTGCTAGCCTGACTCCGAACCTGCCAGGAATCAATGACAAATCCAACGAGTCTTCTCGTTCGTCAGCTTTTTAATCGGTCGAATCGACCTACCGTTGGTCCAGTCTCGATTATGCTTCGAGAACGTTTCAATCGAGATAATAACCAGACGATTCCCGTACGTTTCGCTAACGATCCTTTTGTTCGCGTGTTTCAGAATTTGGCCGGAGGAGATACGGCGCAGTTTCGGCATCGGTGAGTGTTTATTCAAAATTTATACGTTTTTGCATGCATATAACGCAACGAAGAATCGACTCTTCGACGTGGTCCAGATTCGAAGTTCGAAAGGGTTTCGCGGTTTCACGCCAGATGGTAGTAGACGTCTCGCGTATGGATTCGATTCTTCACGCGCGTCTCTCGAAACTTTATTTTCGCCAAGAAATAGTAGCAGAATACCTTGTTTCGATCTTTCTGACCTTCGAGCGAAAAAAGGAACCGTACTTTCGTTCGCGTACAAATCTATTGGCAAAACCGAACTGCCTAATCACGTTTGCATCTGGGCTTCCTTATTCACCTTCGACTCCCTTTAGAACAAGCAAACAAGTTTATTGGCTCATAAAATCCTGAGAAGCGAACGATCCGGGGTGTATAAACCAAGTTTATAGCCGGTTCTTCGTCGAGATTATTTAAGTTCCAGAATCGTATACCATTGTCTCGGATAATTAATATCCTGTTGTTTTTAAATCGAGACAAATTGGATAAATTAAAGATTAAATTGAGACGTCGGTGGTAGTGCTCGGGATGTACGTCGCCATTTAAGTTAACGACAACTTTTGAATATTTCATTAGAATCGACAAAGTAAACAATCTTTTTCGTACATTTCGCACTGTTAGCGAGTTCCATCTCGTTCGGCAAAGCGGACGTAATTTTCGGAGAGGCAAGGTTTCCCCAAAGAAATAGGTCGTTCTAGTTCGCAGCGAGGTAGGCAGTAAGAGGCGTAGAAAATACGAAATTCCGAAAGTATCCCACGCGAAGGGAGAGCAACCTATAGCGAAGCGAGTTGCAAGAGCAGTCTCGTAACTCGTTCGCGAGGAGAGTAGTTTTTTGCAGCGGCCGTAGACTTTTTTGTCAGTCTCGATCCGTCGTTATCCGTTGGCTCTCGCATAACTCGAGGCAGATTCTAGTTGAGGCGCAGATTTATTAGCGATAGAGCAGTTCGATAGGCAGCCGTGCATCACCACGCCCAGTCCCTCGTGCCCGAGCGTGCACACACCTGGTACACCTCGATGCAACGATGTACAACACCCCGGCGAGAGAAACGCAACGTAACCCAGCCGTACAAGCTGCTTTAATGCTATGCTTCGCTCGATCGAGCACCTCGAATGCATCGACCGATATCTCTCGCCCCTGGGCCTGACCGTGCAACCAAACGAACCCTGTAAGCTTCTGCAATTTCCTGTTAGCAAGCGACTCTTCTCCGCTCGGCTTTTTCCCGTTCTTTTAATTATTTCGATCGAACGATACTTTCCTTCTTTATTTTCATCGGGATGCATCGACGACCGCTAAGATAACTCCGGGAGAGAAGGAGATCTCCTTCTTAAAAATATTCGATAGTCGAACACTATAGAAATAATAAATATCGCGCTCGACGATTCGTATTAAGGATGATCTTTGATGGGACTCGTAATTAGTAAATGTAACGCAATTTGTATCGCGGATCGACCTAATATTTCATCTAAACAAGGCTGGAACGGAATGGGACGGAAAAAAGAAGGAGGGTTGAAAATTCGTTGAGCATCGAGGCGATAATTAGAAGGAAATCGAGTGCGAACGAGCGAGCTTATCGAGGATGATCAGGCCGCCACCGCCGAGTACATCGTGAAAGAGATAAAGAGGCAGAGAATCTGTGTCAGAGGTTGCTTATGCCTCGGATTTATGGGTTTGATTACCAGGCGCGCCATACGTGCCGCGATTTTGTATGGTTAAATCGTGATCCTCCACGCCTCCTATCTCTTTCTCTTTCTCCACCCTCCGTAGTATTCACCCCTTGCCCGATCGCGTATAAAGTTATCGCATTCTCGGCCTCGTAAGTGTCCATTGTCTACTTTCAGGCCTGCATTATTCCTCGTGCTCGAGTCTCGAAGCCCTCTTGCAACTTACCTGCGATGTAATTTCACTTTTACAGCCGCGTCGGATTGACCGACGATAATCTCGATACGCCTCCCTTTTTCTTCTTCTTCTTCCTCTCCACCTTCTTCTCTGTTTGAGTTGGGATCGCTCGACGAGAGAGATCTTTTGACGATTCTCTGCTCGGTTTAATCAAATCGCCGAACGCGTCGCTTTCGTATTTCGCGGTTTCTAGTAAACGGTGTTCTAGTAAATGCTCGTGTAAGAAATAAGTTTACTATTCGACGAAATCGTTTATAATCTACGGTGTAACGCGGATATCAACAACGTTTAGGAAAACACACGGTAATAAGTGTGCCGTGTGCAAAGGGTTCATTTTTTCACGGGAACGAGTCATCGTAGACGGATATTGGGTAACGGTAAATATTAATACCGAGAGAGCGCACCGAAAGAAGAATTAATCTCGCATCGACGCGGGGACCCTGGGACCCCAGGAGGTTCGTACATTACGAAACAAGTAGGTCACCGAGCGATTGAATTTTTCAGCATCGCGTATAGTACTTACGCGTCCGACTCGCGTCGTTATCGACCATCCGATCGACGTCCCGACGTTAATTTAAATAAAAAAAAATCAGTTCGGCGATCCGAGGTCTCTTTCGAGCGTTTGTCGATTAATTTTCAAATTTCGATTCTCGACTAACGGCGTTGTTAGCATAGTTCCGTTCTGAAGCATAATTTCGGTTTTGAAATTTAAGCAACGCGTCTCACCTACGCGTTCCATCGAAGTTCGAACGTCGGGATTCGGAGAGACTCGGTGACGAACGGTAGATCGAAAGCGACGAGAGACGAGGGTAAAATCGAAGGAAGCGGAAGGGCCGTAGGATCGATGCCGAAGGGCAATCGAGGAGGCAAGGCAGGCAAGATCGAGCGTGAATGAGGCGCTAACGACCAGTGATTACCGAGCTGGCGTACACGTAAAAGCGGTTACGAGAGCTCGGAGAAGCACGAGGAGGATGCGTAACCGTGCGTGTGGCACCAAATAATCGAGCGTGTAGGTGAGGATGTCCATCAATCCCGAACGGACGGCGAGACCTCCCGCGACGTTTCTCATCTTCTCGCCAACGAACGTCGGCCGTCTTCCCGACACCGTCCACCGTCCATGGACTTCTGCTTTGGCCACGTTTCGACGGGCTCCGAGATCGATGCACCCTGCCGCAACAACCTTCCTCGATCGTTTCCTGCCACCTCGACCTCCTCTTCGATTCCACACCTTCTCGCTGTTACGAGGTCGATGTATCGGTGGGTCGGGTGTAAACCGATTTTGAAACGCGAGCAAGTAGCCCAGGACTCGTTTACTCGCTATAACTCATAGACATTAAAGTCGGGTTCAGTTTCGACGAAACTACTCGCATCCTCTCGACACCTCGTCTTTCACGTAGCAAGAAGCGTCGATGATGTTCGAAAACTGGTCGGCTCATTAGTACGTGAAGGGTGGGTGCCACCTACTGGGCGGGGCAGCGGGTCATTGAAACAATGGTGTTGTGACTAGACATCGTCGAGTTCGTATCCGCGGCGGGCCACGCGGACCCGAGACTGATCGATTCCATCGATGATCGATCGATCCACGATATTTTAGTTTTCCTTTTTTCTCCAAACGGTTAGCCCGTCTCTTTCCGGCCGTCGAAAATTTGAAAATCAAGATTTTAATTATTCTCGACTACCACTCGATAGGCGGAGTCATTAATTCGAAGGGAACGAGCGAAGAGCAAAGGGGAGACAGAAGCCGTGGATATAAATCAGACTCGCGTCGAATCGTTTTTTAAAATTTAAGCAGGAAGCATCGTTTATTCGATCGATCGCTAATAGATCTCCACCGCGAGAGGATCATTAATTATGCCGTTAATACGCGTCTCGAGGATGCGAGTCCATTCTTTTTTCGCTTTCGCGTGTCAGCGAAACGAGTCGAAGCTTCTCGACTAACGGCGTTGTTAGCATAGTTCCGTTCTGAAGCATAATTTCGGTTTTGAAATTTAAGCAACGCGTCTCACCTACGCGTTCCATCGAAGTTCGAACGTCGGGATTCGGAGAGACTCGGTGACGAACGGTAGATCGAAAGCGACGAGAGACGAGGGTAAAATCGAAGGAAGCGGAAGGGCCGTAGGATCGATGCCGAAGGGCAATCGAGGAGGCAAGGCAGGCAAGATCGAGCGTGAATGAGGCGCTAACGACCAGTGATTACCGAGCTGGCGTACACGTAAAAGCGGTTACGAGAGCTCGGAGAAGCACGAGGAGGATGCGTAACCGTGCGTGTGGCACCAAATAATCGAGCGTGTAGGTGAGGATGTCCATCAATCCCGAACGGACGGCGAGACCTCCCGCGACGTTTCTCATCTTCTCGCCAACGAACGTCGGCCGTCTTCCCGACACCGTCCACCGTCCATGGACTTCTGCTTTGGCCACGTTTCGACGGGCTCCGAGATCGATGCACCCTGCCGCAACAACCTTCCTCGATCGTTTCCTGCCACCTCGACCTCCTCTTCGATTCCACACCTTCTCGCTGTTACGAGGTCGATGTATCGGTGGGTCGGGTGTAAACCGATTTTGAAACGCGAGCAAGTAGCCCAGGACTCGTTTACTCGCTATAACTCATAGACATTAAAGTCGGGTTCAGTTTCGACGAAACTACTCGCATCCTCTCGACACCTCGTCTTTCACGTAGCAAGAAGCGTCGATGATGTTCGAAAACTGGTCGGCTCATTAGTACGTGAAGGGTGGGTGCCACCTACTGGGCGGGGCAGCGGGTCATTGAAACAATGGTGTTGTGACTAGACATCGTCGAGTTCGTATCCGCGGCGGGCCACGCGGACCCGAGACTGATCGATTCCATCGATGATCGATCGATCCACGATATTTTAGTTTTCCTTTTTTCTCCAAACGGTTAGCCCGTCTCTTTCCGGCCGTCGAAAATTTGAAAATCAAGATTTTAATTATTCTCGACTACCACTCGATAGGCGGAGTCATTAATTCGAAGGGAACGAGCGAAGAGCAAAGGGGAGACAGAAGCCGTGGATATAAATCAGACTCGCGTCGAATCGTTTTTTAAAATTTAAGCAGGAAGCATCGTTTA